CAAGACTTACCAACTTTTAAAGAGACTAAACAACTATAGAAAAGGCCATTTATGTAATCAGAAAAAAATAAAATGTTACATATTTTAGAATCTTGACCACCACCAGTGTTACTCCATTGTGTCATTTTTCATGAAAAAGCAACTGAGTTTAACCTGTGATCTAGGCCCCTTGGTACCTAGGATGGAGGGAAAACGAATGAATGAATAAGTATCAGAGAGTAGGATCTAACTAACTATACTTGCTTCTCGAAAGGATTTCTTATTAACTGAGTGGACTTAGATAACTAATCATTATTATATAAGGTAGACTAGAGAACTGTAGTTAGAAGTACAATGTAAAGAAATGGCATGTAGGGAATACCCTACCTAACTTGTAAACTATTATTAATATAAAACAACTTCTAATATGGGAATCACAGATTTTCTGATATGAGGGATATGTCAGTTATTTACTGCTGTTCAACAAACCACCCCAAAACTAAGTGACTTCAAGCAACAATGATTTACGGGTTGACTGGGCTCAGCTGGGTGGTGATTCTTCTCTGCGTGGTGAAGCTGAGGTCACACTCGTAGCTTCATTCAGCTTGGAGCTTAGCTGGGGCTGTAACGTTCAAGATGACTCTCTACGCTTGACCTCAGTAATCTTGGCTGAACCTCTTGACAGCACAGAGACTGGCTTTCTGATGGGAGTTTTTCAAGAGGACGACTGCTTATCAAGCCTCTGCTTGTGTCATGCTTTGTAATGGCCAGTGCCAGCATCAGTGTGGGAGGGGACTGAACGAGGGCATGAATACCAGGGTGCATCATTCACTGAGGTCACTAATGTGACAGTCTACCACTTGGAGTCACAGGTCTCCTGAGGCCCTAAGACACTTAGAATTCTGGCATTTAAGACTATAGAATAATGAGGCCTGGAATCTTCCTGCCTGATTTGGTTACGTTGGACACCTACCACCGGAAAGTATTCTGTAACTCTTTTTTACCTTTCCAGAGCACCTTGTTTACATCTTCTGTTTTGTTCTGAGAGTTCTTGCCACCATGTGACCTCTATAAACTGCTGTTCTTTAGATAGATTTAGTGACAATCTTACTGCTATTTTGTCCTCTGTATGTCACTTCCTAAACATATGGACACACTAGGTTCCTTTTCTCCTTCTCCCTTTGGGTTTATTTCTTTTGAATTATGGTCCAGGTGACTAAGATGCCCTTCATCCATTCAGTATTAATCTAGTACCCACCAGTCACCTTGTCTGGGTAGCAGGGTAACAGGCCTTCACTTTCAAGGAGCTAACATTAGAGTGTAGGGAGTTAGACAATAAGAAAGTAAACAAGAAGAACAGAACAATTTCAGCTGGTGATAAATGCCAGGACAAAAATAAAACAGGAGAATGTGATAGTGAGTAGGGGAGGCAGGGAGCTACGTAGCCTGCCTGCTGAGAAGGCCTTTCTAACTAGGGAAGGACATTTGAGCTGAGACCTGAATGATAAGCAGCCATCCATCCTGACGGATCGGCGACCAGCCATCCCAGTTTGCCTGAGACTGAGATTCCTTAGGACATGGGACTTTGAGTGCTAAAACCTGGGGAGTCCTGGGCAAACTGGAATGGCTGTGTAATCCAGGGGGGAACAGCAAGCACAGGGCCTAGGGTCAGGAGGAGCTTGGGTGCGTGGAGGAGCGATGGAAGCCCGTGCGGCTAAAAGTGTGGCGTGTGAAAGGGTTACCAGCCACGGCTGTGAGGCCAGTGGGTGTTGGACCACGGGGCCTTAACTGATAGCTTGGATTTCACTGTAAGTGTGTTGGGGAGCCGCCACAGGGTTTCAGACAGAGTAGGGCATGGTTTTATTTACATGTGACAATGATCATTGGCTGGTGTGTGGAGATGAAGCGTTGGGATGCCAAGGTGGAAATGGGGAGACCAGCTGAGGGGCTGGTTCAGTTAGCGGGCTTGAGGTGACGGTGGCTGGGGCCGGGGAGGGGAACTTCTTGCCACCGCTAACCCTGTGCTGCTTCTTACTCTCTAGGCCTCTTCCGCTCCTTCCTAAATCTGTAGCTTTCTAAACCTGAGGAGCTTCTTTGCTAAGTAGAGAGGTTCCCAGGTTTATCACTTGTGCAAAACCTCACTCCTTGCTTCTCACTGGTGCCTTGGCAGGTTTTCTTTTGACTATTTTCAAGTATTGCATTACTTGAATGCAATAACAGTTCTTCTTAAGTTACCCATTCCCTCCCCCACCCCCGCTCCCTTGTAGGGTCAGGGTTTTTTCCCCACCATTTGATGGGCGAATTTAATCCATTTATACTTACAGTGATTATCGATAGGTATGTAGTTATTGCCATTTTATTGTTCATATTTGTTCTCCCCCCACCTCCTTTTAAAAAAAGATTTTATTTATTTATTTTTAGAGAGAAGTGAAGGGAGAGAAACATCAGTGTGTGAGAGAAACATCAATTAGTTTCCTCTCACAAGCCCCCAACAGGCGGCCTGGCCCACAACCCAGGCTTGTGCCTTGACCAGGAATCAAACTGGCGATTTTTCAGTTTGTGGAACGATGCCCAATCCACTGAGCTACACTTGTCAGGGTTCCCCCCTCCTTCTTAAAGAAGCCCCTTTAAGATTTCTTATAATACTAGTTTGGTAATGAACTCCTTTAGCTTTTTCTCGTCCAGGATCTTAGGGCCAGATTGAATAATACTTTTGAGTGCCAAGCTTAAAATGATTGATTTTTATCTTGGATGCCTTTGAAGGGTTATATTTAGGGTTGTGAGACATAAAGAGAGCTATGCTTGGTAAAGGTTAATCTAGCGGGATTGTGGGGTAAAATGATGTGCTAAGATGTGGCTTTGTTAAATTTTAGGTGGCGGTAGGCTAATCAAGTCCAAATGCCGGGGAGTGGGAGGCAGTCCGAGAAGTGGGCCTGAATCTCAGTAGCAAGGAGGGGTCTGTATATAGGAACGCAGGATTGCGTTCGGGTGAGGGCATGGATTTGTTTCTTCAGCCAGCCATCAAGCATTTGTCGCGTGCCTCCTCAGTGCTGGCAATGTCACGTTGAACAAGGCAGGCAGGACCCCTGCTTTCTGAGAGCTGGCATTCAGTCGGGGTGGGGGAGGTAGAAGGGCAAACAAAATATGGACTACTGAGTAAGATAATTTCACGGAATGGAAAGTGCTGTGCAGATAAAACAGGATGATGTGCTCTGTCATCAGGGTGGAGGTGGAGGAGATTCGTCTTTAGACTTGTAATCAGGGAAAGCGTCTTTGAGGAGGTGGCATTCTACCTGAGACCTGACCAATGGGAAGAGCCAGCACCAGGAAGGCAGCAGTCTTAGGCACCAGGGCTACCGCTACCCTAGGCAAAGCTTTACTTAAATCAGTGGAGATGCAGAGCCCACAAATGAGAGAGCGAGCGAGGCAGGAACTGTGGTGGCTTTGCCCACCAGCAGAGTGCTTTACACATAGGTAAGTGTTCATGTTACGAAACAAACCAGGGCTGTATTCTACCCCCAAGACTGAGGATGGAGGACCCCAAGAAGGCTGGCACCTATGGCACAGCCTACACGGAAGCCAAAGATAAGGTAGATGGCTTTGATTTTTAGGTTAGTTGTGGACCATCAAAAATGTCCACTTGTTAGAGGGTTCTGAGTTAAGTAAGTGCCCAGGGTTAAGAAGCAGAGGCGAGGAAACAGAAACAGCATTTTTGAAATCAAAGAATTCCTTTTTCTTATCATTTGTGAATGTGTCATAAAAGTCTCCCCCACTCTACAGCTCTTTCCTGGCTGTGCTCCTGAATTTGTTTGCTTTCTCTTGCTTCTTCTGTTACCAGCCTTTCACTTTAGACTCCTTTGCTTTTTATTTGCTTCTTTTAAGCCTTGCTCCTTTGTACTCCTATTCCATCTTATCTTTACACCCACAGCTGCAGGCCAGTCCTGGCTGCCACCAGCTTCTGAGACTCCAGCCAGATCCAGGAGCCCAGGTCTGGAAGGGGGCAGTGGGGCGCAGAGGCTGTTTGAGATATGTTAATATGTGAGACATTTGACAGCAAATGGGAGTGGAAAAAAGGGGCAGTATTTCCATGGACCTCCGAGGTTGTGGTTAAGGTCTCAGGGACCTGTGAATATTTGAAACTAAGGAGCAGGGAGTTAATAAAGAGGGAAGACACTGGCGATGAAGGAGCAGCCAGAGTTAATTAAGGGAGCAGTTAGAGAGGAGGCAGAGAAGGAAAGCTTAACCTCAATAACATGAGGCGAAGTGCTTCTTCCTCTGAAGTAAGAGGAAAGGAAGAATAAATGAGGCTGAATACAAAGATTCTTGAGTTGGAAGAGAGATGAGTGTGAGCAGCTTACAGTAAAGTTGTCTGGATCTTTTTAACAATAAAGACAGCCAAGTGGTCTGCTTCAAGTCAAGCTCAAAATCTGTAAAGGAATTTTGAAATCATCACTCCAGGGATTTTTTCTGGGGGATAATCAAGTGATGAATGAGAACTGCCAAGCACCAGCAAGGGTCCAGTTGACGCTGGCATATATTTTTAGCAGACGAAGTCTGCCTTTCTCCCAGTACCCAAGCAGCGAGGGCTGATGTTAACTGCTGTTAATACAGAGTTTCGATTTTAGCCACTAATTAAATTTCAAAAAGACGTTATCCTCATAGTTGTACTTAATATTAATAGTAAATAAAAAACTGATGTGTTTTCCTCTCATTGTTTTTGTACCTGTCAGAAGCTTATAATTAGTGAGGGCTGCCTCTGAAATTCAATATAAGGAATTTTAATCAATAACCTTCCATAGAATTTATAACACTTGGCTCATTACTTTTAGAAACTAGGGCTATTATGAAAATGAAAGCTCTCAAGTTTAGTCTTTCTTTTGTTCTCAGTAGTACCTACTCAGGTACAGTTTTTGGAAATGGTTTGGAGCAACCAGATCGCAATCATGCAATTCTGAAGTAGAAATTTGCTAACTAAATGGAAACAGATGTCATTTAAGGACCTCTTTTTCTTTAAATATCAGGTTGAAAATGGTGTGTATGTAGCCAATCCACTTCAGGAACGCACAATTCTAATGAGAAAAGAGGGCGAGTCTGCAAAAAGCATTAATGAGATGCTTCTGAGCAGACTTTCCCGCTACAGAGCTTCCCCATCCGCCACGCTGGCCGCCCTCACTGGCTCCACCATCTCCAACACCCTAAAAGAGGACCAAGCAGGTATGCCGCCCTTCACTTCCCGCCTGTTCACTTGTATAGCTCTGTTCAGGTGTGTGTGCGTGTGTACATATAATTTGTAAGACTATTTTTAGAGCAGTTGTGGGTTCACAGCAAACTTGAGAGGAAGGTACTAATATTTCCCATGTACCACCTGCCCCCATACATGCATAGCCTCCCTCATCAACATCCCGTACCAGGTGGTGTTTTTGTTACAACAGATGAACCTACATGGACAAATCATCATCACCCAAAGTCCATAGTTTACTTTAAGTTATGTTCTTCAGGTTTGGATAACTGCATAATGACATGTAGCCATCATTATGGTATCATACTGAGTGGTTTCACTCCCCTAAAAAGCCTTTGTTCTCCACCTGTTCTTCCCTCCCCACCCCAACCCCTGGCCGCCACTAATATTTTTAATTGTCTTCATAGTTTTGCCTTTTCCAGAATGTCATGTGGTTGGAATCATACAGTATGTAGACTTTTCAAATTGGCCTCCTTCACTTAGTCATATGCATTAAACTTCCTCCATATCTTTTTTTGGCTTGATATATAAATAGTGAGAGCTGCCTGTGGGATTCAGACAATATATATTTTAAATTTTTTTTTAAGAGTTTATTTGAGCCAGACTGACGACATAGGCCAGGGAGCAAGATCACAAATACTCCCCAGGCAGTACTTTCTGTTGCGCACTTACAGTGCATCTTACAAAAGCACTTCGCTTTACATAATTCACCTTTTTCTCTCTTTCCAGTCATTGTCCATTTTTTTTTTATTCCAAGCTAATACATGTTGTCGTCTGTGGGTATGAATTAGCATGAATCTGTAATAATTCAAAACAGTTTTGTCTTTAACCGTAAATACCTTCTCATTACTGTTAGTATAAATTAATTGGTTTCATGTAAACATATGCTTCATAAACATAAAAAGCTCTTATTTAGGGTCATCTTCACCAAATATAATCTTGACCAAGCAAGAGGCAAATCTTCTACAGCAGAGAGAGTTTTTTCTTGAATTTATCATTTAGTATTTACATTTTAATATTTTAGAATGGATAATACACTTAAAGAGTTTGAAAGTAAAAACAGCATAAAAAACTGTATGTAGAGAAATCTTGGTGTATTCTATAGTTTGCCCCCACCCTATAGGTAACTATATTCGTTTTTTATCCTTACAAAGTTTCTTTATGCAAATAAAATTAAAGACAAATTTTCGTTCTTATTTTCCTCCTATTCTTTATAAATGGTAGCCTACTAAACCTGCTGTTCTGTACTTTAAAAGCAGGAGTTCTACTGAGTGCAATAGGCCTTTAAGGGGTTCGTATACATGCTCCCCCACAGTTTTAAATAATGTATGTATCCATCATAATTTTCATCAGATTTTTGAGGTCATCTATGGCCCCAGAAAGGTTAAGAACCATTTTTTAAAAGATTGTGTTTATTTTTTGAGAGAGGAGAGGGGAAGAGAGAGGAGAGGAGAGAAACATCAGCTACCTCTTGTAGGCACCTGACCGGGGACCGAAACCACAACCATGGCATGTCCCCTGATCTGTAATCAAACCAGTGACTTTTTGTTTTGCTGGTCGATGACCAACCAACTGAGCCACACCAGTCAGGGGAAGAACCATGAATCTTATCCCCCCCCCCAATTTATTTTTTATTTTTTGGGGTTTTTAAATATTTATTTGTTTATTTTTATTTTTTTATGGTTCAAATACATTTGTCTCCATTTTCCCGCCACCACTCGCCCCTGCCTCACCAATCCCCATCCCCTACCCCTACCCCCAATCCTCCTACCGCACCATTTTTGAATTTATAGACTGCAATTCAACTGTGCGAATTTAAGCCAAATCACCAACTGAAGCTAGAAAAAGGTATAATAGAAAAATGTATCTGAATTAATGTGTTTAATGAATTTAATGCAGTTTTATGCTTTAATTCTTTTATATATTGAAATGTTAGTAAGAGAAAATATTTGATTTATTATAAGGCTATAAAATTAAATACTTACTAGTTTATATTAGAATTTAAGAAGGGCAGTGTTTTATTTCCATAGATTTTTATTAAGTGTAAGTGGGGGAATTATTAATAGCTGTTATTACTTGGGCACGTAGAAAATTTGAGTAATAGGAAATACTCGTAGAGGAGAGTTCTTTATACCTAAATAAACATTTTCTTGACAAGCTGAAGGTTTCATCTGGGTTTGTCCCTTGGAAGAAAATTGAATCCTACCCTGAACAACATAAATACTAAAGGAATATTTGTTGGATAAGAAAATATGAGCAAAATAAAAAAGAGAACTCCAAAGGCAAGGGTATATTTAGAATTTTGTGAAAATAGGAATCTAAACGTGTGAGCTCACTTACAGATACATCTTGTATGTATTTGACATGATGGTGCTGCATAAAAATTCACCAATTATAGGCTAAGAGATTTTTGACAATTCAACATTCAGAGGGTTGAGAATTTTTTATTGTGATAAACTAATACCTATTACCATGTTAATAAGAGTATGTCTATTAAAAATATCTTGGAGGATGGTATGCACACAATTTTGCTAATTTTCCGATCATTACCCCTTTTTGGTTTTCTTATCTGTGGAAACTTAACGCTTCTGAATTTATGTCCTGAATGAAGAATATATCTGTTGGAGACTTGGAGTTTTCAAAAATAGAGCTTTTTTTTTTTTTTTTTAGAAACACAAGCATTCAGAACAAGTAGCGGACAGATCAGGTGTCATTTTTCTAATCTAAACCGTCTAGAGGCGGTTGTACATCTTGGCAGTTATGTTGTACACGCTGACAGCTTCCTAGGCAAAGCGCTGACCTCCTGTTACCATCAGCGGCCCTCACTAGACTAATGGAGAAAATCCTTAAGTTCTCTCTGCATTTTCAGATCTGCCAGTGGGAAAGGGAGATTAAAATACATTTTATGCCTCTTGATTAGAAATATGTATTTTCCTAATGATAGTTTATGTAACTGACCCTTAAAAAATATATATAATGGGTTATCATAAATCATACAGGTATAAAATTATTTTGAGCTGGATATTGGGAAAGCTTTTATTAAGCAGTTATAGGTTGAAATTTCTGGCTGATTCCATGTTCAAAACTGTAATGAAAGTAATGGCACAAACCTGTTGAGAACTTGCTCTGTATAAAATGAGAAGATCTCTATTGGACCACAGTTTTCAGGGGTAAACACAAGCAGTCAGATTCTTCTTTTATTTTGAGATTTAGTCCATGTGAGCATTCATTCTTTTGAAGGAATGTTTAGAGGCCCAAGGCGTGCTGACTGCTGGAAACAGCTCTGAGAACTGTCATGTTTCAGGAGGCCTGAGGCCAGGCTGGAGAGCCAGAAGCTTATTATTATTTCCTTCACTTCCTACTTCTTGTTGTATTTTCCAAATCTGGGTATATCCTTGTATGAGTCTGGGACCCCTCATTATCCTCTGGTCGGTTTTGATAAATCAAAGTTATGTACTTCAAACATTTCCCCTTACCATTTTCATTCCTTTCATCAGCAAACACTAGCTGTGGGCTGCCTCTAAAAATGCTTCGGAAGACGCCCATATATACCTGTGGCACATACTTGGTGATGCTGGTCCCACCTCCAGGGGGGTCAGGCAGCTCCGCCACCCGCTCTCTTTTTGGGGGAACAAGTGGTTTGTCATCTTTAAAAAGTAAGTGAATTTTATTTTGGGCACTTTTCCCAATTTGTCTCCAACTTTGAAATTTAAGGCTTTTCTGTTAATGATTTTAAACTTACTCTGTTAAACAGTTGTTTGTAGTAGCTTTTTGATAACAACAAAAAAACTTATCAAGATAGTTACGAGCTAGGAGGAATTTAGAATAATTTTTGTTGATAATATCATAGTATACTTCTGAAAGCTATTGTCCTGTAAAATTACTAGAAATAATAATGAGTTCAGGAAAATTTTAGGAAATAAAATAATGTATTGTTACATTATTTACAGCAAGAGCTGTACTCACTGTGATAGAAACCCAGAGGTATTAAAATAAATGTGTGAAAACCCTCCATTTTAGGACACATGTTAAACCAAAAAGTATAATACAAAATAATATATGCAAAAATTAATTAATGCTGTTATGAATACATATATTTTTATAAAAGAGGCAGGCATACTAGAATAATTAAAGCAGCATGATTTTTGACTTCAGAGTGGGCAAATAGTTAAATGAGAGAAAATATAGAATCAAAAATGTTTCTTTCACATTGCCATTTTCTAGCTTTCTTAATCATTTAACTCCTCTGGGCCTCAGTTTTCCCACTTGTAAAAAAATAAAAGGAAAATAGTATCTCCTGCTATTTTTTTGGTGATCATATACAGTAAGGTAAGTTAGAGTATTTTGAAAAAACAAAAAACAAAAGAAATTATTCCTTTTATGTATGGTAAGTTTGAGGGGGGGGGTTCCTTTTTTGTTTGAAATTTGTTTAGGCACGTAAAATTAAAATGTTTTAAAATCAGTTCACTTGTTTTCATTTCTCAATATTTCATATTCTGTCATCTTAAACTTTGCTCATAGTAATTTCATTAAAAGTTTATATTTCACATTTAGATTTTTAAAAAGCATGTCATATTCTAACTTAAGCTTGCAGATATAAATTTGACCTGAGCAGTTTTAAAAAAATTATCTAAGATCAACTTAACTTTAGGCCATTTCGACTAGTTGCAAATATTTGGAATTATATGAATAACAACTCCAAAACTCTTTTGCCTTTGAATCAAATAGGATTGGCTTTTTTCAACAGCTTGTTCTCTCTAACAGTTCATGTGACCAGAATGCCTCCTTTAGCCCTTGTGTAAAGGATGTAAAGTTACTATGAATCTTTAAAAAAAAAAAAAAAGCTTTATTGAGATATGACTTGCATACCATAAAATTCATCCCTTTAAAGTATAAAGTTTAGTGGTTTTAGTATATTCACAGAGTTGTGCAACCAGCACCACTATCTAATTCTAGCACATTTCCGTCACTCCAGAAAGGAAGCCCATGCCCCTTAGCAGTCTCCCCATCTCTCCCATCGTTCTAGTGCCTTGGCAACCACCAATCTACTGTCTGTCTCTATGGATTTAGCTGTTCTGGCCTTTACATATATATGGAATTACACAATACGTGCACTTTTGTGACTAGCTTTTTTTAAACTTAGTTTTCAAGCTTCATCCATGTTGTAGTATGAATTGTTACTTCATTCCTTTTTATGACCGAATCATATTCCATTGTATGGATAGACTCCCATTTTGTTGACATTTGAGCTGTTTCTACTTCTTGGCTATTTTGAATAATTAATGCACAGCTTTTTGTGTACATGTTTTCATTTCTTTTGGATATATACGTTGGAGAATTCTGGGTCATATGGTAATTTTAAGGTTGTCCTTTGGAGGGGCTGCCAAACTGTTTGCCAAGAGGGCTACACTATTTCCCATTCTCATCAGGCACGTAAAATGGCTCCAGTTTCTCTACATCTCCACTGACATTTGTTGTTTTCCATTTTTTAAATTATAGCCATCCTAGTAGGTATGAAGTGGTATCTCATTGTGGTTTTGGTTTGTATTTCTCTAATGAGTAATGATGTTGAACAGCTTTCATTGTGCTTATTGGCTATTTGTATATCTTCTTTTAAGAAATGCCTATTGAAGTCCTTTTGCAATTTTTAAATTGGGTTATTTGTCTTTTTATTGACCATTTGTCTTATTAAACTCTTTTTTAGTCTCCTAGGCATGGCTTTTTCTCTCAATTGAAATTGACCCCATTTGATTAAAGCAGGCCTTTACAGTGCTATTTTCTTCATGAGAATATAGCTTACACAGTGATTCTATTTTAGACCAACAAATCAATAAATGCTGAAGTTCCTCTGTGTCTTGTTGCCATTGGTCACTGTGAGGGCTACTCAGTAAGTAGAAGTGATGCTTGCCTTGAGGAGCTCAGCATCCGCTCGGGAAAATTGCTGTGTGAGAAACAGCTAGAAAATAACATACGATGCCGTGCCACTGCCTGAACTATGGGAAGCTGACGTCAGTACTGCAGATTCAGAAAGAAAGGGTTGTTGTGGAGCAGGGGGTAGAAGGGAGAGACTAAATGAGATCTTGCGCGTAAGTCGTGAGAAATGGATGTTATTCATATAAGTGGCATAGGCATGGTAAACACAACAAAAAAGAGATTTGGGGAAGATCATTTTGTTTCTGTGCAGGATAGAACAGTAGAAAATAGGAACAGTACAGTTTAGATTATAGTTCATGTCAGGCGTGATGAGCATCTGGATCACCAGGGTGACGGGAATAAGAAAAACAAGCTCGCGTGACACAGTGCTTGAATTTTGTGTTTGAAAGTAGGGGAGAAAAGTGTCAATAATAGCAGTTAGCACATATGAGCTGGTGTAGATCCTGCACACATTTTAACTTAATTTTCACGAGAACTGTATAAGGGTGGTACTTTTATTATCTCTGGTTTACACATGAGGAAACTGAGAGGTTCATAAATTTGCCAGGGTCACACAGAAGTGGTAGAACTGGAATTCAAACCCAGACACCTGGGGCCCATGTTTGTCATCCCTGCGCTGCCCTGTGGTAAGGAAGAGGCCGAAGCATCTCCAGGGTGTAGAGCCACTGCTGGGCACTGAGCTGTGCTTGTGTCCACTAACCTTTGCTGAGCGCCAACTATATGTAAAGTGTTTCTTGTGATTATACCTTGTGATATTAATGATAACTCCTTTCGCAATTACCATTTTGATAACCCATATTGGAAAAAATCTTTTCGCAAAAGTTGCCATTTAAAAAACACTTTCAAAAATACGGTTCACTTTTTAGGAAGATACTTTGCAACAGTTTTCCTTTTGTGGTCTTATGTACTTGTTCTGTATCCTCATTGCTACCATCAATAGACAACAAAAAAGATTGTGATTTTTTATGAAAGTCTTGTTAAGAGCCTAAAGCTTAAGCTTTAAACATAAACTGACCATCATTTTAAGGCTTATTAAACAGCTTAATGTTTGTTCCCAAAGTCCTAGCCTCCAGCTTGGTGTATAATATTTCGGATGGTCAGTTCACAAGCCGTGCCGATCTCATAGATGCTGCTGGAAGCTCCCTGGGGCGTGGCGCTCTTGTACCAGGATTGGGTAAGAAATAAATGCCGACATTTCTTTGGAAAAGTCAGAGTTTTAGCAGTTTCTCTCAAAAAAATCTTGCCAATTCTTTGTGGTATTCTAGTTTCCCTGAAAGATTTTTTTTACTACTGTTTAATTTTGAGGATTAATATAAGAAATTGCCATGTGAAAAATCTCTATAAATTGCTGTTGAAAATACTATCCATTAGGTTGTCTGATACCTATTACAAATTCTTCAAAATTCATGCAGATAAAAGATTTATTTCCTGTGAGGAATTAGTATGCTTCCTGTTAGAAAACGAGCATTATGTACTATTTTTTCTTTGCCTTGGCTCCTAGGAAGCTCATATCTTAAGTTTTTGGCTCAGTTGCTAAGGCTTTTATTGGGTGTTATGTTAATCAGCCATGCTGTACCTAGATTTTAATGTTAATTAGTCCTATTGTACCCTGGTTTAGTGAAGCCACTTGAGTCCTTATTGGAATTAAAAAGGTCAAGTAGAAGTCAGTATCTCTTCCTGGAAACTTGTTCCATTCGCACAGAGAGGTAAAGCGAAGTAGAGATTGACTCCTGCCTTTTTGCTGAGCCTCAGTTTAATGCTCTGCCAAGGAAATAGATGGGAGTAGGGAGTAGGTTGTCAGCATTGGGGAGAATCCTTGCTTTTCCATCCTTTAGCGGTGCTTACGAGAACTCTGTGTACCGGCAGATGGTGACTGACAGTTGAATAAAGTATGCTCTTTTTGCAGGTGCCTGTTACGATACAGTGAACAACATGCTGTGGACCTGCTCGAATGACTACATCGATCAGTGGTGTAATCCTGGGAATCAGGCCTTCCATTACGTCTGCCAGAGGCTCGGAGTCAGCCACATCATCTCTGAGCCCAAAGGTGAGGTGCGCTCAGTCTCACAGGAAAATGTTTCCCCCAGGAAGCATCAGAGAGGACCACAGCACGAGGAAGTGGGAACACTGCGCAAGCAACAGTGTGGCTCAACAGCCTTACCTTTTTGAACTTAGAAACCTGAAATCTTATTATCCGATTGCTTTATGACTAAGGAAATGGTGTGTAAGTAGAGCTTTTGAAGTGGTCCATAGACTTTTTTTTTAACAGGAAAATTATATTTTTTCTACAATTGTCAGATCTTTGGTACAAAAATTGGTCTTGTAGTTGGCATGGGATTATATGCTGCTATAATGTTTTACATAGACAATTTATTTATATACAAATTTATAATTAGGCAGAATTACCAATATAGGATCTTTATATTTCTCTATATTAATATTAAGACTCTTAATATTCAGTTAATATTTTTTGGTATTCAAAATGTGTTTATTGGGATGGTTCCCCACTCATCTTGAATTTGGGTGCTTTGAGTGCTGCTTCCCTCTAAAGGAGCAGCCTCTGTTAGCCTTGCTGTCCCCACCATGGGCTGACTGAGGACAGCGGGGCAGCCAGCACACAGACAGTTGTCTATAGCCCTGTCTATGTGCAGGGCTATAGACAACGGTGACTTTATAGCAGCCTGGGCATTTCCCATCCATGAAGTAGGAGCTGGGCCCCCTGCACCAGGTGCCTCTTCTTGTGCTTCATCTTCTCTTCTGCGGAAGGATGAAGGGGGTCCTTAGTGAGAGGCATGTTGTCGTGGGGTGGTCGTCACTGCCAGAAAGCAATATTAAGTTAATACTAACTTAAAATCTTGTGGCATCAAAGTCAGCTATGGTGGTATGGAAGAGCGAGTAGCTCAGCAAATTCTGTCCCCATAAAGCAATGCTAAAACTGACAAAATATCAAAAACAACTATTTCTAGGCTCTGGAAATTGACCAATGGCATGCACCAAATTGAGAAGTGGGTATTTATAGAAAACCACTGAATTTTGGGTTAGAACAGTGGACATTTATGGTGTTCTTAGCTGGGGATGCTCCTTTCTCCCACCTCAAGCTCGGTCAGTCAGTGTAGCAGTTCCACCAGGCTGGGGCAGATTCTGTAAACCAGCACCTTTGCTGCCAGAGTGGGCTGACTTGATTTGGAGCAGAGCATGGAAAAACACATGCCCAGCAGCATTGTCAGTATTGGTAGAAGTCTTGGTGGCAAAGAAACAGAGAATACCAGTGGCTTTGCCAGACTGAGGGTTGTGGTTCTGGTTAGGGCAAGCAGTGAACCAACAGACTCGCCAGAAATTTGCTAGAGAAATCTGGGTAGTAAGAAAGCTACTGAGGGCCTTGATGAGCTTCCCACAGAAGAAGCCTGAGAAGGCCCAAGCTGTTCACACAGGCCTGGCTGAGCATGAGCGCGCAGAGATATGAAGAGGAGCTGGCAGAAAGTGAAGACCAGGGCAGAGTTTTAAACTTCCTGAACTTCAATGTGTTCCCCTCAAAACACCCAGAGCTACACAGGGTGGAAGTTTCACTAGCCAAAGGTGTAGGAACGCAACCTCTGACTCATGGGGTAACCCCAAGAGAGGCAGGCCTAAAAATAAAGACAAAAATAAAAACAAATGAAAGCAAGTAAAAAGTTAAATTAGAAGCAACATTTTAAGAATACAAACTAGCTGAGCAGAGAAATCAGTAGCTATATGCTGCAGGCAAAACTCAGACTTTGGACTTAGTGGGTGAAGCATTTAAAGCAGTCTTTGTAAATCTTTCCAAAGAACTGAAGGAAACCACATTAAAAGACGAAAGGAAAGTATGATGACTATGATCAAATAAATAGGGAATTTCAATAAATACTTTTTTTTTTTTGAAGAACCAATTGGAAATTTGGGGTTTAAACAGTTCAATGACTGAAAAGAAAAAATTGTAGTGGATCGACAGTAGACTTGAGATGGTTGCATGTAGATGGATAGAGTTATCCTGTCTGCATGAGAGAAGAAGATTTTTGAGGAGTACTGATCAGGTGTTTTGTGGAATGTCCCTCACTTTGGGTTTAGCTGTTGTTTTCTCACTTTAAACTGAAGTTACAGATTGTGGGGAGGACCACTGCAGAGATGAAGTGCTTTTCTCGTTGCATCATGTGTCACAGGCACGTGATGTCAACGTGACTTGGCACTAGCAACATTAAAATGGACCGCTTGGTTTATACCCCAGCTTTCTTCACTGCACAGTTAGCACTCCGTTTCCATACTCTGTTAGAAGCAAGTCATGAAGTCCACTCTCCTGGGAAGTGGAATTAGGCTCTGGCTCCCGGAAGGGAAAGCATCAGAGAATTTGTGGACATGTGTGAATCACCATAGTAATTAAGACATGTTTGGGGGGAAGTGAGACTTTGAAGCTATGCAATTATCTACTCAGAGTTTTGGTTTTTTTTTTAACTTCTCCTGAGTTTTGGTAATTTGTGTCTTTCTAGAAATTTGTGCATTTCATCTAACTTATTTGTTGGCATGAAGTCGCTCATAGTATTCCCTTTAATTTTTATAGGGTCAATAGTCATTTCTCTGCTTTGGTTCATCATTTTGGTGTTTGTGTAAATTTACTAAAAATCATTGAATTGTGTAGTTAGAATGAGTGGATATACAGTATATAAATTATGTCTTGATAAAGCTGTTTTAAAAAAGGCAAAAAGAAAAAGTCAACTATATATTAGTGACTCCCTAATTATTATCTACAAGCTCCTTGCCTGAACTCCAGACTATGCCTTTATCTCCATGTGTATATTTAATAGGCATCTTCAACTTAATATGTCAACAGCCAACTCCCCATTTCTCCCTGTGTCCAAATCTATACCTACTGCGTCTCCCACATCCCAGGGTGCGGATCACTGTTCCTTAATTGCTCAAACCAAAAACATTGGGTTTATCTGACTCTCGTTTGTCACAGCTCATGCCCAAATGGACATCAGCAAATCCTGTCAGCTCCTACCTTCAAAATATATCTCATATCTGGCCCTTTCCCACTACCGGCGCTGCTACAGCCCTAGTCTAGGCCACTGTTGTCTTCCCCCGAATTGTAATAGCCTCCTCACTGTCCCTCCCACCCCTCTGTGGTTGCTGTCCTCCGCGTGCATCTCCAACGCGGCAGCCAGTCTCGGACAGTCTTAGGTAGTCAGATCTGACACCCTTCGGTTCAGACAGTTCTGCTGGCTTCCCCGTCTAACCCAGGATAAGAATCAGAGCCATCACTTATTTAGGTAGGTCCCAAAGCTGACTTTGAAAAAGTCTTTAGTGAAGATGGATAATAGGAACCAAAGTCCTACTGTTGTAAGATCAGGGACAGAAAAGGCACAGAATTAGGGAACCTGGCCTGGCCCTAAGATTAACATACAGTCGAAAAGTTTGGTTTTGGCAAAGGTTGCCTTCTCTTCTGTTTCTCTGAGTCCTTTTCTCAGTGCCCTTAATCCTTTTGCAGCTCTAAGGTTCCCCCACCCAGGCATGCTTCTCCAAGATGACCTGCTTTTCCGTTTGTTTTTTTAGGCTGTTCATTTCAGCTGTTTTAAGGGAAAGAAAAGCAAGTGTGTGTGTGTACTTTGCCTATTTAGATTTTTACCTCCATTCCCGAGTTCCCGTAACCATCCATGAGGCATTTGTTATTACATAAGAGGATGCTTGTCAACCCTTGTAAGGTTGGGCTGATGGCTCTTTAGGCTGTAGTGACTAAAGGAGATAAAAATGTTGAGGTATTGTGGGAGGACAGAGTTCTGCACCAGGGAGGGGTGGTGGGTTCGACCATAGAGGAGCCATAGAAGATGGATTGTACTAGAATGATTACTGGCATGGGCTCTGAGCCCAGATGGCCTGAATTTAAGTCCCGGCTCTGCCACTCAGAAGCTGCATGATCTAGGGCAAGTTACTTAACCTTTCTGACTCTTTATTTACTCCTCTACAAAACCGGGCTAAAATCGTCTAAATTCATAATGATGTTGTAAGGTAATGCATGCAAAGCATTTAGCTGATTGTCAAGCATACAGAACGGGCTCCATGGTGGTAGCTACGTATGATCTAAAAAATATGGAAATTTCCCAGTGTTTTCACCTCGGCACTCCGGGGCAGGGAGAAGGGTTCTCTAGCAGCAGCAGAAGAGATTGGAGCCCAGATACTCCCTCCTAGTGTGTGTCTGCACCTTTTGTAAGTCAAAAGACCATTCCTTGGGGACTGCTCATGGACATGTCTTTCCTCACTGAGTTTCCTTTTTATTTTCTAGAAGAGGCTATAACCACGAATGAGGTTATAAACCAATTGTTGCACCACGTTGGTGCGATGTGCATACACCAGCTCAATCTTCTTGCTACCAACCCAAACCTTCCAATCACAAGTGTCTTGGGCAAGCAGCATCCGATCGAAGCACACCACCTTAGCAGTATTTGTGATATTATGGAGAAGGCCATGGTTAATGGAGATACCTGTATTATACGTTGCATTCTTGTTGTCTTTCAGGTAAATAACTCTGTTATGAGATAAATAAGATAATATAGAGAAAAGGAACACAAGGCTTGGCTTTGGCCTGCTGATTTCTACCAGAAGAAGATTTAATAACATTCCTGTTTTGCATCTTACCCCATTCTAATCCTATAATTAGAATTATCATATTCATTACACAGCAGTTAATGGAGTATTGCTATATGCAGTTCATTGTAATTAATATATGTAAAATATTTGCTGCAATTATACTATTACACAATAGAAGAGATTGTGGTTAAAGTCTATTCATAAGAATATCTACATGTACTTTCTTCAGAGGGATAATGTTATCCCCAGTAGAATTAGCATTTTTAGATATGCCCTTTATGTTTCTGTAGGTGGTATTTAAATTTTTCTTCAGCCCACAAACTGAAAGAAATCGAGACATCATTCGACGGTCGGGATTGCTTCTTTGGCAGCTGCTGATGGCACCAAAAGATCAAATTTGCCCTGAAATTCAGAAGGAAGTTTGCCTTGCCATCAGGTAATCAGCACATAACTGTCCTAGCACCCTCCTCAGAACGCTTCTCTCACAGTGCCTCCTGATCTCCCCGCAAGCTGGTAGCCGGGGGCCTCTTCCCCGGCCCACGCGCCAGGGCCTCGCGCACAGGCGCCCTGCCAGCGGATGTGGCTTGTGGCCGCTCTCCCAGGGGCCCGAGCCGTCCGTGTTCCTGCGCTCCTCTTCCCACCCTGTACCTGAGATCCTCATTGGGTCCTTAAAAAATTTTTTTAAAAAGACAAAAACACCCTTGAAGTGTATATTTTGATTGTTTGTAAACAGGTGTTTATCTCATTTGGGAGAGAGTCTGGCATGGTGGTTAAGAGGCCAACTTTGGCAGCAGGCAGACCTGGATTCTAGTCTTTACTCCGCCATTTATTCGCTATGACCTCGAGTCTTCCATTTCCTCAGCTATAAAGTGGGCATAAAAATAGTACTCACTTTATAGGTTTGTGAGATTTTAATAAGATATGGCCCAATGCAAAGTAAGTGTTAAGCAATGTTAACCTTTTAAAATCTGCTTAATACCTTTTTAGGCAGGAGGGCAGAATTTATGGACCATTTTCTATTGTCATTCTATATCTATTATCTGTATGTCTATATATATATATATTTTTTTTTTTTTTTAGTACCATGAGCTTTTGTCCAGGAATATAGCCTTAATATGACCAAGTATAATGTAGTGACCAGGAGAGAACTGAATGCTTGGTCTGGAAGTAACATGCTAGAGGTGGGCAGAGAGGGAGGGCAAGTTCTCCCCTCCCGCAGCAGAGTATGCTTTGGAGCTCTTTCTGCTGAGACCGTTAGAGCAGAAATTAAAATCTAGTGCCATGCGGCACCTTCTGGGACTGAGGTGTGTGTTCTCTGTCTTGATGGTGATTCTTTCACAGATAGGTACATATGTCAAAACTAACCAAATCATACACATTAAACATGTGCTTTATTGTATGTTAGATCTCATTAAAAAGGAAAAAGGAAAAATTCTGGGACTATTTGCAGTACTGTTCTTTCAGTCCTTTCGGAAATGCTGAGAATTAGAAAACCCCCTTCTCAAATGATTTTTGGCACAGTCTTCATGTGTGGCTGCGTTGACCCCGTTGAGTTTTTTATAGCTCGGTTCTCTTTAACCAGCTCTGCATCTGACCTCACATGAGTTGGCATTTTGGTAACTCGCAGATTGGACAAGGGTAGGGAAACAAACCATCAGTGGACTGTGTTAGGGCACACGGTGAATTTAAGTTCAACCGCTTTTTTAGTGGTAAAACTTACCTCAGTTTTATGTAACCAAACTGGCATCTTTAATAAAAATTTAAATAGAGTTTGAGTTTTCTAGAACATTTGTCTAAAAGCTTTTTCTTTTCTGTCATTTCAGCTCTGGTTTAAATATCTTATACCCAGGTGAAACGGAAATCAATAACTTACTTAAGCTGGTCTTAACAGAAGGTAAGAATTATCCTTTAATTATCCTTGAACTACCATCCCTTTTTTCCCCCTAAGGAAACAACTGGATATTAAGATAATAGATTTTTTTCCTTAATATGTATTAGCATTAATTTTCAAAAGGTATCTGCACATGCCAACGCTTCAACCAGATTGAAAGCAGAAACCATGTTCTTATGTATCTTCAAGCTTTATAACCCTCTCTGTCCACTGCTTAGCATAATGTTCCTTATTGTAGCTATTTAATGAACATCGATGGTAATGACTTCTTGGGAATTTCTAAGCCAGTTTTTTTCCCCACACATTGAAGTGCAACTTCAAAGGTAGACTAAAAAAAACAATAATAAAAGTTCACCGTGTCAAAGAATTAGAAATCATACTTTATGATATATCAAGGGGGTAACTACACTTAAATCAGGATGCACTAGTTTTAAAAAGCCAGATTGGTTGCGACATAGTTCTTGCTGTCGCTTGCGTGAGGGAACTACAGATGCCGGGTGCTAGATTGCCGACAGTCTGCATGTTTAAAAACTTTTTTTAATAGCATCTCTTTTCTGAGTGTAATTACCAGGGTTGTTTATGGAGCTTTGTTCTGTGTTAGGAGAGAGAAACAGTGGCCTCTCCCAGCTGCGGGATGTGATCCTAACCAATTTAGCTGAACAGCTTCAAAACAACCGATTTGGCAGCGAGGAGGATGATCATTACAGGTGACACCAGTTATCTTAGTCACTCTTTCTTTGTGTTTTTCTCAGTAATTAACTTATATTTAAATGTGATAAACTTTAGTCTCCTATAACATCTAATATAGTTAGCATATTAAGTTTAACTGTGGAAGAATCAAAAAACAATAAATCCGACAGTTGCCATTTAGCACGTTTCAGTTTAATCAGTAAAGGAACTTAGGCATGTGGAAGGGGAACTTAGAAGTAACAGATGGGGCTTATTTAAGAAATCTTGATAGAGGGTGTCATCCAAATGGTTTGTGACAGTGAGTGAGGGTGTGGTTAGAGCTGGTGAGGGGAAAAGGGTATTGGTTATTTTTTCTGTTTGTAAAGTATTTGGACTAGGTGCTTGGGTACCATTTTCTTTCCATTAAGTTTGATTTAGATAATATAACCAGTTGTTAGCATCATTACTAAGATGATTTGCTTCCAGAACCAATTAACTCTATATCTTCTATTTATCATCTTATACTAATTGTATACATTTTAATCCTTTTATTATTAAACCATATCTTATTGTTACATTTTTCCTGCATTTAAAGACTAAATGATGAACTTTTACACTACATTCTGAAGATTGTTGTACGAGAATCCTGTATCTTAATCACCAAGTGCCAAACTGTTTCTAAAGATGATTTTCAAAAACTCCTTTCAACTGTGCCTGTAAGTAAAAATGTATTTATCCAGGTTGATTGTTCTATAATTGTCTTATAATTTTTATGTATGGGAGGAGGTGAGTGTAGCATCCACCTACTCTGCCATCTTGAGCAGATCTCAGTAAAAATGTGTGTAATGAAAGTAAAACTGAATCCAGTGTTCCTGTTTTCATTTTACTGTGTGGAGGCATGTGCACACGCGCACTTCACAAGGATAGACGTACCTGATGAAGGTCCACGATGACTGTGCTCGTCCTAGAAATGGAGAACTAGACAAATCCATTTGAAATACTTTTCCAAAGACGACTCCTCTGCTTTAAATGTCTTGTTGCAGTAAATCATTTGACTGAATTTGCATGTTTTTGTTTTGTTTAAAATAGTGAGGATTTCTTCCTCTGTTAATTTGAAGTTTAGCATTGCTTTCTAAACCATCAGTGTTTTATGGAGACTGATAAGAACCAAAGATTCTTTTAAGAATTTTGGTAGAGTCTTCTCTAATGGAGCTACATGTGACAGGGAGGAGGGTGGGGAAGAAAATTATTAAGAGGCAAAAATTCAAGTAAGTACCTGAGTGATGAGTGAGAATTATGTAGCAGAAGGCAGAAAGTTATGGTAAATGTGTCAAATTCTGTATCAAAAGCCACATGCAAATAAATCACCTGAGACACTAACTTGGTCTGTTTTCTGTACTTTCTCTTTTGCTTCCCTTGTCGAAATCTTTTAAAAACTCAAGATCACATGACCCCTTCCTTCAGTAGGATCTAGATCATTTAAATGCCCTTATTTGTATTAAAGGCTGCATCCTCCTGCCTGCGCTATCTGATGGCAGTTCAGAACCACCTTCTCAGTAACACTATTTTGATTAAGCCTGACGAGAACGATGACAGTGACAACTCCTTGCAGGGAGAGACATTGAAGGTACAGGTAAACACCAAGCTTTATTCTAATGATGCTTTCTACCCAGCGTGCAAAGCACAGCTTAATTGGATAAATTTCTGTCTATTATGATGTCAGATTTCACCATATGGCTTATATTTTTGTGACAGGTAATATTAGGCCACTCATTTCATAGGTTTTTATGTCATTGCACAGTGGTTACCATATTTGTGACACTCTCATAATGTGTCATCCATGTGCTTCTGTCAATCTTTTTGTGCCTTCGTTTATTTTCATGTTTTTTTAAGAGCTATAAAATATGTCACTTACAAGTGATCTCATATGGACCTGAAAGTTTTATTTATATAGAAGTATATAAATAAATCCAGGAGCCTAACAATTTAAACAACTTTCACATTTTGGTTGGTTTGTTATATTCTCTTGATTCACATAACTTTAAAAAGATGATAATTTTTGCATAATCTTTATGTTGAATAATTTCTAAACCTATAGTTCATTTCATTTCCTGTAATTATTTTTAAGTTAGCTTCTGTGTAAACTCTAATTTGTTCCTACATGGCAATTTATAGCAATCCAGAGATTTTTTTATAGCATTGTTTGTTATAATTTTGACAGATGCTTAAGGCTATTGTTTGCATTGTTCTTCAGAATTTCATCTTTGTGGGAGAGTTAGGGAAATCAATAAAAGCTTGTCTCTTCCCTACAATGTTGAGCAAAACACACTGAAAAATTAAGCAAGGAAGCCATAGTTAAAGATAAAATCTATTACAATTTCCCCTTTTCTTATGCCTTGATGCATGTGTATAATACTGTGTAAATCATGCATGTGCTAGTTCATATTTATGAGTTTATTTCATTATATAATCAGTTTTAAACTGGCAAAATTGCATGAATTAATCATTTAAATTGCTGATACTATTTATTACCTTCTTTTGCCTTAGTTTCTTAATCAGTAAAAAGGGACAATAACAAGTCTGTTGCAAGGTTGCTGTGAGCATCAGAGACGAGGCATGGAAAACACCTGGCCCTGTGCCACAGCCCGGTGTGCAGCCAGTAGGCCATGGCCCAGATGATCGGCACGACTTAAACCACGATTTACCTCATCTGGTCGATTCAGGATTCCCTTTCTCTTAATAATACCAAAAAAAAAAAAAAAAAGGAAGAAAAAAACAAACCCCAGAAAATTCCAGCCATGAAAACCAGTGTTTTCCCTTTGGAAGGCTAATTTTTATAAATGCTTAATTAACCCCTGGAAAGAAATAACTCTTGGTAAAGGTAGAGTAGGCTGGGTCACCTAGTATTTCTGGGGGGAAAAACACCACAGATTTCACCTGAATAGTTAGATTGGTTATGTTTTTTTAATAGAAAATAATTGTGAACTAAACATTTCAATGGTCTTAACTAGTGTTTCTTACATTATTTAGTATTTGTATTCCCATAAACTCTCTAATAGTTATTTTTAATGTTTAGTGGCCTGTAACTGCCTGCTACTTTGATTGAATTTTTAACTTGCCTGTTCTCAAGTGTAATGGTTTAAAACATTAAGTAAAAAGGTCACTTGTACTGTTTCAGAATGTTGTGTTTTTGTCTCATTTTATTCACCGCCTCTACATGCGCCTTTACTGTTCTGTTTTTCTCTTTAGCTGCCCTCATACCGCCCAAGGCACTCTTCCAGCTGGACAGTTTCTGGGCTGGCCACCGGGAGCTCTCCTGTGCTGGAGGGGATGGGAGAAATGCCTTTTCTCCTGGGGACTTGCTGTGCTCCCGGGAAATACTGCGTATTTCTGTCAGCACTCCCGACCTTAGCCTCCCAAATCAAATTGCTACTTGCCATCCTAGCGGAACTTACTGCTTTGGGCTTATTCTGGCCACCTCATTATTTAATTTGGAAATGCATCATAATATACGTCATTTCACGTTGTCATTGTGAGTGTATATTCATCACAAAGCTTTAAAATAACACTATGATCTTTTCTACCTAGGAGCTAAAGGTCAGTGTTTTGGCTCTTGCCACCCAGATCCTAACTGGATGTGATGAAGTGTTGGAAATGCTACAGCAAGTCACAACTGCCCTCATAAATAGTGACATACCCGACCGTGAGCTGAGGTGAGCAAATGGATTGTGAAGTGTGACCTGCTGCCCTTCAGGAAGAACTTGCTTATGAAAGCGGAATCTTTGAGAACAGAGCATCAAATGTTCAATTAGTATAGAGGGATTTTGTGAGAATAGGTTGAAATGGCAAGTGTTTCAAAGCCAAGTGCAATTGAACTCTTTAAGGGTGCTTTTAGGTACATTTGGGCTAACAGTCACAGATTCAGGGTAGCAAGATTGAAGGGGATAGCATCGTCCCTGACTGGTGGGTCTCCTACCCTCGGCAGTCCCAGGATGGCCTTTCCCTCAGTTAGCTAGCTCGGCGCCATGCTTGCTTAGTTTTCTCATGATAAGTATCTTAGGGCGGTAGCAGTGACTTAGTGATACAGGCAACGAACTGGTATGCAGAAGATGATGTTGACATAATATCTCCAGATTTTACTGTTCCTTTACTTCTGCAGATACAGGAGTGACCTATATAGAGGGTAAACTTCTCATTTCCAGTAATAAAGCTCTTTCTCAGTTCTCCCCTTTAAATTTCTACCGTGATTTGCTGTTAGAGATGACTTACATACCGTGTGTGTTGATGATTTTAATGTTAGAGATGTTGATCTGGAACAGTCCTGCAGTGTAACCTTTTCTCCAGTGACCATGTCTGTCCTCGTGTCCCTGTTTCTTGGCCTCTTCCTGAGAGTGGGTGGGCAGGTTGGAACTGAGAACAATGTAGACCAGATAGGCGTTGCACTTTGGCGTGTTAAAGCTTGTAGGGGCCACTGCTGGCCCGTGGTGCAGACCTGCCCTGGGAGGAGGTGCAGTCTGAGAGCCTGGGAGACCTGATCTCTGCTTCTGGATCCGATCCCAAAGTCCTGAGTAGTCTTAGAGAACTTACCTAACCCATGTCTTTCTTTGGGCGAGTCACATACCTTAATTCTTCGAGCTGAAGATTAGGATATTAAGAATGTGCCCTGGTAATCATTTCACAATATAAGGTCTAGTACAAATAATGCCCATTTTTTATTATAAAATCTTTCATTATAAAATCATAAGCATGTAATTCTATAACATAACAATATCACGCTCAAGCACACCATATTACATTTTAGTTAAAATGTTCAAATTAAAACTATAAACTATTACACCCCTATTACCCTACCACCCACACTCAAGCAGGTGTTACTTCTGCTGGACCCTGTATATAGATATGTCAAATCATTATATTGTTCACTTTAAATTATACAATGTTATATGTCAGTGAGATCTTAATAAAACTGGAGGGGGTAGATGTGATTTTAAAGACAAATGAAAAATCTCCCTGCCTCTGTATCCTGCGTGAGCCAGTTTCTCTAGGCCAGAAGTGGGTATTACTCCTATGGGCAGGTGAACTGGTGTAGCCATTCATTTTCTTGCTGCCAGAGACTCAGGGAAGCCCTAGAGCTAAGGGAACTTTGCAGATCTAACTGCCTGGAGTAGCCGTTTACTTATCTAAGGGACCCATCTATAAAGTGCTTCAAAGGTACAATGGAATTCACCATATAAACTTTTTTTCCCCCCAAACTTATAGGTTGAAGGTGAAATCTGAGATTTGTTTCCTCCCTCAGTGGTAGAAAATGGGAACTTTGGGGATTGAATTGCCCGTAATTTTAAGTGCTTCAGTAGTTCAAGGAAATGCAGTTAAGAGATTTTTGTCAGGTAAAGATGATGTCATTTGCTTTTTCACATGATTGGGAATTGCTTAACCTGTGTGTTTTCTTAAACTGTTTCTAGGTTAAAAGGCTTGGAACAAGTTACTAAGGCAACTATGCTTGGGCACCTTCTTCCAGTGTTACTGACCTCCCTGATGCATCCAAATTTGCAGACTCTGACCATGGCCGATGCCCTGATGCCGCAGCTAGTGCAGCTGGTTCTCTATACCAGTCAGGTACGATCCTTGTTGTGCCAAGTGAACTGCTTTTTGGCCAGCCCAGCTCACATTGCGGCTTCATGCATTCCCTGAAGGCAGAATAAATGTAAGCATGACTCTCAGAAGCTATGGAAAATGATGATGGAATGAGGAAACTTTATTGTGTCATGAAAGTAAACTGAAACATTAAGGGAAACATTTTATTTGTTTGACTAATTACCTACTGCAATCTTTTAGCAAGTACTAATTGCTGGTCAGCTGTAAAAATGCTAACCTAAAGGCTACTGAGATCCTATCGTGGTATTTTTGTCTGAGTCCTTTCTGGCTGTTGGTAATCAATATCAACATGTTCCATTCCAGCAATAACTAAAATGATGTTTAGTGGTCTAAGTAGCAAAGCATTTCCTAGCAAAAGAGGATAGACTAGGATTGCAAAAAGATGATTTAAGAGAGAATTCTAAGTTTGGCTCTAGGACCCTCCAGATAACTGACTGTAAGCACTTTAAGGCATGATGATGATTTTGTGTTTCAGACGGCTTTGCTGCTTAAAACCCAGTGTCCAGTTTTTGCCGAGGTGGGCTGTTCCCCATGTGGTGCATCAGACCAGAAGGGCAGGCTGTTCCCTGATGAGAGGTGAGTGATGCAGCTTCCTCGCAGGAACCCCTGCCTTGTTTTCTTCTGGTGAAAGCCTAGGACTCCTTTTACAACAATGATTTTTAGCAAGGATTGTCTGACTGGAAGTCAGGGACAAAATTTTATAGATAATTATAGACTTGCTTTATAGTCTTATAGGAACAGGTTAGAATAAATTTCCCTACAGATCAAGAGTTTAGTTCAAAATTGGCAAATTGGCAAATACTAATGATAAGGAAGTAAAATATACAACTTTGGCAAACAGTTTGACAGTTTCTTAAAAAGTTAAACATATACCTACCATATGACCCAACTATTTCACTTCTAGGTATTTACACAAGAGAAAAGAAAGCCTAGATTTTTAGACTTGAATAATGAGGGTCGTAGCAACTTTAGTTAGAATAGCTCAAAACAAGAAACAACCCAAATGTCCATCAACAGGTGAAGGGATAAAGCATGGTGTTATAATGGTACAATGAAATCCTACTCAGCAATAAAAAGGAATGAACTATGGATGTATTCAACAATGCAGATGAATCTTAGACTGCTTAGGCTGAGTGAAAGAAGCCAGATTCCCCCCAAAAAAGTACATACGGTATGATTCTGTTTAAATGACACTGTGGAAAACGCAAGCTAATTTGTAGAGACAGAAAGCAAAGAAGTGGTTGCCTGTATTACCAAGAAGGAGGAAATTTCACAGGTGTATACATATGGCCAAACTCCCAAGTTATACACTTTAAATATGTGCAGTTTAGTATATGTCAATTACATCTCACTGAAGCTGCCTTTAAAAACATTGATCAGAAAGGAAGGACTTCTGGGTTTTTCTAGAGAAGTATGCTATCCATCCAAGCTTTGTGCAATGATGAAAATTTGTATTGTTGTTTTCCAATACTGTTGGCGACAGCTACATGCTGTTATTGAGTACTTGCAAATCAGCTAATGTGAACAAGACATTGAATTTTAAATTGTATTTATTTTAGATTCAATTGGCCACATTTTACTAAGTAACTACCCCTGTTGGAGAGCACAGAGCTGTAAGAGAACCCTACAACAGCCAAATGCCGCTGTAGAGTCTATATTCCCCAGTCTTGGGTTGTGATGTCCTCGAGAGTTCAATTTCAGTGGGTGAGAGGAACTGAAAGCACCTTTCTCTAGTAAAAATTAGAGTAAACAGTGGTTGTGTAGACTCATGGAGTTTTCAACAATTGACATTTAGATATTCACAAAAGGAAACTTTATAGGATATTAATCCTGTAGGATTTGGAAAGTGGCCAGTATAAAGGTCCTTTACAGTATCTTTTTTCTGAGTAGCTTTAAATGCAAGTTAGCAAGGTTCTCTCTTGGATATGAATCGGGCTTCTGCTTTGAAAAAAAGAAAGGAAAAATGCAAGTAAATTGTATAACAAAAAAACCCCTTAAATAGAGGATTTTTTAAATGTTCCAGTCACCACTGTATTGAGCCACAATGTTATCATACTGCACGCTGTGGAAAATCAGAGTGAAATTTCTTAACCTTTTGTATTTTCCTGTGTATACATTTTCTTTTTTCCTCCCCTTGCTGGTGAACTCAGTCGCGTTCTATTTGGTTGTAGAATGCTGGAAGAGAAGGAAGAACCAGGCTTTCTCACCGGTTTAAAGATTCCTGCTCCATGGGCTGCTGGCAAGACTGTGGAAACAGTCCATCCTGTCAGAGACAACTACAAATTTAAAGAAACCGTCCACATCCCAGGAGCTCGTTGCCTGTACCTTAGATTTGATAGCAGATGCTCTTCACAGTATGACTATGACAAAGTAAGCACCAATGGCTTCAAAATGGCTTCCTCCTCTAATAAGCTGGTGTTTTAGGTGCTTCTTAGTTTTCTTTGCTGCTGGTCACCATTCTTGACTTATTTCTGTCTGCAGATATCTCTTAGGAGAACTTCCCTAAGATAATGCCTTGAAGGGTAGTGATTGGGGGCGCCAAAAAGCCAGCACTGCTGCAGTCTAAGACCAGTGTTTAATGACATGTTGAAAGTGGATTTTTGTAAGCTTTCAAAGTTTAGATCTGAATCAAAGGGAATTTTCCTTTCCATTCTGCTTACCTCCTGCCTTCTCTCTGCTCACAGTTCCTGTAGATGTGTGCGTCCTTTCATCTAGAAAGGTCTTACTGCCTAGTTCTTGGGGCTTCTCATGTATCTTGGGAGAAGGTGGCCTTTTAGAAGAATTTCAGACGTGTTAGGATCTGTTTGTGTTTCACTTATTCTTTGCCATTACCTCAGGGCCCACATAGATTTCAAGGAAGTGTAGTTTCCAACCTGGTGGCTGAACCAAATTATGAGTAAAAGGAAGTGCTTTAGGGCTTATAGTATTTTCTCCTGTTTATAACTGTTGCATTGTAAATCATTATGTTGGACTTAGGAGGCTAAAGAAATTATGATATGTAACATAAAAGAACAACGGAAGGATTAGCTAATAGCCTTGTTCATACACAGGACTATTTTTATGTAAATTGTCAGCTATCTGCTGTATCTCTCCTCTGTGAACTGTGTAAGGGCAAATGGTCTTAAGTCCCACCAGGGGAGGTTTTTAGGTTAAAAATAAAGGACTCCTTAACTGTATATACTATGGGAGGGTAAAACACATTACTGCGCAAATTATAGAATCCTCTTCCCCATTACCTAAGGCTAGTGAAAATCCCAGATGTCTGCAGGGGTTTTACCCCCAAAACTCACCCTAGCTGCAAGCAAGAGAAGTGGTCTTCAGTGGGCCTTTCAAAACCTTTGTCTCCTGGCACCAGTCCACACCCCTTCCTAGTCGGAACATGAGCTACCCCATTTCCTAGATTCAAGCTATATGACTGTTTCAAGTGGAAATAAAAGAGGTTGTCATTTTAGTTGGTGTCATTTTGTTTCTCCTTTAAAAGCCTAATTTGTAACTTCTGATGCATGCAATCCACAACTGCAGTGTACATTAGTGTGAAGGCCTGGGGTGCTCACTAACAACATGGACAAAAGTAACATTTACTTTTTCAGTGGTCCCCAACAGTGTAAGAAGGGTAAGAAGTCACAAACAGCTAAGTGTCCAGGGCTGAAAAGTGCAGCTTCTGGACTGATCTCTTGACACAGACAGAGGCGGTCAGAGTACACATTGGAAGGCAGGATCTGGTATTTAAAGAAGCCAGAGCCTTACCCTTCCTGTGAAAGCATTTGAATGCCAAACGGCCTCTAAATGGTTCTCCTGTGTATTAGAAAGTTGGTTAAGTGAATGTAAATGAATGGACTTTATTGAAGAGAAGTGTTGATACATGAAAACCAACCCAAGAAGAAGCAGTTCCCTTTCTGGCCCAAATTTGGGTCATTTCTTTTTTTTCATATCATAAAGCAGCATTCTAAGAATACGTGGCTTATTTTCCATTTGTTGCATTTTTTAACATCCTCATTTATTGAGGTTTCGAGGGTCTTTTGTTTTTGTTTTTGTTTTTGTTTTTTTGCTTTTATTTTGTTGTATGAAATCTAACCATCTTTTCACCTGTATTTACTCACTTTATTAATTTTGGGGAAGATTTGAGAGGGCAAACTGTACCTTTTAATAATGAATTACATGTGGTTATTTAGGATTAAAATAGCTATTTAAAAATACACACACATACATGTATGTATATATTAGCTGAATATAGCTATTTTAATATGAGGTCCCCAAGTCAATAAATTGGTAATATTTGTTATTATTCTGTGGCTGCCCTGTAAATACCAATGGCCAGTTGCGTTCAAACTAGTATCATTTGTGCCTTTAAAAAAAAATCAGGACATTTTTATTTAGTTATATTATGACACCAGGGCCTGGCTATAAATGTGTTTTTAAACAAACGTGTTCTACAGCCTTTTTATTTGTAGATGCTGTTTTTGTTTTTCTTTTACAGTCTAACAGTGTATTTTCTGTTTTGAAGTTGGTGGTCTACGCGGGGCCTAACACAAACAGTAGGAAGGTCGCTGAGTACGGAGGCAATGCACTGGGGTACGGCAGCCGTAGTGTCTTAGGAACCGGTTGGCCGAAAGACTTGGTGAAGGTATGGTATCTGGTCACGTTTGCTCCCTAGAAAAGGAAAATGAACTTTATCCCTCATGGGCCCAAGCATATTAACTAGAATTCAAAACAGAGCTCGCCGGGGGGCTATTGGTACGGTGGGGCTGCATCGCCGGCCTGTCCGGCCCTGCTCCATTCACAGCAACCCTCCGTTCCCTTGCAGGGCATCAGACCCCTGCCACTCCGGAGCCCGTCGCACAGGTCGCTCCGTGGGCCGAGGCAGCCACGGCACTTCCTCCCCTGTCTGTTGAGAGGACCGCTCGTTCTCCCAGCTTGCTTCTTCTCTAGACTCCCTTACGATGGGTGTCCCAGAACCAGAGGGCCGCCGAAGTGAAAAAATGGGGGATCAATGTTCTCAGATGAATTTGGGCCTTTGGAGCAAAAATAATGACCCATTCTCAGACTGATATGATTCGAACCATACTTTGTAATTTGGGCCCTTGCACGACATATCTACCCAGAATTTAAATATGAACTGAATGCCCATTAAAACTTGAAAACCTCTCTAAAATCTATGCCCAGAGCCTTTATCTCACATACATTATGTACCCTCTCTAATTCAGCAATAGACCCCAAGTCTCTCCTAGTGGGGCTAGTCCAGATGCATCCAAAGCTGGCCCAGCCCAGCATTTTCCACTCGCCTCTATTTTTCTGCCTTTTCTTTCTCATTCATGGTGTGGATTCTACATTACAGAGCAAGCTTTTCCAGCACTGGCTATGTCTTCTTCCAGACACTGGCCATTTGCTTGCCTTGTTGGCACAAGCAGGTGGTGACATGGAGAGAGGGGGAGAAGGGCAGAAACAACAGAAATTTGAGGAACTCATTGAAATTATGTTTAAGATTTGGTTCATCTTTACTCTGATCCTGCTATTGGGCAATTGTGATCCATTTCACAGATGCCTCATCTCAAACGCTATCTGGTCAGGAGAGACACCTGAAAGGCTGGTGTCCAAATGAGAGGGGATGGAGTTTGAATTTAAAAAGCCAGCGAGAAAAGGAGTAAAATATTGCTGTGGTCCTTTTGAAAGTAAATCTCTGAAATTCATTGCTCTCTTGAAAACTGTGTGTCCTGTTTTAAAGTGCATTTTCCCCCCTTAAATTTTAAGGTGGAAGGAGATACAGTCACCTTCTCCTTTGAAATGAGAAGTGGCCGTGAGCACAACACTCCTGATAAAGCTATGTGGGGCTTTGCTTGCACAGTTCGCGCTCAGGTACTCGACTCTAACCACTGCTGTGGGCATAATGTACTTTCTCCTTTGTGCCTTTGTTACATACATCATATTTGCCTTGGAATTAGGGCAAAATATGAGCTATTGTTTCATCCATCTCTTCCATTTGACAGGAGGTAGACTACTGATAGTCAGTAGTAGTTTTATGGAATAAAATGAGCTGTGACCTTAAATCAGTTCAGCAGCACAGAGAGCCTGCTGCTAGGTGCTCTGTCTTCAAAGCCTGGAGGGGTGATCTGCCTCCAGAATCTTTCCATAGGGCAGAGAAAGCTCCAACACGAAGCACTTGGACTTTGGTTTTAAGAGTAATAGGGTCAGATTATTTTCATTCTATTCCCAAAGGTTCTTTTTGCTAGACTGGGTCTTTCTCTGGTTATTTATTTGTGTTATACCATGTGAATAGATTTAATCTAGTCTTTTTTAATAGCAGTGCCCAAAAGTTATTCCCACCCCACCCCCAGCCCCCAGAATCTATGCAAATAAATTCTTTTCCAATCTGGAAAAAAAAAAAAGAGAGAGAGAGATAGAATAGTAGGAGTTTACCAGCCTGGTTTGTAAAATGTAGTTTAGATTGGGAGATTGCTTAAAGTTTAACCAAGCTAAGACCCTCTGGAGTGGAATTCTTTGCTAGAATGTAAGCTCCACGAGAGCAGGCATCTTTGTTTTGTTCTCTGGTGTTATCTCAGGAACCTAGAACAATGACTGGTACACAGCAAGCACCCAATAAATATTTGTTGAGTGCATTCATTGTCATCATTGGCATCTTTGTTTAAGTAAGGATGGAGGCAACGACGAAATAGTGATTTATACCCAGGGAGGCACAGCCGAGAGGGAGCGACCCAAAGAATCATGCATGAGTTTTGTGCTGTTTCTAATATGGAGTCTTTTTGGCTCTTCTCTCTCCTGAATTGTGTTGAGACTTCACTCTGTGGTCATTCAGTGCCACCATCTATCTGCTCGTGGTGTTGGGTGCTGCCCCCACGTGCCATGTCAGTGATGCTCGACGCTGCTCTGTCAGCCCCGCGGTTGGGGCAGGGCAGTGGGGGGAGCACAGGTGCCCAGGCTCTGCCGTGCTCACTGACCAGCGCCATCTGCCCCGTCTGCCTTGTAGGAGTCTTCGGAGGATGTGTCAGGAGGCCTGCCCTTTCTGGTAGACCTGGCTTTAGGTCTGTCTGTGTTAGCTTGTTCCATGCTAAGAATCCTGTACAATGGACCAGAAATTACCAAAGAAGAAGAAGCCTGTCAGGAGCTGTTGCGGTCCAAACTTTTGCAAAGGTAACAAAAAGCTCAAGTGGGGCTACTTTTGCTCACAAAGGAAAAAGGACTTGATGTGGAAAACTACTTTTAGCGTGTTTCCCAGCTGATCATGCCTACTGCCTGACAGTCCCAAAGGTGCCATTGTGTCTAAGAAATAAAATGAAAATTACACCGAAGTGCCTTCTGGCCCTTACTTCACTAAATTTGAAATTATAGACTTGAACTGCATAAGCTTTTCTCCAACAAATATCATATAATTAAATTAAAAGATCCCCCAAACAATGGGTAGATGGGAGATAAAGCAAATAGGGCAAAATGTTTATTCAAGAAGCTAGGCAATGGGTATATGAGTGTTAACATGCAATTCTTTCAATTTTTATATATATTTAGAAATTTTCTCTTTTTCCTTAAAAACTTTTTTGTAGTTTTCCCATTACCATTTAACCCCTTATATCCCTCTCCCCACTGCAATCAACCACACTGTTGTCCATGTCCTTGAGTCCTTTTTCCTTTTGGCTCGATCCCTCCACCTGCTAACCTCCCTCCCCGCAACAGCTGGCATCCTGCTCGCTCTCTCTGAGTCTGTCTCTTGTCTGTCTGAGTCTTGTTAGTTAAGTAAAATTATATAGTATTTGCCTTTCTCTGACTGGCTTATTTCACTTTGCATGATGTTCTCCAGGTCCATCCATGCTGTTGCAGAGGGTAAAGTTTTGGGGTTTTTTTGTTTTTTGTTTTTATGGCTGAGTAGTATTCCATTGCGTAAATGCCGTATAGTTGTTTTATCCACACATCTACTGACGGACACTTGGGCTGCTTCTGAATCTTGTTGATTGTAAATAATGCTGCAATGAACATAAGGGTGCTTATGTTCTTTTGAATTAATGTTTTGGGTTTCTTTGGATATATTCCCAGAAGTGGGATTGCTGGGTCAAAATGTTGGGAAGCAGGCAGATTCCCAAAAATATGGTTTCATATAATATGCTAATTTCTCCTAAAGAAGGTTTGATGAACAAATACTTAACACATAATGTGATCCTTCATATGTTTGATTTATCTGCAAACTTTAAGTAGCTTTCCAGATAGAAGAGGAAGAGAAGAAACTCTTTTCTTTCTGTTCAGGTGCCAATGGCAGGTGGAGGCCAATGGTGTGATCTCCCCGGCCTTGACTCCCAGCCCGTCTCCGCTGCCTCTGACCATCGAGGAAGACAGGGAATTCACCTACCCCTCTGACATCCTTGTGCCTCCAGTGGGAAGCTACTTTGACCTGCCCCGGATCAGGCTGCCTCCAGGAATCATGATAAAGCTCAGGGAAATTTCTGGGCGTGCTAGACCTCAATTTAGACCAAGTATAAAGTATGTTGCTATATAGCATTTCCTTTTTCCCAGTGGGGAAAAAAATGTTTAAACAGTTGAAGGTGGTATCTTTCTTATAGTCTAGCAAATGAACCTTTAATTTTATGCTTACTTAATGACTGTTAACCAAGTGCCCTGGGGAGTGTCCCCAGATGTATTCTAGGTCAGTAGGTCTCAAGGTGTGGGCCTCCAGGTAGCAGTGGCAGTCAGCATCACCTGGGAACTCATTAGTTCTTGGGCCCCGATTCCCACCTACTGAATCAGAACCTCTGAGGATGGGGCCTAGTGATCTATGTTTTCACAATTTTTCCACATGATTCTGTTGCATGTTACAGTTGGACAGGCTCTAGGTTTTTCTCAGGTAGTTTGACCTTCTACTGGTAGTCATCAACTTTTCATTTCCATAGACTCTGGAGGCATTTCTTTGTTTTTAATGCTAAGAGAGATGGTGAGGGAGGGGTCTTTATTCTAGAACATGAAGTTTTACTATTACAGATGTCTTTGAGATGTTCTTGCTTAAAGTGAAATCTATTTTATAGGCTCTGCTCTGCCTTCTGAGGCAAAATTAGCCATTTCAGAGAAAATTTAAAGTATAGATTAAATTTAAAATGGAAAAAATACAGAAGCATCGTAGCTTTCAATCCAACATCCATACACATGAAATACCACAAGCTGCATAAAATTAATTGGTATATAAATGATGTCAAAGGTCTTCCTTTAGCCCGAGAACTATTCCAGCTCTAATGTGACTATAGCTCAAAATGTATGCGTCATAGTGTCTTTTATTTTGATTTTCAGTTTTATTAGCCAGTGTTAGTTTTATCAGTTAAATATATTTAGTTAGTGTCAACTTGATAGGAAAGCTATCATACAATGTTCATGCCTCTTTATTGGAATAAAGGAGGTATGGTGAATATTTAATGTATTTAAATCAAAGCCTATGTCCTTGAATCTATAAAAAAGTATTGACAAGTTGAGTGCATGGCATATACCTGACTACTTTCCATTGTAACCACAGAGAAGTAATTCAGCCAGATGTGATGGAGGAAATGGTGGTATCATGTGTCATTAAGCACTTGAACTTGGTTGATGCACTGCAGTCCCTAATAAATTTCCAGTATCAAGAAGAACACGCTGAGGAATATGATTTATTGTGTAAAATTATGGGCGAGACCTTTAAGAAGCTCAGTGCCATGGAGAGACAGCTGCAGGTAGGTGAAAGCTGAAACACCAACATCTCTCTTATAAATGTTAGAAATAATTTCTCTCCCAGAAATTTAATGACGTTTACAAAGTGATCTGAATTTTTAAAAATTATTATGACTAAAACTTCTGAATTGTAGATTGCACTTATTTTTATCTTGTATCAATTTTCACATTGTTTTCTATTTTAACGTATCAGAGTGTTGCAGAATTGGAACAGAAGTGGCAAAGTGAGGTGGATGATGCCATACAGGGGAAACTGGAGAACAGCGTGCCCTTCTTCTACGACTACCACTTCAACGAGGTGAGCGGGTCGTGCGACGCGTCGCAGTGCAGCCGCCTAGCTGCATGTAGAGATGAAACGAGGTCGCTTCTTAGAATGTTGCGTCCCCCAAATGTTAAGTAAAATTTATTGGATCAATATGTCAATAATACAAATAATAAATTACTTATTGTTTTTAACTGATTAATAGTGTTATAAAAAAAGTTATCATTATCAAATTTTGCTTTCAAGCCTTAAAAAACAAATCAAAGGCAGAGTTACAAGCACTGAAGAAATCCTTAGTAAGTGGTCCATACCATTTTTAATCATTAAAATATCGAATAATAACTTACAAATGTGCTTCTGGCGTAGACATATGGACCAAAGATGGTGTTTTTTTTTCCCTTGAAATTCTCTATTATTTTTAACATGTGCAGTAAAACTCAGCTTTTGAAGATCCTGCATACCATCTTTTCTTGATTTTTCCTTCTTAGAACAAAATGAAAGAACTAGAACTTTTGTGTTCAATGAAGGAAGTCTCCTTTGATGGAAATGATCTTGAAAACATGGTCCTATCTCTGAGGTTAGTGATGTTAATAACTATGTAAAGCTAATTTATTCCCTTGGTGCTCAAAACAAAATGTGAAGATCTAGTCTCAACAGATATTTTAAAAAATATTGTGCTAAATACTTTAGACTTGGAAGTCATTTGGTAATTTGGAGATTTTTGTTGTAACCTTCAAAAGTTAGCACCATGGCATTTGAAACTGGGCAAAAAGAATTAAAACCGACCACAGTTTATAGCTCTGCTCCCCTCAGATGAGGAGAGGGGGAGGTGAACAATATTTAATTTTTGCTTAGTTTTCCCTCTGTCTTCTCATACCCTTTGTAATTAATTAAACAACTTTGATTTTGGTAAACTAGAGAACGACTAAATGCACCTGAGCCTTTCTTTATAGGGAGAAGTTCCTACAAGAAGTGAATTCTCTTATTCAGAAACCCTCGCACCCACTGGCTAAAACGAAGGCGTTAGTGAAGAGCTTAATGAACCGAGCCGAGCTCCTGCTGCATGTCACCATCGCGGCCCAGTCCGGCCTCACCAGGAGCATCTCGGGGACCCCTGCGGAAACACCGGGTACCGCTCACGCTGGCCTGCGCCGGCTCCCTGCGCTAGTCTGCTCACAAAATGGACATACGCTTCTTTAAAACATCACTCCTGTGTGCTCCCAGAAACGAAGAAAAATTCAACATTTTTTATTTTGCATTTTACTTTTTCCAGCCAAGAAGTGCTTTTCCTTGAATTCATGTGGTGTTTTTGTGAGTCAGCTGAGCACCAGCAGTGCCTCCTCGCCTGCCTCATCCCATTTTTCTTGGGAGCATCTAAGGAGCCAGTGACATGTATTTTTATAATTCTGTGCCCCCTATTTTTAACTGATGGCTTGCCATTCTCATAGTAACATGTGTAACTAGATAATCAATATTGTCAATCTTGTAATGGACCATGTTTTCCTCTTGAAGCTGAGTTTGCATTTCATCTTTAGTTATTAGGTGGAGATTTCTAGCATGAATTTCCACTATTAATTTTTCTCCTGATCACATTTTAATTCTTAGCCTGAAATGTGTTTCTCAGGGAAATCAGTAAACCAGATCCACAACACTGGGCATAGCCCATAATAACAAGTGTTAACTCTTCTCCTGAGAAAACAAGTTGAGTAAACATGTTCTTAAAGGAGAGACCTCATGTTACCCAGCCCATTGCTTGGTGGACACTATCAAGCAAGCAAACTCGTTTGCACCCTAGCTAATCACCCAGGGCTCCTCTCACTTGGGAGAACTCTAGGCTGCCTCCCATGTTTCTGACCCCAGCCATAGGCCACTACTCCCTGAGAACATCAGGGGAGCTGTGCCAAGTGTGCAGTGTGACCGCAGGCCAGGGTGTTCTGCTGTGCCACGTCCCCGGCCACATTAGCCTTTGGTTAATTAAGTGTCCCCTATAGAGACTTAACTGCTCATTGAGGCTGGTGATGCTTTCCAAGAGGCTCTTGGTATCAGAGACAATGGACCAATCGTTTCCTGAGACATCATCTTCAACAATCACGTTTTTTTAGTTTGGCTGTCTAACCATTCTTAAGACAGATTCAAAATGACCTCTTCTCCATTCTCTTAACACCTTTTTTCCTGAGCAGATCTTTACATGTAGTTTTGTCTTCCATTAAAGTGTTGGGGTTTTTTTGTTTTGTTTTTTAATAAAACAGTTGTTTCCCTGGATAGGGTTAAGGAGTATATCTTATAGGAAGAGTCTGGTCAGATTCTAGCTCAGGTGTGGTAGTTACTCATACCAACTATGATGAAAGCAGAGGTGTCGCCAAGTGACAGTAAGTCAGCTAAATAAATCTCAGACTAAAGGGGAAGCAAAGGACATCTCTGAAAAATAAAATGGATCTGGATTTATTTGAATTAAGAAAGTTCTGCTTCCAGAAATTACTTTCTCTGTCCTCTCTTGCTTTTTTAAATGCTTGTATTAAAGGGAACATTGGTAGTTTATGAAATTAAATAAATTTTTCAGCCTTTCTTCAGAAACCCAATTTGATGAAAATATTTTAGTTTTCCAAGCTAAGATCATTTTTAACCTAATATCTAGATTTTTAAAAACTTGGCCTAAAAATACTAGTTATGGTTTGGTGGCTGAACTCTCATAGAAAGCAAAGATATCTTAGACTGTCTGGTAGTGCCATGTTAGGTTTAGCTGTTGCTGTTCTCCTTACAAATGGGATGACAGACATGTCAACTTTTTTATTCCTTCCTGTTCCAGCTTGTAAATCAGCTTCTGAAACAAAGGTGATAGCTCATGCTGTGCGGCAGCCTGTTTTCCTTCGTAGCATGTCCGCTCCTTCTGACCTGGAAATGATTGGTAATGAAGATTTGGAATTTACTAGAGCAAATCAGAGGTAAATGGCTAATGGCCAAGGTTGGATTCTAACATGCAGCTGAATGCTCTTTATCAAAACATATTCCTAAGAGTCTCTTGTTTTTCGGATCCAATGCAGGCGGCGCCATGTGACCAGCCACCGAAGCAGCTCCTTTACACTCCTGCAGTCACTGGCCATCGAGGACAGCAGGGACAAGCCCACCTACAGCGTCCTGCTCGGGCAGCTGTTTGCTTTCATCGGCACCAACCCTGACCAAGCTGTAGGTCACATTTTGCTGACTACAGATAAATGGCACTGAAAAGCACAGGAGCCCTGGTATAGTTAGAAGAGTCAGGTGTATTTTCTTCTTGTGCATTTCAGGTGTCCAGCAGCAGCTTCCTTCTGGCTGCACAGACGAGGTGGCGGCGGGGAAACACTCGCAAGCAGGCCCTGGTGCACATGCGCGAACTGCTGACTGCAGCTGTGCGAGTTGGGGGCGTGACACATCTTGTGGGCCCAGTGACCATGGTCCTTCAGGGAGGACCCAGGTCAGTTGTTTCTGTTGGTTCATATTGCCCTGTCGGAATGGACAAAAGCCCTATCAGAGACTCTCCTTGGGGCCAAATCATAGACAGTGTATTTGCTTATGTTTTCCCCTAAAATATTATATTTTTATTTTTATAAAAGTAGTTCATGATTCTGTAAAAAATTCAGCATACATGACAGTAAATAAGTCTCTTTATTCATCTTTTCCTCCTAAATTCCATTGTTCATTAACAGCTTGTCGTATCAACTACACATACATAAATAGCTCTTTAATTCTTTCATACACGTGTGTATGTGTGTGATTTTTAGTTTCTTAATTCAGATTATATTACCCTTGATTTACTGTAATCTGAATTGTTTTGCACCATGTATCTCGGATATCTCTATCTTTTCATGTCGCTACATAGAGCTCTGCGTTACAGTTTCGAAGAGCTCCATGGACCTCCATTGTATGAATGCCTATATTTTATTTTATTTAACTCATCCCCAACTGACCGACTCATTGGTTCATTCTTTCTTCACTTTCTCCCCCTCCTCCCTCCCGTCTGTTCTTTCTTCTTTTTTTTCTGTTTTGTTTGTTTTTGCATTAACAATAGTGCTTTAGTCAACATCCTTATACCTGCATTTTTGTATACTTTTGTGCTTATTTACTGGATTGATTTCTAAAAACATAATTGTGGGTAGTTATGTTAAAGAAGGTCTTGTAACTTATTTGCGAGGAATTTTTCTATACTAGTTTCCTACTGGCCTTCAGAGCTCTTCCGGTAGAAATGAAAAGGGCGTTTCTCCCCCAGTCCTGGACCGGGACTGCGGGGGCTGCCTGCGCCCCAGCAGCTCCTGAGGAGTTCCGGCCAACAGGCAGAGGGCAGCGGCTGGAGGGAGTGTGCTGACCGAGGGCTGATGAGAATGGCTTGAGAAATTTCGGTCCGTCAGGAGAGGTCAGGTTATCCTTTGGAAGCAAACAAGTCCCAAATTTCAGTGGCTTAAACAAAATTTTAATTTTTGCTCACGGCCACTGCAGGTCCACGTTGGCTCATGATCAGCACAAAGAGCCCAGGAGGGAGTGGAGACTGCCATCTCAAAGCTGTCAGTGCCCTTGTCAGGACCCTGGCTCGTTGGCCAGGCTGGCCCCGCCAGCCACAGGGGCGCCCAGAAGGCTTAGTGAGCAACACTAACCACCGCCACCACGGACTTCCAGGATAATTTCTCCCTAACACTGGCGGCAGTGCTCCTTTTCCCCTCAGCTACTAATGTCATGTGTCAAACATTTGAACAAATGCAGAAGATCCTGAAGTATAAAATCACATGTTAAGCCAGTATCTTAAGATTATTAATATTTTATTAAGCCTATTAATATTTTAGTGTATTCTGTCTTTATTCTAACTACAGATATCTCATTTCCTATAATGTCCATAGTGGATGTATAGGACTGTATCATATTCCTGAACCTTTATTAAACCAACTCCCTATTTTCAAACCTTAGGTTTTATTTACTTTTGCTATTATAAACAATATTCTGTTGTGTATCTTTACAGATAAATCTAGGTAGTTCCAGTTCTCAACTCATAGTAATCACCATAGAATCTATCCCAAGTTGTGTTTTTATGTGGGAAAAGTCTTATTTCATATCAACTGGATTGTCATGCTCTGCTAATAGAATGGGAACTTGAAAGGACACTTAGCTAACCTGTTTGGGTCTTGGCTTTCTCTTTAGTACCATTGCACTTACAGTATTCAGTGTTGCATGGGATACTGTAGATGTGTATCAAATAAGTGGTTTCATTATTAAATAAATCTAGGGAATCTTGGGCACCATTCTCGTGCTCTTACAGATACTATGGACTTGAACTTTGTAGAGCTCTGAGAAGTTCTGCAGTAGGGACCGACCCCTGCTTCGCTTTACCTACCCTAGGCCTCCCCAGGCTGCTCTTGAGTCTGGGCATTGTCCTTGGGGTGCACTTAGAAATCCTGCCCAGCAGTGTTCTGTGATTCTGCAGTTTGGGAGACACCAGTGATCCCCAAGACCCTTTTAGTTCTGGATTCAGGGAGATGCTCCGGGGTTCTCTGTAGAGCTTCGCTGCTCTCATGTTCACTATCACTGTTCTTGATATGGCTCAGGAAGGCTGAGTTTTGGTTCTGTTTCATAGAATTGAAGAACTAACCTGTGGCGGGATGGTCGAGCAGGTCCAGGAAGCCTTCGGCGAGACCATGACCTCGGTGGTATCTCTCTGTGCTCGTTATCCTATTGCGTGTGCAAATAGCATCGGCCTCTTGTGTACCATACCTTACACCAGGTAAGCAAGGAAATGCTTTTTATTGTATGTGACTTATTCCACAATGTAATTGATTACATAAAAATATTTTTTAATATTTAAAAAATTGGGGGTTTTCTTGCTTTGATTATCCAGTGACATTATCACCCTGATTAAATGAGCTAGCCTGCATCCTGACGTCTAAAGTTACTGTGGAAATTCCATACTGTTGAGTTCCTATGTAATAAAAAGTGGCCATTAGAGATTATATTATACTGTCAGAATGAAGAGGTTTGAAGGAATGAAAAAGGCCCCTGTGAGATTACTTACATATTTGGCAAAAGTTTTTTGCATAGGCATATCCATTTCCTGTCTTAGTCATTTGGTTAATAGTTTGAAGACATCCAGCAGTCATGAAGTCATTCTTTGAATCCCCTTGTGATAAAATATGTGATTTTTTTATTATGGCAACCTTGAGTTGATGCCATCAATTTTTACTTTGCTGTTCTGTATGAATAAACCAGAACTTGAAGTTCTTTATTTATGAAGGAAAACCTCATTCTACAAAAATATTTCTGTGTTCCGTTATACATGGTAGTGCCCTAAGTCGTAGACAGAGGACTATACCGGCATGGTTTCTGTTCCTTTGATGACCTGCGTCTCCAGTGAGAGGTTCCTGAGGGCTGGTCGGTTATGTTCATTCTGTGCAACCCTTCCCGCCTGCCCAGGAGCGAGGAGAAGTGCCTGGTTCGCAGCGGCCTTGTTCAGCTCATGGACCGGCTGTGTAGCTTGAGCAGTCAGACCGAGTCCAGCTCCAGTGAGAAACAAACCAAGAAGCAGAAGGTGGCCACCATGGCCTGGGCAGCCTTCCAGGTGCTTGCCAACCGCTGTGTCGAGTGGGAAAAGGAAGAAGGTAAGAAGCAGGATTCGTTTCTAGAATGCATTCATTTCTTCTGTTGGTGTGTTTGTTTATTAAGTATTCGTGCTGGCTGGGGAAAAAGAGAGCCTGTGTTAAACAACATAATCAGTTGGGTTTCATCAGTTAATGATTTCAAGAGAGCCTCTTCATCAGCATGATTCTATGGAAATTTGTAGCTGCACTACGACATTAAACGATAGCCTAACCTAGAGGGCATGATGCTAAGTGAAATAAGCCAAACACAAAAAGACAAACACTGAATAACCTCACTTATATGTGGAATACAAAAAGCCAAATTCCCAGAAACAGAGTAGAATGGTGGTTACCAAGGGTTGGGAGAAGGGAAAACGGGGAGATGTTGGCCAAAGGGACCAACTTTCAGTTATAAGAGCTGGTGATCTAATGTAACACATGATAGTTAATACTTCATTGTATACTTGAAAGTTGCTAAGAAAGTAAATCTTAAGTGTTCTCACCATGCACACAAGAAAGATAACTCTGAAATGATGGATGTATTAATTTGATTGAGGGGATCATTCACAATACATATGTACATTGCACACCTTTTTAAAGATTCACTTTATGCAGTCTAAATTTGTTACAGTTTTTACTTGTTAAATCTTTGTAAAGCTGTGGTGGGGGTATGATAACCACCCTGATGAAGTACAGTAGCCCCAGGAAATTGGGAAGATATTTTTGCTTCTTTCTTTTCAACACTTCTAACAGTCTCCAAACAAATATTTTATGAAATAGTTTTCCAGTTGCACTTTCACGGTGCTATTTCCAAATTATATTTTAGTTACCAATCTGATTTAAAAAATAAGCTTGAAGGATAATTACTCCATAATATCTCAGCTCTGTATATAGGTTGTTTATTTATGCTTATTTATTCACCATACATTCTGTTGTCTTGAGAGCCAGGTGTAAGAGAAATAAGGCAGCGTTCCACCTCTTAAGAGATACAGTCCAACGAGGGAAGTAGACCAATGAATAAGTAATTACAGGGTAATCGATGTCATAATCAAGGTGTATACAAAGTGTTGTGGGACCATAGAGGTTCCTACAGACAGTTGTGTTTGGGATCAAGTAGAGCTTACCAAAGAAAGGGACATGTCAGTTATTCCTGAAGGGATAACGAAGACTTCTAGGCAGAATAAACAATGTGTGTAGGCACAGGGATCCCAGAGATCGTGGGAAGTTCAGGAAATGACAAATAATTTTTGTGGCTTTTATAAGAGATGCTTGGGGGCGTGGTTGGGGGGAGCTCTGGAACTACGGTGAAAATTAAAGATCCAAAAAGTTCTTTTATTTTTAAGAAGAGGTAGGGTATAGGTGACAAATTAATGATTTAATCACAGGAAAATGGTGATTCTTCCCTGTCAATAACAGTATGTTCTTTGGTTTTGTATAGATTACTTATGTTCTGTCTTAATGAAGAATAATCTTTCCTCAACATTGAATCATTTTTCAAGTTACTATTACCTTTTTTATGTGCAGATGTTATCTAATGAGATGCTGATTCATTGGATGGCTAATGAAATGCTGAGCAAGTTAAAGAAACACTGGAAGGATGGGCGGGGTGGGGGTGGGGCTTTAACACAAGGAGGCTGAGAGGGAGCACGTACCCCAGCTGCAGGCTTGCCATGGCTTCCTGGGGTTTCACCAGCCTCTTCCTTTCTTTGCCTCTGAAGGCGGCTCCACGGAGGCCGTGCATTCAGGTCTGGCCCGTCAGGTGTCCAGCCTTCTCACTAACCATCTTGCCCGAGCCACTGAGTGCTGCGGCAACCAGGCTGCTGGGAACGATGCTCTCCAGGATGTGCTGAGCCTCCTCAATGATCTCTCGAGGTAAGGCCGGCCCAGCCGGGGCCCCGGAGACTGCTGGCTTTCCTCCTGAGCGACTGGGGTTCCTTTGGGTGGTCTTTGTCTTTAGAACCATCTAAATGATGAGGCTGTCCTGACATGCTCCTTCCTCAAGAAAAATAGTAGAGAATAAAGTCATTAAAAAATAGTATTTAGTTTGTAAATGTGAGGATTATTTAGGCATATATTTACATCAAAAAATAACATATTATCATTTGCTTTAATACTTTGCTGGTAACATCTGCTAGACCTTCAAGTTTATGCATTTGCATTCAATAACCAAAAACCCTTACCCTCATTTAGCAAGATTAAAGAATAATCTGTCAGGACCTACAAGTCACTCACTTTCTCACGCTGTGTCTTTACAAGAAGATCTCTGTGGAGGCTTGCTATCACCATGTGTGAGCCGTGAGGCCCACGAAAGCTGTCCCCAGGGACCGCTGGTGCTTTGGCTTCAGCCAGACTCTGTGCTTTCTCCTTAGTGCAATGTGCCCGGCCCAGCTGGGGCAGACCCCAGACTGGTGAGACTTTTGGTCTCTGAGTACTCCTAAAGAAGGAAAAAAAGACTAAATCATAAGCCTCCTAGAGTGGATTTCTAAGTCTTGGTGCTCTGTGAATCATGCTGAACTACAGGATCTTATTTAAGTACACATCAGGGATCAGAAAATATTAAAAAGTCTTTTTTTAAGTGTTATTGGTCAATTGTGAGCTTTCGTCAGATAATTACAAAAAAAAACCCTTAATTATTCTTCATAAAAGCATATTGCCAAATCCATGTCTTCGTCATGAAATGAAGTCATCCATTGGTTTCACTGCATTTAGGGACCTCCTGCTTCTGAATTTCTATAGGCCAGCATTCCCAACGTTGTGTATCTTCTCTTCCTTCTTTCCCAGGAGTCACATAGGCAAAGCCATCCTGAGCCAGCCAGCTTGTGTGTCCAAACTCCTCTCCCTGCTGCTTGACCAACGCCCATCTCCAAAGCTGGTCCTTATCATCCTTCAGCTATGCCGTGCAGCGCTCCCACTAATGAGTGTAGAAGATTGTGGGAACGTGGAGCTCCCCCCCTGGAGCTACTCTGTTCCCTCCCTGAACAGTGAGCAGGAGGATCCCAGTGACCCAGCATCCAAGATCGCCTCGTTGCTCTTAGCGAAGCTGGCAGATTACGTGGTCCCAGGTGAGCAGCTTTTGAATGGGAAAATGGCGCTGAGGTGGCCACTTCTGTGGACGGTCAGACTGAGCTTTCATTTGTCCACAATGGCACCTGTGTGCTTCTGTGATCAGAGACAGAGAAGGGACAGAGCGGGAGAGAGGGAGGAAGGGAGATTCCACACCAGTGTTCTCCCTGCACAAATCGCGTTGCAATTTTTCTGTTTGCTTAAAGGATGTCAGACAGTTCTTTCTCCAACTGCTTCCGAACCGGACACCACATTGACCAAAACCAGTCCCAAGAATTCCTTAAAAGGGGATAAAGATCCTGGAGAAGAGAGTGAAGCAGTGGATGGCAAGCTCTCCATCTTTATCCACAAGCGGGAGGACCAGTCATCCCATGAAGTTCTCCAGCCATTACTAAGGTGACAATGATTGTAATAGCTACATGCCATCAAGCACCAACCATGTTATAGGCCCTGTGCTAAGCCCCTTACTTAGCAACTGTCTCAGCCCTCTGAGCAAATCTAAGACATAGTCACCGTTACTGTCATCCCTCTTGCCACCTGTGGAGAAACTGAGGCTGAGCTGAAATGCAGACACAGGCCTCTGTCCGCAACTTAACCGCAGCTCAGTACTGCCTCTCCAGGCTCAACAGGGAGCGAAAACCCTGCTGAGAAGGCGTTCTTTATGTTCGATGGAGTTTACAGTGTGACTTGGGCTTTGAGGAGGAATGATGCAATGTTATTGGCGTCCTTTAGCCATCGGTAAGTTTAAGGATACCATTGACTGTGGGGTGGAGAAATAAGAGACACTTTTCTAAAACTTTAATCCATTGAAGTGTGAATGATATGGTTGCTCAACAAGGAAGTAGAAATATATCATTATTGTCCAGTAATAACAAACCTCCAGGGCCCCGTTAGTGGGATCCAGGACAACAGGAAGGCCTGCCATGGAACACAAGGGACTGTAAAGCAGGTGTTTATGTCTCAGGTGGAAGAGTTCTCTCTTCAAATGAATGCTTGGATGATGGTGTCATCTTCATAATTGGGTCCCTTGTCTGCCATCATGGCAACCGAAAGCACTAATGGGCTGCCAGCATAAACTAAGCAGGGTCAGGGCAGCTCAGTGCTTAGGTGAAGAAGTCTCCCCAAGACATTCTTGGGCATTGCAGAACCTCAGAGTATAACTTTGGTGGCAGAGGAAGCTGAATTATTAGAAAGGAAGAGCTAATCATTTACACCAAGGCATCAACTCCATACTGTCATTAAAGTCCCCTCACTTTGGGATTTAGATCACTTCCTGAGCACCTCGTGTGTGCCCCGCCTTCCATGGATTATAGATTCAGACTCAAGTTTGTTCAGCTCCTTAGTTTGCACATCATTTTCACATAGGGCTTTTTTATTATCTCTAAACTCCAAAAACAGATGTTTTGATTCCTTAAAGTGCTATAACTAAGCAATAATAAATCATTTTCTTTTTGGAAAAATTGAATCTTACTCTGGATTTTAAAAACCTGTAACAGTGGCCTGACCTAATTACTGGGCTGCCTCATAGCCACGGCCCCCGCCTTTGACCGCGCCTGTGACACCATTGCCTCTCTCTGCCTTCCCTTTTCAGTAGCTCCGAAGGACGGCCCTTCCGACTTGGTACCGGGGCCAACATGGAGAAAGTGGTGAAGATGGATCGAGACATGACCAAGGTAACCCTAATACGGCGAAGCTCACTCTGACCCACGACTAAAGAACATTGGCCATGCTTCTAGTTTTCACGAGAAATTCTTTTTTAATTCAAGTTCCCACAAAGAGGCAGGATGACAAATTGCAGTCCGTAGCTTAACTGAGGACATTTTTAAGAGAAGTAGTCAATTTGCAATTAATGTTAAAATGTAAAAGAGAACTCTTGGTTTTGACCTAGAAATTTTTTCTTCGCTCTATTAAAAAAAGTTTTACAGCCTAAATACTTCAAAAATGATACTAGATGAAAGGTGGTTAAAAGAGTAATAATAAATAATAAGAAATAACGACAAATACCCCATCAAAATGTAAACACGTGCCCAGGCTCACAAATTATACAATATATAAATAGAGGAAAGGAATAAAAATAACAGTAACATGCCATTTTTGACCTTGGAGATGGGCAAAGAAAGACTGATAATGCCGACCCTCACCCAGGCGAGGGTAACACGGTACTCTCAGCGCCCAGAGACAGCCCTGCTCTGCACAGTTCACTTTGTGAAGAACAGCACAGAGTCTGTGTGTGCGGAAATAGGCGATTGGTTAAAGAAACTGTTACGTATCAATTATACCACAATTTTTAAATTATAAAAAAATTGAAAATGTTATATTCATAGAATGACATACTGTACAACTATAAAAAATTAAAGTCAGATAACTTTATATTCCAATATAGGAGCACATTCATGATATTTTGGTAACTGATAGAAATAAATGGAAAAATTATGTGTATAGTGATCCATGATTATGTAAGCCAGAATTTGCATGGAAAAATCTAGAAGATGAACAATTATCTGTGTCTAGGTCAGGACACGGGATGTTTTGGGGAACTTCACTTCCCACATATAATATTAGAATATCTGAATTTCTGAAAAAGAGCCTGGACTGCTTCAGTAGTTGGGGGAAACAGGTTTTACAAAGGCTACAGAGGAGACGAGTGACCTGAGTATCGGGAATGTCTTCACACTGACCCCCCAGGGCGGCTGCTGTGAAGTGATTACAGAGGAGGCTGCAGCTGCTCTGCGGAAAGCAACCAAGTGGGCACAGTCAGGCCTCATTGTCAGTGTCGGGCCACCTGTAGAATCGGTCAACCCAGAGACTGTGAGTGGACTGTCCACAGGTGACAAGAAGAAAACTGCCCAAACCTCCATTTGCCGAGAGCGGAACTCTGAACTTGCCAGGTAAAACCTTCCACAGGACAGAGCCTGTCCACACTCTCCTCAGATTTACCTTGTGATGGGGTTTTTTTCTAGGGTTTTAATTTCATATCACCCCCTTGACCTGCTGGAAATGGGGACCAAGGGCTTAAAATATCCATCTGAGTTTGTGATGGACGCACAGGAAGGCGCACCTGGCTGAGAGGACAACCTGTAGGCGGAGGATTGTTTTTCTGAGAAAGGCCACTACCAGAATCACCAGCTTCAGTTTTGTTGTTGTTGTTGTTTGCTTTTTTCCCGGGGAAAGGGGTGATATTTGTGAACTCTGGTCTTGCTTCCATGACTTCTTCTACATGATACTTCCCGTCATTCCAACTGTACACAGAAACTTCTTTCTAGGAGAGGAAAGGATGCATGAGTGTTGCCTCTGGGAACTTTGTGCCAGGTGCTCTGTGCTTGTGAGCCAGGGACAGGTACAGCATCATTCATGTCTTGCCCTGACATCAGGATGGCTTGCTCATTCCAGAGTGTGAGGTCCACTGTTTCACAGGGTTCTTTAGTTACCAGAAAGGCGAGGAGAGAGGTGGTTTCTTCCTAAAGATAACTTAGCTTCTCTCTCTCAATGAAATCCACTTTTTCTTGTATAAATAGAAAATGTTTTCCTCTGGGGCAATTCTAAAAACAACTTCTTTACATTCTTTTTTTAAAATTTTTATTTATGGATTTTAGAGAGAGGAAGGGGGAGAGAGAGAGATAGAGAAACATCGATTTGTTGCTCCACTTATTTGTGCTTTCATTGGCTGATTCTTCTATGAAGCGCAACCAAAAAAACCCGGAATTGTCTTCTGGAGGGCGACCCCCTTGTAGTACAGGCTTCCCCTGCTACGTGAGTGTTCTAGGAACCCATCTGTATCAGTGCACCAGCTGGCACTGTTGTGAGAGGCTGTGTTTGACTTCAGTGAGTTTTTTGAAGACTCTTCCAACATGCTTGCCCATTTCACGACAGGTGATTCATGAGCGCACCTGCCCACGCCACAATGAGTGTTCAGCAGTTTGTAACCAAAAACGGCATGACCCCCTTGCACCACCTTCCCTATTCACCCAATCTCGCCCTGAGCAACTTTTTTTTTGTTTCCCTGGGTGAAAAAAGTCCTTAAAAGGAAATGTTTTGTCAGTGTAGAAAAGGTGAAACAAAAAATGGCAGAAGCACTAACTGGCATCAAAGTCAACCAGTTCAAAAACTGTTTTGAGCAGTGGAAAAAACATCTTGATAGGTGTATGACATCAGATGGATAGGACTTTGAAGGTGACTGAAGTTTAAATATTTAAGAGTAAATACACAATTTTTTATAAATAAATTCAGGGGTTCTTTGGGGTCCCCTTTTGTATGTGCCCTAACTGGGGACTGAACTCACAACCTTGGTGTATTGGGACAACAGTCTAACCAGCTGAGCTTCCCTGCCAGGGCTTCTGTACATTCTTAATTAACCACGGCACTGGGCACTGACAGTTTTCCCTGTTGATACTTTCAGGACTGACCCTGTCCGACCTTTCATCAGTGGGCATGTGGCAAATAGCATGGCCGCGGAAGTGATTGCCTTGCTGCACAGCTTATTGATGGCACCTGAATCAAATGCTGCTCAGATATGGACCACGACAGCAGAAAAGGTTAGTACAGTGTTGTTGCTTAAATGAGGAAGCAAGAAGGAAGTTAGGGTTCTTTTTTTTTTAATTGATTTTTTTAGAGAGAGAGAGAGAAAGAGAAAGAGAAACACCAGTTTGGTGTTTCACTTATTTATGCATTCATTGGTTGCTTGCTTGTATGCAGCCCAACTAGAGAAGGAACCTGCAACCTTGGTGTATCAGGTTGATGCTCTAACCAACTAAGCTACCTGGCCAGGGCCACATTAGGGTTGGGTTTTTTTTCTTTTCTTTTCTTTTTTTAAGATTTTATTTATTTATTTTCAGAGAGAGGGGAAGGGAAGGAGAAAGAAAGGGAGAGAATCATCGATGAGCAAGAGAAACATCAATCAGTTGCCTCTCGCATGCCCCCAAACTGGGGATTTGGCCTGCAACCCAGGGACTGACTGGGAATTGAACCCGTGACCTTTCAGTTAACAGGCCAGCACTCAATCCACTGAGCCACAGCAGCAGGGTTAGGATTCTTTTTGAATCATGCCTAGCAAGGGACATTTTTAGTAAAAAGAGATTTCCCAGATTGGCTAGTTTTACTCGTTGCTTGTTTTTCCCCTGGAATTTGCTTTGATTTCCTAGTTTCAACTCTGTTCACATACATCTCCTGTCACTGCCAGTTCTAATCTTGCAGAAGACAAGGCAGAGTTCTCAGGGAAAGAATGGCACCCCTTGTTTTCTCCTTCTGGCTTGTGTTCAAGTGATAGTGATGTTAGGAGACCATGCAGCCTTGGTTATTGAACTTGTTGAGGGCACTAACGAAGCCCTATGGAGGCCTCTGTGTGATTTACACTCCCTGAGTGCTCTGTCAGTAATTCATCATTACACATGATAGTCCAGCTTCTTGAAAGCTAGAGATCTGCAATCAGTTCCCCTTTCCCATAGTCATTCTTCAAGTGAACTCTGTATACCATGTCCTAAAGGTAATTGGGCGTTGAGATTTAGGCAGTGTGTTGGGATGGTTTTCCTTCAGGTCAACTTTCCTTCAGGTTTATTTCAGGGGTTTTGTTACCACAGTTTTGGTTCTCTCATATCTAGAAGTTGTGTTTCCGGTTCAGTCCAATTACCTAAGGCAAAAGCTGCAGGAACATCAGTGGTCGTACCCAAGAATTATTTCATCCCTCCCGTATCCACAGTTCCTTCAGTACCTGGGACTCACTCACTATTGTGGACGCTCGTCACCCTCAGTACCAAAACAACCAAAGGTCCACCTCCTCCTACTTGGGCTGCATCTTTTATTTAGGTTCTGTCTCGTGCGCTGATGTACATTCCACAATTGGGGAAATATGCAGAAAGCATCCTGGAAAATGGAAGCAGTAGTGGCAGAAAACTCGCCAAACTTCAGAGAATTGCTCGCCAGGCTGTTGCTGCACTGTGTGCACTTGGAGGTTTCAAAGAGACAATCAAGATAGGGTCCGAGGTTCAGGTAACTAGCCACCATTTCCCCACATCATTGCTTTTCCCCATATAGAAACATCCATTGATTAATTGACCATCTGTAAGACAAGCATTGTCTACCCAGTTGGACAGAAATCCTTGGTGCTTCAAGCTAAATCAGGAATCTGAGAAACTCATGAATTCTAATTTACACTCTATTATAGACTATTTGAATATTAGAACAGTACTGTATGTTGTTAACTGCAATACTTTGTCTTGTGGTGTCATTAATAATGGCAGTATTTTAGAATTCAGAGTTGTGAGATTAAATGACACTGTGATCAACCTGACATAAGGTTTTCGGATCTATTATTTTAGCTCATGTTCAGGACTTAATATCTGTGCTGTAATAAACTTACTGTAACGCCCATAACTACAGCTATGAACTTACTGCTCCCACTTGTCACATGCAGAGTTGCTTCCACTGTCAGAGCCGGGAGGTGGTGCTGATCCATCTGTGTCTGTAGGTTTTAGGTAGAGGAATCTCAGGAAGCATCGGAGTAGTGGCCTCTATCAATGAACAGGAAGGTATTGCCACCGTCAGATTCCCGCCCATAGACTGTAGAAAGACTTCGCAAGCATCAGACACACTGACTATTCCGTTGTCTAGACTTTGTGTTCCAAGATCTGAGGTAAGGTGATTTTTAAATGCATTATAAAATGTCACTGCAAATGGTAACTGCACTCTAATGAATAATGTACACAGTGCAGAAGCACAAATACTTGGTTATCTTAAATTTTATGTGTGATATGTACATATTGGTGATAATTATTTAATAGTCACATTTGTGTGAAAATTCTTATCCCAATGACAAAGTCCCAGTCTTTGGTTAGAAATATTTCATTCTGTTGTATTTTTAATTGTTTTGGTCTAGTTTGTAGTTTTCTGTATAGTGATTTTTATTTTTTTAACTGATATTTTAAGAGTTAACTCCAGATAATAACACCCTCATCTCTTATAAACTAACTACTTGAATTTAACTTTTTGCCACACCCCGCCCTGCCCCCACATCAGGCGTTGCCTCTTCACAAACTGTCCATCACTGAGAAGGTAGTGCAGGCGGTCCAGTCCCTGCTGCTCCCGCAGGAGGGAAGTCTTTCTATCCACACCTCGCTGCCTGCAACCGGGGATGGGTCAGCGCCTGTGATGGCGGTTGTTCGGCTCCTGGCTGAAATAAGAACAAGGTGAGCGCCCTCCAGAGATCCCCCAATGTGCCGAGGTGGGCAGGCCACGGAGGCAGGGGTTCTTGGCGGGCCCTGTCCTCTGGGCTTGGTGGGTCCGCAGCATGAAGTTCATGCCTAGCTGAGTAGCAGGAACCATTTCCTTGTGCCATATTCACTACAATTTTTGTTGCATTTCCCTATTTCTGCAACTTTTGTTGCAGTCCCTAATTTCTGTACTTTGAAATAAAGTTTAGCTGTTCCCCTACAAAAATAAATGATCAAAATGTGATATATGGAATGCATATGGAAGGCTCCACTCATTTGCTTTGGTAGAAGAACTTTGTTCTTTGCCTTTTTAAAAAGGTTCAGGCTGCCTTAGTGTGCATCTGGTGCATCACTGTTCAAATTGATAACAAGAGAGCTAGGGAATGCGCACAGGTGTTGGCGTTGGAAAGGGAAGCAGTCTTTTCCTGAAAATGCATGTATTTACCATTAAACAACAAGCTAGTTTCACTTTTGATAATGAGACTTCTCAGAAAGCTTTTGTATGTATTTTGAATTGGGTGAGAATCAGAAAAATCCAGGTATTCCCAGTGTTTGGATTCCTCTCAGTCCCAGAACACTGATATTGCCCATGGAGAGCAGTGTAGGGGAAGCATTTAAGAGACCGTGCTGATTTCTCACCTAGCACTCTGTGTCTCCATTTAGTGGAGGTGACAACCACTTGTCCCTTTTTGGACTGTCCGTGCAGTGTCAGCAGTTACTATGTGGGAAAAGAGAAGTTATGTATGTACTTCCAAACCAGTCCAGCTCAGAGAAAAAAGTAAGAGGAAGGGGGAGTTGGAACCTTGTAAATTAGGGGACAAAATTGATTGAAATGTTTTTCACAGTTGACTTTTTAGAGAATGAACATTGATGACTTTGAAATATTGTAAATCTTTTAACATTAAGAGCATGCCTGGTCATGGCCCAGCTTTTAGAAGACAGCTTATTTTGTGAAGAATTCATACAACAGTGCCCAGCAGCTGTTGAAGTTCTTAACCTAGTAGCCCAGGAATGCAGTGCTGGTGAGTACCTGTTATGGAAAGGGTCTTATCTTACTGAGTTTTGTCAGCACATTGCAGTGTGATAATGGAATGCACGGTTTTTGTACACACATCTACCAAGCAGCTGCGCTCTACGGACAACACTTAACACAACTCACTTTCATCCCAGGTTGAGAAGTGGAAGTAAAAAGCTGTCAGTATATACCAAAGAAGAAATCAGCATTTTCCACTTTAACTTTAGGACCATGTCAGAATGTTTTGTTGGTTTTCCCTTCCATTCATATTGATTCATTGCCTTTATTTCCCGATTAGAACTGTCTGTGAATGGTCCTTAGGACAGCAGATACTTTCTGAGTGTTGTGATTGGCTACATATGAATTCAAAGTCAAGAATCTACACTAACATCCATCTGTGTGTGTGTTCCAGAAAAAGTTTAAACGAGTACAAGACCCGGGAGACTAATGTAACCCTCATGCTTCCTTCACCGGGTGCTAGCAGTTGTCACTCACAGCCAGCCCGGGGTCTGTGATGCACCCTCCTGATCGTTTCTAAGCAAATTTTTAGATATTATTTTATCCATAAATATTTTAGTATGTGTGTCTAAAAAAATAAGGACTCTTTAAATAAAATAAAACCACTCTGCCATGATCACATCTAAAAAAATGAACAGTAATTCTTTAATATTATTAAATATCTAGTCAGTGTTCAGCTTTCTAATTCTCTCAAAAAGTCACACTTGTTTTTACATTCACTTATTTAATCAGGATCCAAGTAAAGTTTATACACTGTAATTCATTGCTATGTCTTTTAGATTTCTTTTAAAATGCAGATTTCCCTCAGTGTCTCTTTTTCTCTCCCCTTGAATTTATTTGTTTAAAGGTTTCCCACAGTCTGGATTTTGCCGATTGTATCCCTGTGGTGTCATTTAATATGTTCTTTTGTCTTCAGATTTCTTGTAAATTGATAGTTGGCCTGGGTGTTTTTAAGTGAAAATTTATGCTTTGTCCCCAAGGATATAATTGGGCCGAATGTGAAATTGTTCACACTTAGATTACATTCTTCCAGTGTTCTAGTACTAGCATTTTCATAAATTGTAAGAAAGAAATAAATCTTAAACTTCCTTAATAATTTTAGTTTATGCTTTTTTAGTCATTTTTATTCATTTTATTTATAATTCCTCATTTCATCTGCTTTTTGAGTAACTCTAATCTTGTTTCTGCCCTTACATTTTTGTCCTTTTTTTATGTGGTAGCGATTTCTGGTGGTTCGTGTTTGCTTTTTAATATGTCTTCATTCTACATCTGTTTTGCTTCTCAAATCTCCTTCCCCTAATAAGTGTAGTGTTGTGGAACCAGGGACTGTTGTTAAAACTCAGAAACATTCTAAGAATGAGAAATAGAACAGAAGAAAAGGAGTTTTCTAGACTTCTCGGGTGAAATTACTTGCGATTAAATTTTTGCCCATAATTTAGCATTACATTTGTGATAGGTCCTTAGTTCCCTGCCTCTGCTTTTTAATATTCTTGGTTTAGTTTGCATATAAGACATTTTTTAATGATTTTGGCAAACATATAACTTGCTGAATTAATGATTTGCTTTTCTATAGGACTCTTTCTGAGTATCCTTTTATACATTTTATGAAATAAAGAGGCCTTAATCTGCGAAGTTAACTTTGGTACTTAATGTACAGGCTAAAAATTATAATAATTTAGAGCAGTGATCTCAAATGGTTTTAATAATAACCCACCTAGCCCTTTTTTCTACTGGAAAACAGCTCTGTGGTAACAAAGGGTTGGAAAGAAACGTGTGGGAAGTACTTATTACTTGCTACAAAAGAGATGACTATAAGTTTATATACATCAATTTATATTCTAAAATAGTGTCCTCTGTTGTAAAATATAAAGGTGCAGACTCCTTAGTCACTTACCTGTAAAAAACAAACAACCCTCCCCTCCCGCAGCATCTAGGTTACTTTGCAACACAACAGTGGATTCTCAGGGCCTGTGAGGAGTCATAGGCTGTGCTTGGGAGAAATGGTGTTCGATAAAGAAGATTCGGGGTGGTGGGCAGAGGGGAACGTGCTTTGGTTTTTATTTTTAATGTGTTGATATTTTTTATTCCATATATGAAAATGTTATAAAATGTATAGGCAATAATATATTGAGTCTCTAAAATGAAAAAGTTCAGTGCATTCCTTCTATCATTTTACTTCATCAGGAATAAATTAAGTGGCAGATCCGGCCATGCTAATGTTAACTAACTCATGCTTAACTTTTACAGCTTCTCTGGTCCAAGGAAGAGTGTCTGATTCCTTTTGATCTAGGAAGATAGCACTACAGAACTTTTTCCCATGAAGAAATATTCCTGAGAAATTAACTTGATCCTTTGGTTGAAATAGTGTAGAAAATAGATTTTGAAACTGAAGAAAAGGCTTATAGAAACCGAAAGTTCTCAATTTTATTTTGTACGCTTACAGAGGCCAGAATCTCCCAGGGTCAGCTTTTTCTTCTTCTCCTCACTTCCTAAATATACACACTCCCCGAGCCAGAGTTTTTTCTCAGACTTTGAAAGTTCATCAAGACTCCTGGGAAGCACGTTGAAAGTGCTGTCCAGGCTCTACCCAAAAGTCACAATTGTAAGTTTCAGGTGGCCCTGGATAGTTTTGACTCAAGCGTCACTTGAAGGAACGGTGCTCTGACTCCTGCCCTGACTCCCTTCTCTATCTGCCTCCCCTGTGCTGTCCTGGCTTCTGTGTGGGGGTCCTTCCCTGAGGCCTGGCCTGGCAGCTGTTCTTCTTGGAAGGACTCCCAGCTCCTGAACACACCATTGTTAAAACCACAGGCCTTACTGACTCTGGAATCAGCTCTCCCCTCTGACTTCCTGCTTTAGGTGACACTCAGACTATTGTTGACAGGCAGACATTGAATCGACTGTGATTCCTCCCCTCCTGCTCTTACACATGAAACAGTAGCCACATCTGATTGCTCCTTCGAAGTGCCCCTGAAATGCGTCGCTTTCTGCCGAGCTCACTGCCAGCTCCTAAGTCGGACGCTTTTTCTCTTGTGTTCAGACGGCTGCAGTATTCTCTGAGTTTTTCCTCCTTGCTCCTCGCTGTCTCACAGCGTCGTCAGTTACTTTCCTAGAGCCCCCTTTCGAGTGGTGCTTGTCGGGGGCGTGGAGCTGTCACCGAGGGGCTGGCTTTCCAAAGCACAGTTACTACTGTGAAGTTGCCATTTCTGGGTTAGAATGCGCTTACAGCCAGTTCTGGAAGTTACTTGTTACTATGACCAAAGTACAATTCACCATTTCTTTCTTGAATTTCAAGTACAGGAGCTTCTTACCCTCACACTAGAGTCCCTCAGTTCTCCTCTTACATTAAGTCTGCCTCTGCTCTGCCAGGTTAGCCCCTGCCCCCTTGCTCCTCCCAAAAGTGCTGCTCCCTTGTTTGGTGTGATTCCACCTGTCTGCGGTGACTCATTTAAACGTGTCTGTGACACTTGTGACTGGTTGATTATAAGGACATTGTTGCAAACAGTGTTTATTGTATCACCCAGTTTAAGGTCTCGCAGAATAATTTTTAAGCCATTTTAACCAAAATTATTGGAAAGTGCTTATCAAAAATACCCGGGCTCCTTGTTGACTAGTTTGCATTTGTGTAACGGACTCCACAAATCTTGTAACTGAACAGTTTCCCTCTTTGATTTGTCCTTTGGGAAACCCAGGTCTGGAGCCGCTCCCCCTGGTTGTAAACAAAGGGCACTGGTGCGCAACTCAGGGCCTGCCCTCACTCCTGCCTCCACTTTGACTCTCTGGTGTCTTTGCCTCAATTTTCCTGTCACTTTCTAATCCATATCATTCGATTATATTAGGTATGGTATAAGTTAATAAATCTTTTTCACTATTATCCAAAACGACTGTGTTTTACTTTTATTGGACTACATTTTATTCCTCCTAAGACATCTTTTTCTAAAACTGATTATAATTCACATATTATACAATTTACCATTTTAAAGTGTACAGTTCAGTGGGTTTTAATATATTCAGAGGCATGTACCATCAACACTATCTAATTCCAGAACATTTCCATCCCTTCCCTGCCAAAAAAACTTTGTACCCATTAGGCAGCCCTTCCTTATTATACCCCTTCCCTGAGTCCCATGGCAACCACGAATCTACTTTCCGTCACTCTGGATTTGCCTGTTCTGGGCAGTTCATATAAATAGAATCGTATAGTATGGGCCTTTGACGTCTGGTTTCTTTCATTTGGCATCATGTTTTCAAGGTTCACTTATGTTGTAGCAGGAATCAGTGATGGTTCATTATTTTTTATGGCTGAATAATATTCTATTGTCTGGATAGGCCACAGTTTAGATTATTAATTGACCAGTTTATGAACACTTGTGTTCCTGCTCTTTGGCAGTTATGAATAATGCTGCTATAAACATTCACATACAGGTTTTTATGTGGACATAATGTCTTCAGTTCTGGTGGGGATATACGGGTATGGAATATTGGGTCTTATAGTAATTCTATGTTTAATTTTTGAGGAACTGCTTCCTTTCTTGAGAAACTGTTTTCCAAAGTGGCTACACCATTTTACAGTCCCACCAGCAATGTACGAGGGCCCCAGTTCCTTCACACCCTCGCCAACACTGGCATTGTCCGTCCTTTTGATTCTAGCCATCCCGGTAGGCGTGAAGCCGTAGCTCATTGTGGTTTTGATTCACACCTTCTTAATGACTAATGATGCTGAGCATCTTACCATGTGCTTATTGGCCATTTGTACATCATCTTTGGAGAAATATCTATTCAAACCCCTTGCCCATTTTTAATTGGGTTGTCTTTTTATTGTTGAGTTATAATAATTCTTTGTATATTCTAGATATACTAGTCCTTGATCAGATATGATTTAATAATATTTTCTTCCATTCTATGGATTATATTTTCATTTTCTCAAAAGGACACATTTGTGTCTCTTGAAGCACAGAAGTTTTTCATTTTGATGAAGTCCAATTCATCTGATATTCTTTCATTGTTTGTGCTTTTGGTATCATATCTAAAGAAACCATTGCCTAATCGAAAGTAATGAAGATCTACACCTATATTTTCTTCTCAGAGTTTTTATAGTAATACAACCATAGGGTGTTTTTTTAGGTCTTTGATCCCTTTTGAATAAATTTTTGTGTGTCATATGAGGTACTCCAGAGACATCTGACCATTGCTATTCAAGACTCTTCTCATAGTGCCAAGCCACCCAGAATTCCCTTTCTTTTCTGCTTACTGAAATCCTGTATTGCCTAAGGTCTAATTTAATGCTGTCTTCATTAAGCTTTTCTGGATCCTGGAATGGAGTCATCACTCATTCATCTCCGCCTATGTTTGTGCCTTACATAATAACATACTACGGCCTTGTACTGTGTTCTTTATTGTATATATGTACGCATGTACATGTCTTATCTCTGTTCCTAGACTGGGGACTTCAGCTCATATAATTTGTATCCTTCAACATCTAGCACTGTGCCTCGCTTATAGGAGATGTTCAGCAGGTATTGGACTTTTTTAAAAAATCAATTTAGATTATGAGAATAATAGCCTTTATTTGTTAGGTGGTGATAACAGCTTTTGTTTGAGTGTTTCCTCTGTGCTAAGGACTTGGCCAAAGCCTCTCTTCAGTTCTTTTATCTCATCTTCGCAACCACCTGTGAGGCACAGGCACTGCTCTTCCCCCTGTACTGGCAGGGAGGTGGCAAGTATTGAGGCGTGGAGCCAGATTCTGAGTCTGCGCAGCCCAGCCCCGGAGCCCATGCTCCTGGCCACGTTGCTCTGCTGCGGAGCTCTGTGCAGTAGATGAAGGTGGCTCAGGGCCTGTGCCCTTTTGTAAGATTTTGAATAATCTCTGCAGGCATTTTTTTGCTTTGACCCTACTCCAAAGGAGTTGGAGCCCTGTTTTCATGTCCTCGATGCGTCCCCTGCAGGAGAGCGACTGGCAGTTGTGGAGGTGCAGTGTGAGCGGCTGAGGATGCTCTACCGGGACTGTGCTCGGCCCCCGCCTCCGCCCCTGCAGGCAGACCGGAGACAGGTGAGCGCTGTGCAGGCACCACGCCTCCTGCCCTTTACGCAGCGGACTAGCACGTTCATGGTGTTTAGCATGAGTGTTTGCAAAGCTATTTGGAGATGTACACTGCAGTGACATGCAGGGGGCAGAACTCATTACTTTATAAATTTCTGTTATCAATAACAGAGAAAGAAAACTTTTTCAAAATTCTAAGCCTGTAGTCCATCTCATAGCAAAAAGAACGTGTAGAGAGAATGAGAGAGTGATAAAAAGCAAACTTGGGAAAACATTAACAGTTGGTACAGCTGTGACTGTGGCAACAGCACTATTCATAATAGCCAAAAAGTGGGAACAACTAAATGCCCGTCAGCCAGCGAATGCATGCATAAAATGTGATGTCTCTTTCATCCATTTATATGAAATGTCCCAAAAAGGCAAATCCATAGACACAGGAAGCAGACTGTTGGTTGCCAGGGGCTGAGGGGACAGAGGGATCGGGGGTGACTGCTAATGGGCAAAGGTTTTTTTTTTTAAGGAGGACAACAGTGTTCTAAAATTAGATCTTGGTGATGTTTGCATAACTCTGTCCTAAAAACCATCTAATTGTATACTTGAAATGGGTAAACTATATTTCAAAAAATAATTATTGCATGTAAGTAAGAGAATATAAAAATTGCAGTGTTCTTGCAGTTTTTCCTATGGGTTTGAAATGAATTCAAAATAAAAAGTTAAAAATATATATGTATGTAAAAAGAAATGTCACCTGAAATCTCAGCATCTCCAGTTACCTATAATTTTTTTTTAACAAAAATGGGTTTCCGCAGTCCATACTGTTTTGTGTCTAGCTTTTTCCCCTCTGTAGATGAGCACCCTTCCACATCAACTGATAGAAACTTCATAGTCCAGCATATACTTGCACCTCAGTTAACTCACTCAGGCTTTTATTGTTGCAAATCCATGTCGTCTCCAGTTTTCTGCCTAGCAGTGATCTGAACATCCTTGGAGCTGATCTTTGCATGCATCTTTCAGTTCTTTCTTTCTTTTCTAAAAAGATTTTATTTATTTTTAGAGAGAGGGTAAGGGAGTGAGAAAGACAGGGCGAGAAACATCAATATGAGAGAGGAACATCGATTGGTTGCCTTCTACACATGCCCAAACCTGGGACCTGGCTTGCAACCCAGGCATGTGCTCTGACTGGGAATCAAACCAGTGACCTTTAGCTATGTGATGCTCAACCAACTGAGCCACACCGATCAGGGCTTTCAGTTCTTTCTTTAGGATAAAAGTGAAGAAGAGGGGATTTTTTAAAATATGCTTTTATCTAATAGAGGAACTTGAAATTTTATGATTAGATTTATTTAAAACTGTGAAAGTGAAAAAATGAGGCAATTAACCTAACAAAAAAGGGAATAAAACCATATTACTCCTTTTTCGCTTTGAGCTGAATATGAAGTGAAAGCGATATAAATCTGATTGCTGATTGAACTAAAATGTGTCCTCTCACTGCATTGGGAGTATGACGGGGTGAGGACCTGTGTGTGTACACGTGTGTAAGGAAAAGCAGGTGGGGGTTCAAACCTCTTTGTCATAATAGAAGATAAATGATGTCCTAACAGGATATTAAAAATAGCACTACAAGCATAGAAGGAGAAATATAGAGGTTAAGCAGCAGAATTAACAGTTAAAAGAATTGGGAGGGATTGTTTCTAGAGAGCAAGGCTGGGCATAGGGAAGAAGACTGCCTCTTTTTTTTTTTTAAATAAAAAGTTTCTTTGTAGGAAAAAAGATATTCTATTAAATGAAAATTATTTTTCTTCTTTGAGAAAGTAAAGGGATTGGTATTTGCAGTTCTATTGAATGAGCGTTTTTCCCCAATGCAGCCCAAAGAGATAACTTGGAGCCCCTCGAGAGTGTTCCCACCTGTTCGAGCCTGCATGTTCTCCTCGCACCTTACTTCTGTCACCTTCCTGGCTGACCCCAGCGCCGGGGGTGGCCTGCCTCGAGGCACCTTTATCTATGCCACCTCACCACTGCCAGTCCAGGTGAGAAATCACAGGGTGCTCTGGCTTCCACCTCTTTCCTTCCAATTTGGAAGAAAAAACAAGCTCGAGGGCCCAAGGTGAGCCCTCTGATTGTCTGCCCATTCCTGGTGTTTCTTCAGGCCCCATCTTTTTACTGGGAAATTGAAATTGTTTCCTATGGAGATACTGATGACGACACTGGACCAATAGTTTCCTTTGGCTTTGCCACAGAAGCAGAGAAACGAGATGGGGCTTGGACTAATCCAGTGGGCACTTGTCTTTTCCATAAGTAAGTGGCTACTATCACTGTTACTTTAAAAAACAAAATAGTGGGTTGGGTGCTTCAATATTAAAGTAATATTATTATAATTTCTACCCTCCAAAATGTATAAAATACCAGTCGGCAATATGTTCACGTTTAGGAAAAGAGAATAGCTCTGAGGATTCCTTTACTAATTATTTCATGCCACTGAACTCCCTCCACCTGCTCGCTTGTGTCCCTGCCTCTGTGTCAGTGGGTTAGCCTTGTCTTTGACTCCCCTTGTTTTTTCTGTAGCAATGGCCGGGCCGTGCACTACAATGGCTCCAGTTTATTGCAGTGGAAGAGCGTTCGCTTAGATGTGACCCTCTCTCCTGGTGAGTGTGGTGGGAGCATTTGTTTTTTTTTTTTTTTTACTTCTGTATTTCTGTGGTTCCCAGATTTGGGTCTAAGTAGGTGAAACTTAAATAAACTTAGCAACTAGAAAGAGGCAATTTGTCTTTTTTTTTTAAAGATTTTATTTATTTATTTTTAGAGAGAGGGGAGGGGAGGGAGAAAGAGAAACTACCATGTGAGAGAGAAACATCGACTGGTTGGTGGCCTCTTGTGTGTGCCCCACTGGGGACCAAACCTGCCACCCAGGCATGTGCCCTGACTGGGGATCGAACCAGTGAACTTTAGCTTTGTGAGATGATGTCCAACCAACTGAGCCACACCATTAAGGGCCAGCCGTTTGTGTTTTACTGAAAACCAAATGCTTGTCATTGTTTAGTGAAAACCAGACCTGTCACTTTGTGAGGCTGTGATCATTTAGAGCTTCATTTGGTACCTTAGGAGTCACATTTACTTTCATTCCTCCACCAATAGAAAATTCTGATAGTTTGCTTCTCTATGAAGTTTGGTCTTTCATCAGCTTGTTATTGACAAAGAGATAAATAGCTTCAAAGAAAAGGGAACTCTACCACTAGCCATGAGACAGTTGTGAAATGCAGTATGCATGAAGCGTAGATATGTGCTGCCGGCTTTGCTCTTGATAGCCTGAACATCTGGTCCAGCTTCGACACGTATCCTGCCCAGATGTTCCGGTCACATAAATAATCAGTTCAATAAAAAAAAACAGTGTTTTTCCCCCCTCCTTCTGTTTGGCCTCCATGTAAGTAACTTGATCTGTGTAACAGATGAATTAGGATCAGTCCTGCCTGCTCCAGCAGTAGCAAAACACAGGCATTCTCCTCCCAATATTAGAGGCAGCCAAACATGTGGGCTACTTATTTTCAGACAGGACACCTTAGCATCATCTCTGATAAAACTGAGCCAGTTACATGTGGTAGAGGATCATGAATACTTAGGGAATACCAAGTCACTCCATTCAACAGATACTCTCGGGAACCTCTCTGGGCGTCATTTTGCCATCATTTATCCTTGAGGGAATTCCGTATTAAATTGCACTTTTCGGAGGGGTACTGTTTTCACTTATGGTTGAGTTATGGCTGGGAAGTAATTTCCTGGCAGTTATTTCTCTTACTTTATGGGGCAGAACTGTGGCATCACAGCTAAGTACCTGCCGAAGTGCTTGAAGCACAAGGAGGGGTGGGGAGCGCAAGGGAACCACCTAGGCAGTGTTTTTCATGGTTTGTTACTATCATTTGTTTGCTCTGATCACAGTTTGGTTTTTTAAAAAATTTTGGACTGACCTCAGGCACACACATGCCACCCTCTTCTTAGAGAATGTGTTTGTGTGGGAGTCGGGTACTCATGTGATTTTTACAACCTCTGTGCCAATACTTCTGGGGTCTGTTCATTAGCAGATACTCACTGAGCACCCCTCACGTGCTGAGCAGCCTCCTCCCCTTGGGGGTGCCATGGTGAGCTGTGAACCTCCCCGGCCACGGGGCAGCCAGGCCCAGTGGCATCTAAGACACACCAGACTCTGTGATGAAAGACGTAATTGTAGAACTTTAAGCATTTATTGGAGAGTTTACAACAATAGATTAATTATAAAGCTACATGTGCTAGCAATTTCTCTGGAGCAGCCAACATCAGAGTGCTGATGTAGTGGACACACTCCTCTTGTGTTCCTAAGGTCTGTCCCAGTATCCAGTCGCCTCATGAGAAAGCAACAAGCCTTCTATTACCTTAGCTTCTTGTAAAAAGGCCTTAAATACATATAAGTAAGGGGACATAGTGTGCTTTAGTGGTATCCCTTTTAGGGTACATTGTGGGTTAAGGCTTAACTTACATTTTTAAGAACATTCCTAAGTCTTCTACAAATTTATTGGGAAAATACTTACCTTTTTACCTTATACCATTAGTAATCTTCTGTGTGTCAAAGAAAAAAAATGTTCCTCTATTTAAAAAATTATACCCAACCCTGGCTGGTGTGGCTCAGTAGATTGAGCACCAGCCTGCAAACCAAATCGTAGGTTTGATTCCCAGTCAGGGCATATGCCTGAGTGCAGGCCAGGTCCCCAGTAAGGGGTGTGTGGGATGCAACCAATCAATGTTTCCCTTTCTTTCTCCTTCCCTTCCCCTCTCCCTAAGAGTAAATAAATAAAAATCTTAAAAAATATATCATACCCAGTGTTTTCCCTATTTGTCTTGGCTGCCAGGAAAATAAAGGCTAAATTTAATGTGTAATTATAACTAACAACTCAGACATGAGGCATTTTTCTTTTTCTAAACCTTTTCTTTTTAAAATTGTTTTCTTCTAGTGTAACTTTATATTTATTTAAATAACAATACATTACCCCATGTCTTTTTCAGATGTAATTAATGGCACAAATAAATAAGAACAAAGATAGTCAAAATGAGGTGTGGCCTCATCACACTAGTTGCAATTTGGAAGTTTACTTAATAGTAAGAGGGGAAAAAAAGGTGCATTTCCTTCCTGTTTTCTGCCATAGGTGACGTAGCAGGAATTGGCTGGGAGAGAACCGAGGGGACTCCGCCACCTCCAGGGCAGCCAGCCAAGGGCCGGGTATACTTCACGTACTGCGGCCAGCGCCTCACACCGTATCTCGAGGACGTCTCTGGTGGGATGTGGCCTGTGGTTCACATTCAGAAAAAGGTAGGTTCTCTTATCGGGACGGAAAACAAATTCTCCTCAGTAAATTGGGTGATGCTCAGCCACATTGGAAGGGGGGAAATCTATTGATACTTTACTGAGTCCACCAATTCAAATGGTAGTCTCATCCGGAAACTCCCTCACAGACGTGTCCAGACAAACTGTCTAGTCTGGCACCCCATGACCAGCTGGACAAGCTGACACATAAAACTAATCAACGCTGTGTGTTTGAAAATCATAGACTTTATGAAAACAAGTACCAAGCACATTTGATCGTGTCCTCATTACCAAGGAAATGATACCTGAGCCAGGTCTGGCATAGTCTCTGGTCTTAACTAGGCCAGACTGGAGGAAAGGAAGTTCCAGGTGAAGGGAACAGCATGTACAGTGGCATCAAGCAAAAAGGAACAGAGCTGGAAACATGAAAGCTCATTGAGTAGCAAAGAGCATGAGAGTGCGATGTGAGTGGCTTGTGCAGCGCCCTGGGTGCCGACGTACACTGTTACACGGGCCCCTTGGCCTGGTGTCATGTTCTGCCCCATAGCTGGGGCCCTTCTTATGGTTTGACATTTAGTGAAGGTCACCTCAGGATGCTGAAAATAAAGAAATAAGCCTAAGTCCTTTCAAACCCTTTATCTGCTCTCCTTTCCAGAACACCAAGACTCGGGCTAACTTTGGCTCCCGCCCGTTCGCTTATGCTGAAGGGCAGGCCCACCGCAACGCTGCCGACCTGTGCACTGACCTGGCAGAGGAGATCAGCGCTAACTTCGAGGCCCTGCCCTTCGCCATGGCATCTGACAGTGACAACGATGCCGGCACCAGCATCGCGTCAGACCCGGGCACTCACGGGCCACCCTGCCGGATTGCGGCCGTGGCCACCGCCCAGCAACGTAAGCTGCCTCCTCCCAGGTCCCCACTGCATCCTGGAATGCGAATGCTGTTAGTTCCAGGAGTCCATTTAACTTGGGCTCGCTAGGTGCTCGTGGGGAATGGAATAACTGGCCCAGTGAAAGGAAATGGGGAGCAGAAGGAAGCAAGGCAGACTGGCAAGCACATCTGCCACATATAGGAAGCCTGTCACTACTCAGGGCCACGTGGAATGTGGCCATGTGAAAGTGCAAGCCTGAAAGATTGTCAGTTTTTTGTAAGAGATTACAATCCCAGTATTTTATATAAAATTTCCTCATTTTAAAATGTTAATCACTCCTTTGAATTGTTTAAAATGGAGGTCATCGAAGAATAATAAAATGCCAATTGTGGAATCTAGGTGGTGGGTATATAAGTGTACACTAAAAAGTCTTCTATTATTTGAAAAATTTCATAATCAAAATCAATAAAACTGAACTTTCCAAACCAAAGATGTCTGCAAGCCGCATTGGGCCCTTGGGGTACTGGTTTGCGAACTGTCTTAAGTATCTGTTTAATTCTTATGATGAAGAACTTTCCAGCTTCTTCTCTAAGTTTAATTATAGCCATAAAACCTGTTGTAGGATTCAGGGTAATTATAAATAATTAGTTATTCCTTGGCTCTGCATTTAAGAATCCCTCTAAGTATTAAGAGTCTTTCTGTTGTGTAAATTAAGAGAATCCGGCTTGTCCAAGGTGAGAAGTTTATGATGTTTCCAGCCTGCTCTTGCGTAGAACTCCCTGTCATTGTGCTTTGTTACAGAATACGACAGTGACACTTCCTGTCACTACAAAGTAGAGCTCAGCTATGAGAATTTCATCACCTCCGGCCCAGACCCCCACCCACCTCCCATTGCAGATGATGAAAGCGATGACGATGACGATGACGACATCCCACAGGTAAGAGACCCACAGCGTCCACTTAGCTCCCTGGTGCCCGGAACAAGCCATGAGGAATAATATTGATCTGAGTGCACAAGGCTGGAATTGTTACACTTTGAATAATGACACTGGGTTTCAGCAGTGACTCTGGAGTGTTTGTTTTTTTAAACTACACATCAGTAGCAGTACCTGTCGGGCCCTTTTGCCCAATACAATCCAGATGCTGGAGCAATGAAGTACTTTGATAGTAATTCTGTAGTAAAGTTGGCTTTAGAGGGAAGGAAGAGACCGCCCCAGTCTGGTGTTGCCTCCCGGCAGCTGAGGTACATCTAGTGTGGCCCTCACGGTGCGTTTGTGTTAGAGGCATGCGAGGGGCGAGAGCTGGCAGTTAGGGCAGGACTGATGCCTGCACGAGGCCTTCTCTCTCTGATCACGAGTTTGCCTTCTTCCAGGAGGACCACTACGCCCTGCTGGTGAAGGCGTGGGAGACCAAGGTTTTTCCTACTATCCGGAGACGCTTCCGCAATGAAGCAGAGCGGAAATCGGGCCTGGACCAGATAAAGGGCGCTTTACAACTAGGTCTGGTGCTTTGTGTTTTTCTAAGGAGCTCACTTCATGATTTGAAGAGATGTGTGTAGGGGACTCTCAGTATGCAACCCAGGAAAGGGGGCTCTTCTACATTTGGGCTGGACCTCACGGGGGCTTCTCCCTGTGCCTCTACTGAACTCTGTGGTCTTGGCTTTCATTGCCAGGTTTTTCTCTCCTTGTCCATTTAACTCAGTGTTTTTTGGTTGATGGGCTACTAAAATGAAGCTGGCGTGGTATACGAGGAAGCCACGTGGCCTGGTGGTTAATAGCTTGGGCTCTGAAGTCTCAGTGGTGCTGTTTACCAAACGTGTGACCTTGGGAAGGTTACTTAACCTTTCTGGACTTTCCTATCTTTAAAATGGAGTCAATAATGGTCGCTACCGCATATGTACATGAGAAGGAAATAAGTTAATGCAGATAAAGCTCCTAAAAAGAGTGCCTGGCACTTAGTAAGTATTCCGTTAATATAGTTCTAAGTATCACAGTGATTAATGATGATGAGATCTTTTTCTTCCACTGGCTCTGGTTCCCCTAGCAAAGAGTGATCTGGAGTTTGACCCCAGACAGTGGATCATTATTGAATCTTAAGTGCAGATGGTGCATTTCTGTGTTAAGGCTTTTCCTCACTTTGTGAAACACATGCTTTTTGAGATACAGAAGTGCCTTTTCCCGATAGGCACAGCTATCCTTCTGGTTGAGCATTGGTTTGGTTTTCTGTCATCATGGTGGCAGTCAGAGATGGTGTAAAAAGTTTAGTTATTGTCCCCGTGGTAGCAGTATTTTTCCTCTTTTAAATTCTGTCCTGAGACTAGGACCAAATAAAAAGAAAAGCCCCCAAAAGACTTTTATTTTTCTTGGCCAGCTTCTATGCTGAGTCCCTGATTTCCAGGGATAGATGAGAACTTCTTCTTTCTCATTGGTGCCAGGACTAATCAGAGACAGAGAGAGTGAGAGAGAGAGAGAGAGTGTGTGTATGTGTATATGTGTGTGTGTTCCATGCTTTCTATCCCCAAAGCTTAGACCTGTGACAGTGGAATGATCTTGTTTGTACTTAACCTGTGGGAATATTCATACCTCCTGTGACATAGTGTGAATGCTTCCTGCTCTTATCAGAGCTCTGTTTCAGCTGTGGACCCAAATTCCAGGGCAGATCATTTATAATCTCCTCTTCTCTCTTAGGAGTTTCAGGCAGAGGGAGCAACATTAGAAAGATCCTCGGGTGGGAGTGAACATGGGAGGGTGAGGGAGCAGCTGTAAAGCTGAGCCCCCGAAGCTGAAGAGGACAAGGTAAGGGAGGGGCAGCAGGAAATGAGCGGAGAGGGAGCAGGGAGCAGCATCGCCTTGGCAGGGACTTTGGATTTTATTCCGAGTAAAATGGGAAGCAGCTGGGGGGGGCGGGGTAAGCAAAGAAGCAATATAACCTGCTATAGCAGGTCCTACAGATAAAAAGATAATTTGTTATTCCTCCTCCATTCTCAGCATCTGAAAGATATGCCCTTTTTGTGTTATATTAGACCGCAGAACAGATCTGATCTTGTGTTCAGACGACTTCCACGTAATAAATGCAATGCCAAATTCCTTACTGCCAGCCTGGGAGCAGCGATGCTGGTCATTGGTTTTCCGAGCGAGGAAGGCCTTGCTTCAGTGGCATTCTTATGGTCATTCACGTATTCACTCATTTGTCCACATGCACAACATGTGCCTCCCGGTGCCAGGCCCTGTGCTAGGGAATAAGGAATCTTCTGTGAACACGACAGAGACGGTCCCTTCTTTAAGAGCTTATGTCGTGCTGGGCAGCAAGTAATGAACCAACAGACGGCACTGTTGCAAGGGCGGAGCCTGAAGCCACCGCACAAGTGCCAAGGGCAGCCCAGTCCAGTGGGGCGCCTCCGCCAGCACAATGTTGAAGCTGAGACCTATAGCTCATTCGGCAGCCACGGGGTTAAGTTTAGAGAAATGAAGCACTATTTGTCCAGGGAACCTGGTGCTTCTTACTGCTCTGGGAGGGAGTGAAAAGGGAGGAGAGAGACTTTACAGTATGTGTATGGAAAAGCTCTTACATATGACCATTGGCTGCTGTGCCTTTAATTCCACATGGGTTCCGCCTAAATTAGGATTTTTCTTTTTTTTTTTACCATTTGTTCCTGGGGCCATCCTGAACGTCTGTGGCCACGTGTGCCCTCTCCTCCCCTGCTCCCAGTTCAGAGGAGGGAAGGTAGACAGCACCGCGGAAAATGGGACCGTCTGAGGGCAGCTGCAGGACTACCTGGGCTGGACACCGGTGGCTCCTGGGTGGGCTGGTGGCTCGTGACTCACCCAGAAGCACCTACAGCCCCTGACAGGCATGCTTTTGGGATCCATGTGGCCGTGGCCAGTCAGCTGAACTATGTTAATTTACAAGTAAAACACTTATGCTCCGAATACAATATCCTTCAATAAAGCGGTGGCAAAAGCTGAAGGAGGACAGGGAGATGGTCGTGCTGCCCAGAGGGCCACCTCCATTACTGAAATCACCCCTGGGCTGTTCTTGTTTAATCTGGGCACTGTCCCCATTCCTGGTTCTTGCCGAGCAGATAGCAGAGCATTTTTTTCTCCTCATCTCTAGTCCTTTGGAAAATGGGGCAAAGGTTATTTTTCTGTAATCTACTATTAGGCCCCATTTCTTGTTTATTCTGTCTGACCTTTCTTTCTCTAAGCATCCCTCTCTAATTTCAGCCCCCTTCTACACTGTGCCTGGAAAACGGCCGTGCCTTTTCATTACAGCAAAGAAAGGGCTGCAAAGGGATGGTAGATGCGTGTGAGGGCGGTAAGCCTTGCTTAAAAGCAGATGCTGTCGGCACCCGCTCTCACCCGCAACCTCCCGAGCAGCGTGGAGCCGCGGCGGCCACAGCAGAGGGAGGTGTTGAGCCCCACCTCCCTGCCCTCCCCACAGCGCAGTTGTTCTCCGGGCTTTGCTCATTTGTTTCCTTGGTTTATGGAATAATAGCGGCTGTTGCTATTGAACATAACGATGCGTTCTCCCCCGGGGAGAGGGAACAGAGCAGACCTCAGTACTAGGCAGAAGTTATGTAGCTCTCTGTCTCTCTTCACTGAGCAACGTGTGTTTATTATAGTAAGAATCAAACTCAGTACACAAATGTATAAGGGGCGAAAAATACACATTACCCTCACTTTCTTCTTACTCCCTATTTGCCCTACAGTTTGTTCTTTTGACCTAACTAAAATGAAATGACTGCATAATAACGTATCATTTATAGCCACTCTGTATTGATGGCTATTTTATATTTATCAGCAATGCTGTACATACAGAGTGTTCTCTGCACACCCACACTTACGTTTCTGTGGGAGAGGCTGGGGAGGTTTGTGGAAGTAAGGCCTTGAGTACTTTAAACTTGATAGACATTGCATGCCGACTTCCCCAAGAAGCTACGTGTTCCTGCCCACAGCGTCTGCAAGGCTCTCGCACCTGCTGTCCCAGGTGTAAGCTGGTGTCATGGTTGGCCTGCAGATCATGTGCTGTTTGGGGAGTTACCGGTGCTGTTCTGTTTTTTAGGCATGGTGGATATTGCCCGACAGACAGTCGAATTCCTGTATGAGGAGAACGGTGGCATCCCAAGAGACCTTTACCTTCCCACCATTGAAGACATCAAAGACGAAGCAAACAAGTTCACAATTGATAAAGTTCGAAAAGGTTTCGCTTTCCCCCTTACTTCTCCTATGACACGTCCTGTGAAATGACGAGCTGAGTTTTCCTGAGCGTGGGCTTGAGCCGAGCAGCCGCTGGCTCTCCCGGGGTCACTCTCCTTACACTGAGTGACATGACCTCTTCCTGGCCCTCCCGTGTGAGGCCCCAAAGCTTCCTGGTGGGCACAACAGACACTTGTCTAGCCTCTGGTGGCCCCCCGCACACGCCCAGGGCTCACCAGCACGCACGGCGTGAACCAGGACAATGGCTCAGAGAGAGGAGTGGGGCGGGCGCAGGTTCCAGGTGGACCTCTCAGGCTTCGTCCTGGCTGCTGAGCTAATTAACTATTCATTTCTTTTTCGAGAAATGTTTATCCAAATTCTTTGTCCATTTTTAATTGGCTCTTTTGTCTTGTTGAATTTTGAAAGTTCTTATACCATTTTGTTGTATTGTCTTCCCGACTAAGTTGTGTTCCTTTTTGGTAATAACTAAACTGAGTGTATTGCTAAATGCTCTAGAGATATTTTAGACCCTAACATAGAGGGTGCCAAGATGATGGTGGTACTTACTCCTGAAAAAACTTCCCTCTCTGCCCTCCTCAGGTCTCACAGTAGTAACCCGCTCTCCGGACAGCAATAACGTCGCCAGCAGTACCGTTGGAACAGCTCTGCCAAAATTCGCCATCCGAGGGATGCTGAAAACCTTTGGGCTTCACGGAGTCGTCTTAGATGTGGATTCAGTGAGTGCGCAGCCTTTTCTATGTGTGAGACTTTCATATCCAGACTCCAAAGTACCTTAGAAAGTTATTATACAGGTGGAGTACTCTTCACATTAGGAGTGAAGAAGCCAGGCTGAGTGCTGTCATGCCGATGGCTTTCCTGAGATGAGCCCAGATCGGGGCTGATGGGTCATGAGCTCTGCACTCTCGGCGCGGTCAGCTCCTTCAGCCCTGCGTCTGCCATTCTCTTCTCTCAGCCATGTTCAAACGGTCCCTGCATTCTGTCTACCAAAGTTCCAAGGCAACATTCGCCCACTGTCCTTGATGAATGGATGATCTGTCGTTGTCATGATTGTTATAGGCACAAATCAAAGAAACAGTTTTGTGATTTTGATCACATCATCTCTCTGGGTCTCTCAGCCTCAATTTCCCTGTCTATAAAATGAGTGTAGGCTGCCATTTTCTTCTTCATTTTGCAGGGCCCCCTCAGGGCTCAGCAAGGATTTGGGGCAGGGGAAAAGGAACGGAGGAGAGTGCATGAGGGCCAAGCTGAAGCTTTCTTTTGAAAACGAGGCCCCGTTTGAAAGCCATGCCTCCATGACACTCCGGGGGCCCACACCTGCACTTCACACATTCCTCCTGCAGGAAAAGCTGATGAAATAGGGTGTAGTTTAAACCTAAGAGTCCCTGATAAAGAAGTGTCTGTCATGACATAGATAAGCTTTTGTGTCTAGATAGAGATGCATATAATGGTAGGTACTATTAACAATTTGAAATGGAAAGTTTTACATCTTCAACAGACTTCATTTGACCAGAGCTTAATTTAAATCATTCCACTTTTAACAGAGGCTCTTTACTGGGGGTTCACTAAGGTGAGCTTTCAAGTAGAAAATTCTATCATACTGCCTTCTGGAGCAAACTTCTTATTCTAATTTCAGAAAATATATAACAATATTTTTTGGCAATGGAAATGTATGAAAGTGAAAATAAGAAAAATAAGAAATTTTGTTAGAGTAGTACTTGTTATTTCTCAAGTAGTTTGATTCCCTTTGTTTTAATAATAACCCCGAAGCAAAAATTATGTTGGTGTTTGATTCCAGAATGCATGTACATAAGCTTACTTTTTATTTCCTTAGCAATAAAATAGAGCTATCAGACAGATTCCCTACTCTTACAAAATTAGTAACATCAAAGCAATGAACAGAAAATTTATCTGGCAACAGTGTGCATTGTCCTACTACTGGAATATAACACTGTTCTTTTTAAATTTCTAACTCATAATTACGTTGAAGTTCTTCTTTATTTTACCAGTAACAATTTGCGAATTGGTATGAAAAAACTAAACATACTATCAGTACAATTCTAACCAGAAATCTTTGAACTTTTAGATTTCAGTCAGTGCCATGCAACTAGCATTTAGTGCTATAAAACTTGTTATGTATATATTTTAACATTTTATAAACATAAATATAATATATAGTATATAATATATATTGTAAACTATATATAACTGTGTGTGTGTGTATATATATATACACACCCATATACATATATAAAAAATACATATACACATATATGTATGTATGTATATATTTTAAAACTGAGGGGGAAAGTCAGTGCAGAAAAACAAATGGACGTTGCCTTTTACTATTGCAGGTGAATGAACTGGTTCAGGTAGAAACCTACCTCCGGAGTGAAGGCGTGCTGGTCCGGTACTGGTACCCTATTGACATGCTGGAACGGCCCCCTGCAGGCTACCGGAGGACTGCCACCAACGGGCTGGTCACCCTGGACAACACCAACCTTCAAATTCACAGGTAAAATCGAGTCTCTTCCTGGTGGGTCACAGAAACCCACTTCAGCTGTTTTTCCATGTGTGCCAGTCACCGTTGACAAGAAAGCTTGCCCTGAAAGCCAGGAGTGAGGGAGAAGGCAGCTAGTGCAGGTAGCGGCGCAGCTGCAGGAGCTGGGAGGAAGCTCCGGGGGCTGTATCGGCACATCGCCGGGCCCGTGCCGGGGCACTCTGCTCTGAGTTGACGGGGGCTGAGGGGCGGCTGGAGATCTGCAGCTGTGGACGAGTTGTAAAGAGGAAAGCAAGTCAAGAAGAGGTAGCTACAAGGGTGTGCAGGCTGTGCGGGCAGCCAGCTCGTCTCTCTGATGCGCTGTGGAAGTGTTCCTCGAGTGCCTGCCTTGTGCCTAGTGATGGGCGGGGGCAGGGCGGGGGTCTCTAGTGGAACATGCGCCTGCTCTCAATGGGTTAAAACCTAAAGATCTGGCAAAATCCCCTTCATAAGCCACTTTTTATGCTATTCATCCTTTAGCATCACAGTTTCTCATACTGTCAGCTTCAAACCAACTTGATTACATCTCCAGCTTAGACCGACTGTCACCCCAGGTACATGGACCGAGTGCCCCCCCTGCCATCTCCACTCAGATAGTGCGTCACCCCCTTTGGATGGTCTGAGGTTCAGTTTGACAGGTTCACAAAACCAGAATAGGCTGCACTTGGCATTGGCTTCACTTAGACACAGAACAAGAAGCCTGTAGTGCCGCAGGGCAAGGTCACGGGTGTGATTTCAGCAGGAATTGTCATAGCTGTCCACACAGAAGTTCAGGCGCTGTTGCCTGACCACATCCACCCGAGGGACTACCCAGGTGTGAGGGATGGACAGTAGATACTGCTCATGTGGTGACTGAGCAGCCCCACGTCCCAAATAGAAGGCAGTATCTTTTGTGACAACTCCACAGGCACAAATTTTAGGCATTCCAACAGGAGTCCACACTCCGGAAAGCCGCGGAGCTCTGGCTTCCCACCAAGAAGGTCCTTTCCGTCCCCCGAGTCCAGGCGCAGCTTTCCATTCGGGAGTCATTTTGGCCACAAGCTGTGTACCTGGTAACATTGCTGATACTCTGCTTTTGCCAGATTTTCAGAAGAACAGAGCTGAAGACAAGTTAACCAAAGTCAATTCTTCGGTAGACGAGGGAAGGGTTTCGTTGACGCTTTACTCACATGTAATCTCATAGGCACTTAAACTAGCATGTGGAGTAGAATCTGGATTTTCCCCAAACTTCTCCTCCTCTGATCTTGCCGTGTCTCTAAGGGGCACCACAGGTCACCCTTCTCCTCCTCTGCCAGCAACACTTCTAGAACCCGTCCGCAGCTCTCCCTCCAGAACACACCCCCGGTCCCTCGGCTCATCTCCATTTCTGCCACCCCGCCCAGTCTAGGCCTCAGCTCGCTCTTGTCCCCACAACAGCCAGACTGATCTTTTCAAAGCATAAATCAGATCATTCACCTCTGCCCTCTGATTCAAACCTTCCCGTGACTTTCCATTTCCCTTGGTGCAGAATTCAAACCCGTCACCCGGCTCACGGAACCCTGTGTGAGCCCCGAAGCCCTGGCTGCGCAGCCTGGCCCCTTCAGCAGTGCCGGCCTCGAGCTGGCTTCCTCCCCCGCGTCTCTGCGTGCGCTGCTCCGTCCTGGAAGGCTTTGCCTGGACCTCTGCATGGCTGCCGCATTCCTGTCATTCAGATCTCAGTGAATATGTCACCTTTCCAAAAAGGCCTCACCTCACTCTCTCACCTAGTGTCAGCACACTGTCACACATTGTCATAGCACTGTATTTTACCTCTCTTCCAGGACCTGATCCTCTTGCTTGTTATTTTTAAAGTCTGTTTATTGTGTGTCTGCTCCCCCTAGAATGTAAGCTTCCTAAAAGCGAGACTTTGTCTAGTTCTTTGCTAGAGCCCCCAGTGCCTTATCTGGGCCCTGGCTCACATTGTTCATATGGAAAGTAAGACAATAATTAATAAATAATAATACAAGAATAAACTCTGTTCTGTATACTCACAACTATAAACCTACTTTTGCCCCACCATGTATTTGTTGAAAATAATCCCCAAACATGTGCTTGAATATCAACATGACGCTATTGAAAGCTTTACAGCTTTATTTAACAAGTCTTTCAGCTGAATTTTTAGCAAATGTCCCTGATAGAAGAAGCCTATAGGCTATTGACTAGCAACTAAGAGAAAAGGCAAGAAAGTGCTTTGTAGGGTTACAGTCAGACTACAGATGTAGGACGTTTATTCCCAATGTCACTGCGGTGATCTTGGTATTGGGAGAAATATGAAACATGCCATAGTTTTGTTTGATCACGACAGAGACTGGGTTTCTGGTCCTCAAATGGATTTTCATCAGAGGTGCTCCGTCCAACACGCTCCCGTGGGTTTGAGAGAGACCTTCATCAAACCAAGGGCTCATCAGCGATAGGCGGGGCAGGGCTTGCCCTGTCAACAGACACAGGGTCCCTCATGCCAGCCTTGTCCTGGCAACTTCAGCTGTGGGGAGTTGGGAAGGACTTGCTGCTTTTTTCTTTTTCTTTTCTTTTTTTCTTTTCTTTTTCTTTTTACTTTCAGGGCTTTCAGCTTTCCTCTTCGGATCGCATCAGCCTTGCTGCCCCGACCCCATGGGCTGGGCCCGTGCAGTCAGCGCGTGGGCTTCCGAGGAAGAAGGAGGCAGGCCAAGTTGGTGTCTTTTGGACTCCAGCACAAGAACATTTCAGATTGGCGGAGATGAGAAAGAAATCACCCAAAATGCAGCATATTTGCTGCTTTCTTTTTTATCTTTACTTCGTAGCTGTATGCACTCACCAGATGTTATGTGGTGGGTGGTTGTTTCTTTAATTGCCATCACTCCCAGTCTGATTCGTGGTAGACCAGCACTGAACTTGGTTCAGGTCATAAGCAATATCGATTGACCCCCTTGGCTCTGAGTGGGTTTTACCCCTAGACTTCATAGAAAGAGCAGGGCTGCTTCTAACTTCTCTGTTTAGTTGAAGTACTTAATACCAGGAGCACTCATAAAACACAGGGAACCTCCTCTATGCTTGGTATTAGCTAGATTAGATTCTTTACCAAGAGGAGCAATTCCGAATGGGACCTACTTAGTCACCAGTGAGCTATTATTCAAGGTGCATGCCAGTTACTTCATCAACTCATCACATTAAAAATGCCCATAGTGAATTTTTTTATAATAGCTTTATCGAGGTATGATTTACACACTCAAAGTAGACAAGACAGTGGCTCTTAGCCCCCTTATACAGCTCTGCGACCGCCACCACAGTCAGCCTCAGAGCATCTTAACCGCCCAAGAAGAAACCCCACACTCACTCGCGGTCGGTTTCCGTCCTCTTGTCCCCTATATCAACCACCAGTCTGCCTTCTGTTTCGTTAGGTTTGCTTAATTCTGGACAGTCTCTACGAATAGAATCATCCGTGTGTGGCCCTCATGTCTGGCTTCCCTTACGCAGCAGCATGTTTGCAAGGTTCATCCACGTTGTAACATGTGTCAGTGTTTCGTTCTTTTTATGGCTGCCTGACATTCCCTTGTACAGATACATTCTTATTCAACGGATGGACAGTTGGGTTGTTTCCACATTTTGTCTACTATGAATAACTATGAAAAACACTGCTGTGAACATACATGTATAAGTGTTTGTGTGAACATATTTTCATGACTTCTTTGGCAGTGATTTTTGAGTTGGGGAAAATCAAACATAACTAAATGTACTTTTTTGCCTAAATGCAAGTGACTAACTTGGAGGACCAGACCTGGGACCAGAAGAGAAGCCTGAGATGTGGTCCTTTCCCTCCAGAGGCCTGCAGCCATGTCCATGTGGGGCTGGGGCGCAGATGGTCAGGGATCTCCTGCCTTGTCTCTTGCAGGGAGCTGCTGCGGTGTGAGGCTGCGCTGGCCAGGCTGTACTGCCGCGTGGCGCTGCTCAACATCTTTGCGCCGAAGCTGCCACACTTGTTTACCCGCCTCTTCCACATCCCTGCTATCCGTGACATCACCCTGGAGCACCTGCAGCTGCTGTCCAATCAGCTCCTCGCTCCTCCCCTCCCAGGTAAAGCTGGGCTTTTGCAGCTGGCACCACGGAAGTCCTCACAGGGAGGGATAGCCCTGAGGGAGCCAGGCCCCAGGCGGGAGTAGGGCTTGGTGTGCTCGCTGTCCACGGAGGGGCCGGAAACGTGGACTCCAGCACCTTTAGACTAGTGCAGAGAACCGCACTCAAAAACCACAGGGGCCTGGGCAGTGCTTTCGCGCGCTTTAAAAAATGTAAGTATATCGCTTACTCTAGTCATTAATCTATTAAGCATTTACTGAGCTTCCCAAACTAATTGTGGATCAAGAAAAAGTATTATTTATGAAATCTAGTTTCTGTACTGTTGCCACGGATGTTCTAGCTGACATTATAAAGAAAGGAATATGTTCTTGTTACCACACTCCTTCGACGCAGACCTATTGATTCAATGTGACTTCAGGCCAAGCTGTTTTAATGCGCCAGCCTATGTGTCTCTGCTTACCCTGGGCGCTTGGGGTGGAGGCTGATGCTGTGGGCTGGCCGCCCTAGAGAATGCTAAGTGATGAGCCTGCCTGGCCCACTCCAAGACTGAGGGGCTCTCTCTATCTTCCTTGGGTACCTTGGCCTCAGGCTGATCCCCTTGGCCCCCCCTAGGCCACTAGTATGAGAGCAAGAGGTGAGGGGACAAGTAGCACTGTAAGCCTAAAGGGCAGCTCACAGCTGTGACATCCCAGCCAGTCTGCGAGCTACCTCTCCGCCAGCACATCTCAGCACCTGGGGTCCACTGACCCACCCCAAGAACTTAGAGGTGCCAGAACATACCTGGAAAGCTCCAGCGTGTTTCTGGGAGCAGCTTTGCCATGATGACCTAACAGTTTCTTGACAAACCCTGCTCTGAGCCACCCTAGCAACTCCAGAGCAGCTTGGGGTGGGCCAGGGCAGCCCAATAGGTCAGGCAGGCCCTGGGAGGCCATGAACCGAAGCAGCTCCACTTTGGATTTTATTTTAGGAAATAGTTTTGCTGTTCAAAAGAAAACAATTTAAAAAGCACCGATTTCCTGAACCCTCCCCCCAGCCCTCCCCACTCAAGATCACATGGGTAATGTCTGTTATCTGCTATCTTCCACCTCGTGTCCAAGCAAGCCCATCCCGAGTACCTGGACAGCCTGCTCACTGTTACTTACACTCTTGCAGCCCTTGGCTGCTGTTGTTCTGGCGAACTTTGGTTCCTTCCTGTCCGCAGACGGCACCATCAGCTCCAGCTCGATCCTCCTGGCCCAGTCTCTGCAGCACTGCGTCCATTCCCAGAACTGCTCGGCCACAGACCTCTTCTACCAGGGCAGCTCCCAGACGGTGAGAGAGTGGCTCAGTGTGGCCATCACGCGCACCCTGCACCAGGGCGAGGAGAGCCTTTTGGAGCTGACAAGACAGATCTGCTCCTTCCTGCAGGTAAAGCCTAAAACTCACATACCCCTGAACTGGGCCCCAAGTTTTCATTGGATGCCTTATGGGCTTGCTAGAAATGACACTCCTTCTTCCCCAAGCTCACCACGCCCCCCCTCCCCCAACCCAGTCCCCGCATTGATCTCCTCTTTCTGACTGCCTCGTCCCATCCTTAGTGTCCTTCCTCTGAAAGGCTTTCTTGTCCTGCTGAACGTGAGTGGCTCAGTCCTTTGCCTGGGAGCTGGAGGGACGGGGAGCCCTCCTGTACTTGGCCTGTACCTTTCCTCTTCAATGTCTTCCTGCAGACAGCGCCAGAGCAGTTCCCCTCTGAAGAGTTTCCCATCTCCGAGTCCAAAGTCAGCATGGATGTTAATTTCCCTGGGGCAGCTTTTGTTGTGGTATCTTGCAAAGAAAGTCAGTCTGGATTCCGCAAAGAGTAAGTTGCTGGTTCTCCAGATGGTTATAGGAGAGAAAAGTAAAATGGGTTCTGGGGGAATTGACAAAGAAACACTCAAATTCTTTTTTTTTTCCTCTATTGTTGTCTCTATTTGAAAATAATTTACAGTACTTCCATGTTTTAGAAATTAGCCTTTATAAAGAATGTCCTTCTGAATGTTGTGGGAATGAGTTCCCACCCTCCTTCTCATGACAAAGCATCTGTTGACTCTCCCTGGTGTGCAGGGTGGGCCCCCCTCACCCCTGTCCCTCCTCCTCAGTTCCTCTCTGTACAAGGCGCCCTGGGCGCGGGTGCTCGTGTACGGACTGGGCCACAAAGTGAAGCGAAATGGCCAGCTGAACCTCATCGAGGCCGTCTGCTACCCACGGGATGCGTCTCCGGCCAACACTGGGCTCACGCCGCCTCCCACCGCCAACCAGTACCCTTCTGTGATCCTGTCCACAGACAAGGTCCACATCAAGCTGGGTGAGTCCTGCATGCGCTCTTGGTAATGAGAACAGCTCGAAGTCTTTCTGGGCTTTCCTTTTTCTTAACGATAGAAAGCATTTTGTACCTCGTTCCTCGCTTTGGTCCAGTGTCCTCTTGGTGAAGAGCAAGGCTGCTTGGGACGGTGTATTTTAAATGCAGGAGATTAAAAGAGCTCTCCCTTTCCTGCCTGGGGAAGGCCTGGCAGGTGCCGCCCAGGCTGCGTGGGGATTTTCTCTCCTTCCTCAGTAGGGGTGGGGACACCTACGATTTAGATGGACCCGAACAGAGCAGGCTCATCAGTTAGCTGGAATAATGCCAGCTGTGTTTCCTCCAGTTCTCATTAAAGCCCGCATCTCTTGTGTAGAATGTAGTCCCTGGGGCACGGGCCTCCGTGAGCGGCTGTTCCCCATCCAAGTGCTAAACAGCCCTCGGAGTAGGCTGGGGGCCTGCTCAGTCACGTCTCCCGACACCCGGTGTTCAGCCTGTGAGGGCTCCCTCTCTGTAACCCTGAAGCCACTGCTGAGGTCTGCTGCGCGTGCCATGTCCAGCCGGCTGCTTCTGAGCCAGCACTCAGGGGAAGGGAGGGCCTGGTTTAACAGTTCGCTGCATGTTCTTGGTATGTTTGACAAGAAAAGATAGACACATGTTTGCTAGAGACAATTATAAGTGTATTGGAACTTTCAGCCCCAGTAATGGGCCTTGGCTTTTCCACAGCCCTATTACATCTGTAGGGAATGAGATGAAAGGATATTTCCTAAGGATTTGGTCATTGCTAAATAACTTTGTAATCTCTTTTTATTAAGGTCTGTTTTTTCCATAATGTTTTGCCTACACTAGCTGTTTTTACAACTTTTTAAGAAGCACAGAAGACCTCTGTCTTACCTATCATTCCCAAGGAAACATTCCCATGTCAACGTTTACCCCAAAGTGCAGGCCAATCAACGTGGTGTTTCCTGACTTGGCCAGGAGCCCAATGCCTGGCTGTGTCTGACCAGTGCTTGTATGGGACTTGGGTGCGATGCATTGTGGGCAGCTTGGGTCATATTGAGGCCACAGCAATGACAGAAAATAATAAAAGAGAATCAGAGCCCAAGGTCCTGGTAATTCACTCTGTAAACCTACCACAGACTTAATGCTCTTACGGGACTGCAGCCATGCCAAGAGGCTGATTAGTTCTCTACCAAAATCCGACTGACTGGGGAACGTGTATCCTTCCCTGTTCCCCTTGTTGTCGTTTGTCCTGTTGCCACACTGATAAGCGGACTCTTTGGAGGGATGTCCCCCAAGTTCTCTGGCCTTCAGCAGACGGGTAGCCAGGCTTTTGGGCCCTGCTTCTTCAGACACCTGGGAGGTCTTTTGCTCAGGCTTATTTTGATCAGGTGCTGCCGATCACAGCCCCCCTCTGGGCCCTTCTTCCAGGAGTGGCCCCGCCCCCGGGAGCGGTGCTGGTGCTGCACTCTCTGCCCCTGGAGTTCCCGCTGGCCATGGCCTTCGCAGAGCAGCTGCTGTCCTGGAAGTCCGAGGGCGGCGAAGGGAAGTCCGAGGATGAGCCGGATGCCGTCCCGACATCAGTCCTCCTGCAAGTGGCGGAGCTGCTGGGTGAGCACCCCCAGGGTCGGCCCCGGGGGTAGCTGTGGCGGGGCCTGAGGAAGGAGCTGCAGGGTGGGCGAGGGGTGACCGCAGGTAGCCCAGGCAGGGCGGCCCGCTCCCAGGTTACCGCCGTTTGAGGCGAGCATGGGAGACTGAGTGCAAGGTATAACGTAGGCTTCCAAATCCATGATCTGCAGGGGCTTCAACTGTGAAAGGAAGATGAATTTTATCACCCTTTAAAACATAACTGTGTGCCACTTTAACTGCAGAGGTGAAAGGCGTTGTAAAGTGAGTGGTTTGGAAGTAAATGATGTTGCAAATCAAACATTATGACTTCATAGCTCCTGAAGGGTTAAAAGGGGGTTGCATTTTGGCAAAAGCAATGGAATAATAAACTTAAGAGTTGTGCATTTATCATATGTAAATTTACCTCAAAAAATTCTAAATGAGTATTAAACTTTAATTAATGATGTATTTCCTTAAGTGCTTAGGGGTAAAACATACTAATGCCTGCAACTTATTTTGAAATAATTAGAAACTAACATGAGTGTTTGATTGAACAGAGGGATGGGGGAGAGATGTGTAATGAAGCAAATACAGCAAAATGTTATGCTGGGCATGCACATAGCTGCGGTGTCTTTCCATTTTTCTACATGTTTAAATTTTTTCATAATAAAATGTTGGCGGGAAAGAGAAAGACGCGAACTCAGATGCTCGCAGGGGTCAGGCAGCTGGGGCACACGGAGGGAGAAAGAGGGACATGGCCACAGGGCCGCGGCGGGGTGGGGGCCCTCCCGTCAGGCAGCCGCGGGGCCCTGCCAGCAGAGCTCCCTCAGGGTGCCTGCCGGGCAGCACCGCTTTTCATTAAAGAAAAGCCAGAGATCTAGGTATTGATGTGAATCCCCCAATTCTTAAATGTCAACAACCGATTTAAATTCTTTAAAACGCACTTGGCATGGAGCGGGGGAGGTGGGCAGAGAACAGTCCTCTGGGAAAACAGGATGTCCATGGTCTCCGCTCAGGGCCCAGCCATTTGCAATTTTGGTGGAGGACAGTTCTCCCCATGGCTGTCCTGCCACATAACGACAGATGGCAGAGAAGGACAACGGAAGAGGAACCATGTGCCCGAGGGCCTGGCCCTGGACCTCCCTGGCCCTTGTCCTGTGTGAGCGCCCATGAGTTATGTCCAGTTGGAGTGATCAAACAGTGGCGCCCCGAGAGCAGGCAGCTCGGCCCCTCCTTTATAGGCGCCGGGCTAAACTGGACGTTCGTGGGAAGTCACCCAGACCCAGCCATTGGGAATCACTGTCCACAACATGACTGCGTGAATGAAAGATGCACCTCCGGCATGAGGGGGACCTTGGTACAAATGTGTGGTCCACCTCGTTCAGACAGTATTTCTCAGACTTGAGTCATCCTCGTGCCACCATCGTGACCCCTGCCATGTCTGCAAACTATGCCTATCAGCATTTATTTGTCATTACGACAATTACCTCCTTTCTCCTTTTTTAAACTTAAGTTTAATTGGAAAGGAAACGTTGTCGTTACTTTAAATGGAAAATTAGTATCCTTTGCCGTACATAATGAGAAGATAACTATAAAAATAAAAAGATGAATAGTTACTGTTAGGAAATTCTGGCTAAATACAAATGCTTATCAAAGACTTTGAGCCTGTGATCCACTCTCTGTCTAGAACACACAGCCCCCAGGAAGCCTTTCTTACGCCAGCGGGTCTAAGAGAGGGCGTGAGAAGGAAGGGCTCCTTGCTGTGTATGTCTGTGCTGAGTGTGAAGCTGGGCGGTGCGCCCCCAGCAGCGAGCATCCCATGGTTGAGAAAACACTGTTCTAGGGACTTGACACTGATTGGCTTTGATAACCTGATGAGAAAGGAAATAATGATTTTTAGCCTCAGCTACGGAAGCCAGCTCCATGCAGTCATGTGCCACAGGGCTTAAGGCCACAGACCCTGGAGCCAGCCTGGCCGGCTCTCCGTTTGGGAGCTGTGACCTTGGGTGAGTCCTTCAGCTCTTGGAGGCTCTGTGTCTCCACCTGTGAGATGGAGCGGATACTGTGCTGTTTGTCTGCCAGGGGTGCTGCGAGGGTTGAATCCGCGCAAGTGCTTAGAACGGTGCCCAGCACTAATAAGGGCTCTGTAAGCGACTATTGCTTTGTGTTTGCTTCAGGAAACTTCCTGTGGACCACAGACATGGCGGCCTGCGTGAAGGAGCTCGTTTTCCATCTCCTGGCAGAGCTGCTGCGCACAGTGCACGCCCTGGAGCAGAGGAAACGCCCCGCCGGCCTGTCCTCCTCCATCGCCCTCCAGCTGAACCCCTGCCTGGCGATGCTCATGGCCCTGCAGTCCGAGCTCCATAAGCTGTACGACGAGGAGACGCAGAGCTGGGTCTCGGGCAGCAGCTGTGGGGGCGCGGGGACAGCGGCGGCCGCTGACCAGGGCAGGTTCTCCACGTATTTTCACGCACTCATGGAAGGTTGCCTGGCTGTGGCTGAAGTGACCCTGCCCACAAACATGAGTGTCTCGGCCAGTGGAGTGACCTCAACGACCGCCCCAAACCTCAGTGACTCCTCCTCCTCCTCCTCATCCTCCCCAGGACAGACACCACAGAGCCCCAGCCTCCTGTCCAAGAGGAAGAAAGTCAAGATGAAGCGGGAAAAGGCCTCCTCCTCCGGGAAGCGCCAGTCCTCCCGCTCTGGGGACTCCGACCCCGCCATGCTCAGCATCGGGGGCAGCAAGCCCGAGGACATGCTGTGGTTCCATCGAGCCCTGACCTTGCTCATCATCCTCCGGCACCTCACCAGGAAGGACCCGCAGGGCCTGGGCGTGACGAGCGACGCCATCGCCGATGCCTGCCAGGCCCTGGTCGGCCCCACTGCCCACAGCCGCCTGCTGGTGATCTCGGGAATCCCCACCCACCTGGATGAGGGCATTGTTAGAGGCGCCATCCGCAAGGCCTGCAATGCCCACGGTGGGGTCTTCAAAGACGAGATCTACATTCCTCTGCAGGATGAAGACCCCAAGAAGCCGAAAGACAAGGCCGAGGGCAGTGACGGGAAAGCCGAGCCCGAGAAGACCCTTGGCTTCCCCAGCACGGACAGCCTGGATGTCAGCACGTCCAGCAGCCTGACCCCGGCCATGAGCATCAGCGCATCCGCCTCCACCAGCCAGGCCTCCATCTGCAGCTCCCAGGGCATCTCGCAGACAGTCAGTGACCTGTCCGTGGACCTGCTGCCTGCGGGCCTCGAGCTTCCCCTCCCTCCTGGCTTGCTGGAGCCCCACGTGGTGTCCAGCCAGGAGAGCCTGGACATCTCCCTGTGCAGCACCGGCAGCCTGGGCAGCCTGGGCAGCCTGGGGGAGCCGCTGGACAATGCAGAGACGGCCTCGGTGTCAGACGTGGGCTCCGTGTACACCGCCACGTCCTTGGACAGCCAGCCCCTGGCAGCGCGCCCCATCAAAGGCTTTGCGGTCGTGGAGGTAACAGCTCTCACCCCTCAGCAGCCACTAAAATCTTGGGCTATTGGACTCCCTCAGGCCTCTCTCAGCCTTCCGCTGTCCTTTCTCAGGGATTACCTAACTCGTGGCACTAGGGCACTTGGGGCGCCCTGAGGCGGCTTTTGGAACCAGCCCCGATTTGCCATGCTGATTATCTGAGTTCGGGGTTACAGCTCTGAGAGCACCGTCACAGCTGATGCCAGGAAGTGCACGCAGTTGCAGCTGATTGCCGAGCGGGCAGGAGGCGGAGGGGCCGGAGGGGCCGGAGGGGCCGGAGGGGCTGGCGGGGCCGGTCTTTCCTGATGGATGGGCTCCATCACATGGGTTCCAACTCAGGCCCCCTGTGTAGCTTTCTGAGGGGCTTCTAAACATTGCTATCACATGACCTGACTGGCGTGGCCCAGTGGTTAGGCATCGTCTCACAAAGCGAAAGGTCACTAGTTCAATTCCCAGTCAGGGCATGTGCCTCGGTTACAGGTTCGGTCCCAATCGAGGTATAGCTGATTGGTGTTTCTCTCTCACATCAACATTTCTCTCCCTCTCTTTCTCCCTCCCTTTCCCTCTCTAAAAATAAATAAATAAAATCTTTAAAATAAAATTAAGAAAAAAGAAAAAACAATTGCCACCACAGGAGGGATCTTCACTGAGCAGCATGTGAACAGGCCCTTGCCATTGTTCCTGAGTTTCTGAGTTACCCGTGTGGCCGGGTCACATTGCCACTTCAGGACCCCATCTGGTTCTCGGGTCTCCTTGTTTGAAAACGCGCTGTCCTGTGACTCGCTGCACCCCTGTGGGACAGGAGTCAGGCCCCAAGGGAGAGTGGCCTCACTCGCCCTGGGAGGGGCCCGAGGGCCCAGCACTTGGCCTGCTCCCTGGAATTGCTTCTGTACCCCAGCTGCCTTCTTCTTGGGCACTTTCTCTGAGCCTGGCAAGGACTTCCGTGCCCAGGGCTTCGGGGTAAAGCCACAGACCTGGCCAGGGGTTAGCGGCAGACTGCCAGTCACGTCGTTCCCCTGAGGGTGGCCCCCGCTGGTATGTGGGTGAGGCCTTCCCAGGAGGCCCACTAGCCCAAGGCTGGCGAGGAGGGGAGGGTCCCAGGGGCGGGCGGGCAGGAAGGGAGCAAAGGTCATTCCTGTGGACAGGGGCGTCACTCTCTACCCTGTCCTGACCCTGTTCTTTGTTCACACAGATAAGATCCCGAGCCAAGATCGAGAAAATTCGAGCAAGTTTATTTAACAATAATGACTTGATTGGTCTGTCAAGTTTGGACGGTGAAGATGAATTGATGGAAATGTCAACAGAAGAGATTCTCACTGTATCTGTAGTAAATCAGAGTTTGTTTGACACTCAAGGGAGCCCAGGGTTAGAAGATTATTTCAATGATAAGTCAATTAAAGGTAGGTTCTGGACTTTTTTAATTAATAGACTTTTTTTAGCAATTTTAAATTTACAGGAAAGATGGAGTGAAAATTATTCCCCTCTCCATTCTCAATTTCCTGTATTTTTAACACCTTATGCAGGAGCTCTGGGGGCACCCCTGGATTTGCAGATGTAAGAAATGATCCAGGGGTGTTGGGAAGCCGTGACAAGGGCTCATCGCTTGGATAGCAGAGGATTCACCGTGCGCGCCTGCGTGTGGTGTGGAGAGAGGGCTGGGCGGGCCATCGGGCAGCCTGCCGCTGGCCGCAGGGTCACCAGCAGTGGCTCCGCCACCACCAGCCTCAGACACACATGTGGGCTTGCGTCCAAGTCATAGTTTTCTTTTTATGCAGCCAGGCTTCCCCTTCTGCAAGTTCAAGCATATTTATTTTGTTATGTCCTGTGGAGCCAGCTCGTACCAAGCACATTGCCGGTGCTCATTTGGTCATGAGCTTGAGGCAGCGAATGCTTCACCCTTTAAAACCAATGATTGGGGAAGCGACCGCTCCAGCTCCTTTTTCACAGTCCCCTGCTCTGTCACCCTGACGGCGCTCGGTGGGCCCTGGCTGTCCCGCCCCCACTCCTTTGCCAGGACACCGAGCGCTGGCCTGGGGCGCGGGCTCTGCCGAGGCCCCGCGTGACACCGGCACTCGCCCCATGCATCACCCAGAGTGGCAGCCACCTTCTCGTTGTTTTATGGTTACAGTCCTCTGTGCCCTCACTGTTCTTTTATACTCACTATTCTTTTAGCTGCTCGACTTTTAATCCAGGTTCTTTCCTCTAAATCCTTAGTGGTGTTTGAAATTTCATAATAGGGTTATTGTGTTTGTTTTGGTTTTTGTGTACAAAAATTGTAATATTATGTATGGCTTTTGTTGTTGCTGTTCAAATTTTTATTCCCCAATCATGAAATTTGTAAATGTCCCCTGAGCGCTAGGACCAGGGTGAGGTGAAGCCTTGGGCACAAAATTTCATGGGGCTCCAAGAAATTAATAATCTAGGTGAAGTATTAATGAAATGTTTATAAAAGTTAAAATGAAAGCATGATGAACAAAATATTTACATTTTAAATATTGGCAAGATCAGTATTACTGATTTTTTTCTTTGTATCAGACTTTAATGTGACTCAGCACAGTATTGTTAATGTTCTGCTTGTTTTTTTGTGTGTGTTTTAATTTTTAAAGTAGTGCATTAAAATATGTACCTCGATCACTGAGTTTTAGGGGGACTGGGCGCCTGCAGGGCCAGCTCGCTGTCCTCGCCCCGCCCTCAGCCCTGTTTGCTTGTTGGTGTGTATTTGGCCCCCTCGGCTGCCCACGTGGGAAGAGTCAGATCTGCGGGGAAACCCGAGGCCTTTTCCTGCCACAACTAGTGCTCTCCCGGTCTTGCCATGTTTTGAATTGGAATTTAGTTCTCATTCCTGATCCTGTTAGAGTCCAACCTTCCACATAAGGTGCCCAGTCTTCCGGCAGCGTGTTTGCCGCGTTACTGCCACGCGCATTTGCTCGATGCTGTTTAAGCTGTGGTTCCGCTAAGTCAGCTCTTACGGCTCGGCCCTGCCTTCCGCACACCCCGCCCCCCGCCCCGAGTCTTGCTGGGCCTTCGCACTGAGGCTCTGCTGGCTGGGCCTGACCCGGCCTGGCCCTGGGCGTCGCACGCCCAGAGAGAAAGGGGGAGGGTGGGGCAGGAAGGAGAAGTGAGCCAGCTCCTCGGCCGGCCGGGCCCTTGGCCCCGGGGGGCATGCAGACGGGCCCCTGCAGGAAAAGGGGAGCCCTCCAGGAGCACCTGTTCCGGGACAGAAGTGTAAGTGCTTTTCTCTGTGCTCCTGGACAGTGTTCTTCTATCAGAAAACTTTCTCTTTTCATCTGCTCGTGTCAATTTTGAAACATGTTCTCTAATAAGTAGTAACTGTTTGACAACCTGTACATTGACTAAAAATACTGGCAGGCTCTGACCCTCTTGTCCTTTGGGATTCTCTGTCACACACAGATATGTTGTTCAGTTGCGGTAGGTTCAACTGCCGTAATAAAGAGACCCGAGAGCTCAGTGTCTCAGACCCAGAGCAGGTTTACATCCTGCTCATGTTAGAGCCCAGGGTCAGTGCTGAGCTCTGCCCTCCCGGGGGCTTGTCATTGCTATGCAGCCAGGGGAGGGGCGAGCGCAGCAGAGGCCGCCTGGCCCGGGAATGGCTAGCGTCCCACGCCACAGAGCCGCCCCTTACAGCCAAGGAGACCAGACGGGTGGCTGAGGCGTGCGCCTGCAAAGGGGAAACGAGGCTTTGGTGCGCAGCGCGTCATCACCGCTAAAGGCCTGTTACCCACTTTTGGAAGCAAATTGTTTATGGAAAACAAAGCACCGCAGGGCTTGTCCCTGACCTGGCCTGTTCACGGCAGCCCTGTTTTGCCCGCCCCTGCTCTGTGACAGGTGAGAAGCTGGTGCCTGGGGCCAGAGAGGTGCTGACGGAGATATTTAAGAGCTGTGCCCATTCGGAGCAGATGCTGAGCCTGACGCCAGCAAAGCCCATCAAAGTGTCTGACATTTATCTTAGCAAAGAGCAGATCAACTCCCAGACGCCAGGCAACCTCCTTCACCTCTTCTTCACCAATGTCCGGCCTCCAAAGAAGGTTCTGGAGGACCAGCTCACGCAGGTAGCTGTCCCTCCCTGCCATGCCTGTGCTGAGCCTCCGGTGCATCTCGGGGGGAGCCTGAGGACGCCCCCTCTGGTCCTCCGCAGATCCTGAGGAAATACGGCGTGCCGAAGCCCAAGTTCGACAAGAGCAAGTACAGCAAAGCTGGCAAGGAGCAGCACCCCGGCAAGGTGGTGAGCACGAAGCGGCCCCTCTCCAAGCCGCCTGCCAAGGACAAGGCTGTGCTCAACAGCGTCAGGTGGGCGCCTTCAGAGTGCGGGAGATGGCTGGGCGGGGACGCATGGGGGCCACGTCCCAGCAGGCTCCCGGGCGGCCAGGCATTCTGGCTTTTCTCCGCTGCCCGGGTCCTTTCTGTCCTGGATCGTCAGCTGAAAGAGAGCCTTTCATTTTATCCTCAAGTATAGTAAAATCTGGACCACACAGGCTGGATAGGAGACCAGTCTGAATTCATACAGCATCTAAGATGTACAGGCTTGTTTAAAAATTCTAACTTCTATTAACCGCACAAATAATGCATAGTGATTATAGAAAGACTATAAAATGAGTATGTGCATATTGAAAAATTGAACTACCCCATGCATAGCAACTACTTTTCACATTTAAGTATATAGCATTGCATTCATGCGTATGTATTTTTTCTTAAATTTTAAATGGTTAAAATGGTCCAAAATTCAAGAGCACATGCAGTGAAAAGCCACCCTTCTTTCCATTCACCCTCAAGCCCCCCCAGTCCCCTCCCTGGGGCGCCCGAGTGACTCGCGCAGCCCTGCAGATGCTGTCACACACTCGGAGGCGGGAGCTGCGCTCGCTGAGGGTTCCCGGCTGAATGCCTTGCTGCTCATCTTGCACTGAAAGAACTTCCTTCTTCCTTTTTTTAATAGCTACATGCTAGTCCATGTGCACACACATACATGTGTAATAGAATTTTCTTTAGATAAGGGCTTATGACTCTCAGGTACTCATAGTTGAAACTCGAAACTTGGCGGCAAAGAGTTACCCAGCAGGAGTCTCAAGAGGACTTGTTTAAATAATTAGAGAAATAAGAGGCCTTTTCATTAATGATATACAAAGGGCGCTCCTGCGTCAGCTCTGTGCAGTAGAACTGTCTGCGCAAGCGACATGCGGGCTGTCTCTTGGTCCGTGCTGTTGGAGGCAGTAGCCCCTGGTCACACGGGAGCCCCTGACACGTGGGGAGCACCCCCAAGGAGCAGAATTTGCCGTTTTATTTTAACAATTTTACACTCAAGTAGCTCCACCTGGCTGGTGGCTTCCTCTCGGACAGTGCAGCTCTGAAGTAAGGAGAAAGAGTGTTTGAAAAGTGTTTCTTCACTACCTTTCACACTTGGCAGAATCGTCTGTCTTGATCACTTATGCTCAATAAACTTTTCTGGGGCAGAATAAGGCTGGCCTAGCCCCCAGCCCTGTCCAAACCCTGAGCCCTGGCTGGGGGTGTGAACTAACGCACGCGTGAGGTGCTCCGCCCCCTCTATCACGAGGGGTGTGGCCGATGGAGCACTGAGCCCATGCTGGGTCTGCAGCAGGGCTGCCCTGAGCGAGAAGAAGCCCACTGTGAAGCCCAAGTCCCCGGAAAAGAGCAAGCCGGATGAAAAGGACCCAGAAAAGTCACCCACCAAAAAACAAGAAGGTGAGTGAGCAATGTGGGGCTGACGCGGACCTGGGGGGCCGGGAGGCTTCCGTCCTGGGGACGGCGGTCCGCCGGGGAACCAGTGCTTTTGCCTGACTAGCTGGGCACCCTTGGGCTTTAGCTTAGGCATTGCTAAAGGCGCCAGGGCACATACCGGGCCAGCGCTGGTCGTTGTCCCAGGGTACTGTCTTTGATGACCATGAACTTATGGAGGTCAAAATAGCAGCTCCAGGAATACCAGACACCCAAGGCGAAGAATAGGTGATTGTGACTGAAGGTAAAGATCTGGACATCTGGCACAAGTTCCCTTCCAGAAGGTTCTTACCTGAGGCATGAGAACTTTAGTCTCCTACAGGCCCAGGCAGAACTGGAGGATGCCATTCTCACGGTCGCAAGATGAGCCGGCAGTGTTTCTGAGATGAGAGAAGGAGAGGGCCATGGGCGAAGCGCCGCGCCGACTGGCGACTAGACAGGTGGTGGAGGCTGCAGCTCAAGGACACCCATGAGGCTGGGCGACCTGCCCACTTGGGCAGTGGATGGGGAGGGCCCCTTAGCAGACCCTGGAGTGACAGGGGACAGGAGCGTGATAAGATGGGTTGGGCCCTGAAAGAGGATGCGACCGGAGCATGTGGCGTGGCCCCACTGTGCGCAGTTCTTACCAAGTTCCTAACGCTGTGAACACTTTGCACCAGTCCCTGAGGAAAAGTATCTGACCCTGGAAGGATTTCACAAGTTCGTTGTGGACCGAGCTAAGCAAGACATCCGCAGCGTCTGGAGGGCAATTTTGTCCTGTGGTTACGACCTCCACTTTGAAAGGTAAGAGGTGGGTCCTCAGCCCCTTTGATACCTCCTGCGAAAATTGTTTTCAGCCACAGGGTGCATCTCAAGAAAATACTTCCTGGGGAGCCATTCTCTCTACCCTGTTTTTAATGCCTGGGAGGCAAGGCCACCTTAGAAAGGTCCTCCTGGAGCTGGAGGTGGCCCTGGAGGACTCCAGCAGCCTCCGCCACCTCACCCTCTGCCCCCAGGTGCGCCTGCATCGATGTCCGCCATGCGCACAAGGCCTCGAGGAAGTGGACCCTGGAGATGGACGTGGCGCTCGTGCAGTACATCAACCGGCTCTGCCGCCACCTGGCCATCACGCCTGCGCGGCTCCACCCCCACGAGGTGTACCTGGACCCCGCGGACACCACCGACCCCAGAGTGGCCTGTCTCTTGAGTACGTGGCCTGGGGGAATGCTTGTCGGGGACGCCCCGAGCACTGCCCGGTCTGGGAGCTCCCGTGGCAGTGCTGGGAGTGTGTGCACAAGTCACGCACTCCGAAAATGGCCCTTCTTTGTGAGTCCACGCCTGCAAAACCGCCTGGCACGACATGTTGGCAAGTGGCCCCTGGGCTTATTTCTCCACCTGTCCCCACGTGCACTCCAGGCTGCGGCTTCGCCTGCGCACCCAGGCTCAGCCACGAGTCCGGAGCCCTTGCCCTCTCCTGGACATTGTGAAGGGAATTGTAGGCAAGGAATTGTCCCGTCTGTCTCTCACAGTTGGAGAGGAGACAGATGTGAGGACAGGCAAGTAAAGGACAGTGTGCTGGTGTCCCAGCTTCTTGGTTTTGAAATACCATTGGAGAAAGGTACACAGGACTCCACACTGTTGTTGCAATTTCTTGTACGTTGGTAATTATTTCAAAATTAAAAATTAAAAATTAATGTAGTACACAGTCGCGACATGGCCCAGAGGTGGCTGAGGAGACCTTGGATTCCTTAAGAGCCAGGGTCTCCCGCTGGCCTGCCTGGGCCTCACCCTTTGTCTCAGGCACGTTGGGAGATAAAATCCACTGCGGGTCCCCCTGGTCCCACTTGAAATGCCCCACTGCCTGGGGGGCCCACCCGAGGTGGTTCAGGAATGGAGTCTTGGCCTCGCCTGCTGAGACCCCAGCCTGACCGCCCCCTACCCTGCCCCCGCCCTGCAGACGTGCCCATCGAGAGCCTGCGCCTGCGCTTCGCCCTGCTGCAGTCCCTCAACACCACCCTGGAGACCTTCTTCCTGCCCCTGGTGGAGCTGCGCCAGACGCCCGTGCATGCACACAGCATCGCCGCCCTGCTGAAGGAGGCCAAAGGTCGGTGCCGCCGGGTCCGCGGCCACGCGGGACTCCTCCAGAGCAGCCACTCTGTGCTCTGAAACACGAATGTGCTCTGAAGGGAAGGAAACTTCCCAAACCAGGGTTCGGACTATTTAGAAAGATATAAAGTTCAAGCTGACTTACTCTCTGCCCCCACATTTCGGCCTCCCAGAGATGGCCATTAACAGATGATCATCAGTCCTCCCAGACTTTTCTATTCACATACAAATAGACACACATACACGCATGCGTTTGGTCTTATTTTTTAATCAAAATGGGTGTTACACGTTCCTGCTGCAGCTCCGTTTGCTGCGTGATAGCCAGCTGCAAAGACTGCCGGCGTGCGCAGCGCCACCACGCCTCCGGCTGCCGCGGCAGAGCCCGTCATCAGTCGTAGCGTTTTCTTGTTGATAGACGCTCGGGTGGTTTTTATTGTTTGCTCTTTCAGAAAATGCTGCAGCAAAGCTCCCTGTTCGTTATGTGTTTGGCTTGGTATTTCTGCCAGCTGGGCGTGACAGAGTCCAAGGGTTTGTGTGTTGATACTTGGGTAGATCCTAACACATCGTCCTCCAGAAGTCCCGACCGCCATGTCCCCCCAGCACAGTATGCAGGCACCCACCCAGGGACCTGAGGGGGTCCTAGGAGAGACTGGACAGACGCAGCAGCGTCAGCATGGCCTCAGGGGTGACTGGGAAAGAAGGGAAGCAGCCCCATCCCAGCCTCTCTCCCACATTCCTCCCTTCAGGGCTGATCTTCTATGACACAAAGGTGACTGTCATGAACCGGGTGCTGAACGCCACAGTGCAGAGGACCGCTGACCATGCGGCGCCTGAGATCACTTTGGATCCCCTGGAAATCGTGGGAGGTAAGACTGGCTACGGGGACTAGAAAAGGCACATGAAGGAAGCCTCTAGAAGAAAGAAGTGCAGTGTTGCTGTGACAGCTCCTCATTTACCTGGCTGCGCTGTCATTGTGCCCTCGCCACCCTCTCATCTCAGCGGTAGCTTCCGCCTTCAGGGTCCCATGTGAGCTCTGCACCCTAGGCAGCAGGAGGAAGGGGAGACTTCCAGTCACGTGTCAGTGGAGACCCCATCTGGCGGCCACGCCTCACTGCAGGGGCGGCCGGCAAATGCAGGCTTCATTCTGGCGGGCCACAGACCTGCTGAAATACGGGTCCTGGCACCAAGGAGAGGGGCATGGGGGTCGGGGGGTGACCTCTCCTGGAGACTGAGGGAAGGAGGGGAGGGGCCGGCACTTGGAGAACCGAGGCGGCGGTTCCATGAGAGCACCATGTGGCTAAGGCAGGAAAGATCTGAAGATGGCCCCAGAGCAGAGGGAAGGCGAGGCAGCTGGATGAGGAGCAGGGTGAGCTCCGAGAGGAAGGCCGAGGCCGGGCTAGGCACTGTCCTGCGGGGGGAGGGCCGCAGGCGGCCATGGGAGGGGTTCTCAGCTCCCCTCTCTCTTCCAGGAGAGATCAGAGCTTCTGAAAACTCCTACTTCTGCCAAGCTGCCCGGCAGCTGGCCTCCGTGCCATCCTCTCAGCTGTGTGTCAAACTGGCTAGTGGCGGCGACCCGACCTATGCCTTCAACATCCGCTTCACCGGGGAGGAGGTCCACGGCACCAGTAGGTGGCAGCCCCCGCAGGCTCTCCTCCCGCCCATTCTGGGCAGAGGCTGTGTTGAGAGTAAAATTCCCTGAGGTTATTTTTAGCCTAAACTGCCAGATCTCCCCCATTAGCTGAGTCAAAGGCTCATCCTCACCGCCTGCGCCCGGGACCGTCACACCCAACCCCCCGCAGACTTGCCCTGCCCCCAGGTGGGAACCGTGCCTGGGACTGCAGCCCAGTGCCGTCCAGGCTCGGGGAGCCGCCCCTGGTCAGCGCCGGGGTGGACGTGAGAAGGACGCTTCAGTGCGGACGGGCCTTCTTCCCCTGGGGAGCCCCTGGCTGGGGGTGGTTGGGCTAAGAGCTCATTAAGTGCCCCGTGAGAGACAGGTGTTGGGAGTCCTTGATGGAAATGGGACCTTCTGTCATTTCACTCTGAAAGGATGAGGACAAGCAGCTCAGAAAATGTCCCCTCGTGGCCCTTACGGTCACTTATAGTTGCAGACATTCAGGAGCTTTTGCACCAGGATGGGGGAAGAAGCCCAGTTGTTCACCCAGGCGCACGGGGAAGGACCAACTGTTGGGGCAGCCCCATCCCCGTCCCGCTCTGGTCCTGGGCGCGCTGTCCCAGCAGTGGCTCAGCCAGCACTGAGGTGTCCTAAGGACAGCCCAGGTTCTCCGAGGACAGGCCTCGGAACGAGCCAGGCCCCACCCCACACACACCGCTCCTCCGAGCACCAGAGCTCCCCAAGACGCTAGCGTTGTCCCACTTCACAGATAGGTCACTAGGCCACTTCAAAGGTAAGTAGCTTCCCCAAGGTCAGGCAGCTGCCTGGAGTTCAAACCCACCCAGGTCTGTCCAATTCCAAAGCCCCACCCTTGAACTTGGTGCCTTCAGCTGGCAGGAATCTCCTGTCTCTTCGTGGAAGCTGAGTGAGGGCCAGGCCCTGACACCTGTCCCCAGGCAAGTCCTCCACGTGGCTCTGACCAAGCACCCACCGTAGTCCTCAGGGCTTCCCGGCCTCAGGCACTGACCGGAATGCATAGGTTAGAAGAGGCCCCGCCAGAGAGGAATTTGCTAGAAAACCAAAGGCACCTTTTTGGAAGGGTAGCCATAGGAAATTGCTAATGGCCCATTGCCTTTGCATGGGCTCATGTGCCCATCCAGTCTCTTAAGCATTCACTGAACAGACACTGAGCACCTGGGCCCTGGAGGGAGCAATCCTGGGTAACACGGGGCCCTTCCCTGGGCACAGGAGACGGATGTGGATCCAACAAGCCCGCAAACCAGCGTGGGCTCGCAGCTGAGAGCTGCCCGTGTAGGGTCTGCGTTTGATCTCTTTGAATCCTTGAAACTAGCCTGGGAGGCTAGTTACTGTCCCCTCTGATTGATGGCTGAGGTGGCTCTGGGAATGAGGCAATCTCCCGGCTGGTAAGTGACACAGCAGCAGGTCTCCAGCCCGCTGGCTGGCTTGCTTTCCATCCCCCGGGGCTGCAGTCAGGCTGGCAGATGAGGCGATGGTCCCGAGCGGACAGACGGGGAGTGTCGGGCAGGGGCGCTTGCCGGGTCTGGCGCTCACAGGGCTCCCTCTGTCCCACAGGCGGCTCTTTCCGCCACTTCCTGTGGCAGGTGTGTAAGGAGCTGCAGAGCTCCTCGCTGTCCCTCCTGCTGCTGTGCCCCAGCGCAGCTGTCAACAAGAACAAGGTAAGGCGCCCGAGCCCTGGGTCGCAGAGGGCCGGTACCCCCACGGTCGGATCCCGAGGGGCCGTGGCTCCTGGGGCGTGTTCTCCTCATTCCGTGCCCTTCCACAAGCCGCCTGGTCTGGGCAGGGCTGGCTCCCGGACACAGGTTCCCAGGCACACACCAGTCCCCTCCTCTGCCTCTGCGTCCAGGGCAAGTACATCCTGACCCCCAGCCCCATCACCTACGGGGAGGAGCAGCTGCTGCACTTCCTGGGCCAGCTGCTGGGCATCGCAATCCGCGCAGACGTCCCTCTGCCCCTGGACCTGCTGCCCTCCTTCTGGAAGACGCTGGTGGGCGAGCCCCTGGACGCCGAACAGGACCTGCAGGAGGCAGACGTACTCACCTACAACTACGTCAAGAAATTCGAGAGTGTAAGGGAGAGCACATTTATTCAGGGAGACAGCAGGGCCCGGGGCAGTGCCCCTGGGACCCTCATTGCCGCCACGGTGGCCCCGGGGACCCAAGCTCCCCAACTAAAGACTGGTAGGGTCTCCCAGGAACATGAGGGAATGAGAGCCACCTCCCGCAGCCAGCTTACTTCCTGGGGACAGAAGCCTCTGTCTTCCCTCCCTGATGACAGCGGCTGCCTGGGACTGACCCTACCAGCCCTGCTGGGCCTCCAGGGACGCGGGCGAAGGGTGCCCGGCAACTGAATGAGCAGAGGTGTTGGGGTGGGAAATGCGGCCCACAGGCCCAGTGTCACAGTAAGGAGGCCTGTCTCAGGGCCTCATCTAGAGCCCAGATCAGTTCCCCGGGGTCCCCCAAGCCTGGCCGAGGAGGACAGAGGAATGGAGCTCCCTGTCCCTCCCCAAGTGCCCTGAGACACGTAGAGGCAGCGAGACCACAGCCATGTCTGAACTTCTGTCTCTACACACAGACCAGCCCCCGGAGGGGATGTGGCCTATGCCTAGGTTGCCACTGAGCTGAGGCAGCTGCTCAGGTCTATGGCCTGGGGCAGCAGCCAGGAGGCCCGCAGTGGGCCGGCTCGGGCGCACATCCCGCCCTCAGGGAGCGCCCTGCTGCTTGGAGAGGGGAGCCGGCTGCAGCCCAGGTCTGGCCCACCCCACGTGTGCTCTGGGTACCATGCACTCTGCCCCAGCAGGGGGTGATGGTGGCCTCTGATCTAGCCCTTCCCCCTTGAGAGCCACCTGCCTCTGCTCACAGGGGAGCTGGCTTTGTGTCCGAGGTTTGTCTGAGCCTGCTCCATGGGGACCTCAGCTAAAGGAGGGTGTCAGCTGATCCTGCCTCCACTGGCACAAACGGCGGTGGGCCCCCGGGGTGGGGAGGAGTGGGGTGGGAGCGGCGGGTTTGCCAGGCTCTCTGCAGCTGTCCCCCTGGTTACCACTCGAGGGCAGACTGTGCAAGGAAGCAGAAAAGCCAAGGTACTGGATAGCAGTTGGCTTGGAAGCAGAAACAAGGGTGATGAAGTGGCTAAAGGGTCAAAGCAGGATGCCCCCCATGGCCTGGGGACTTGTGGGCGGCGGCGGCCTGGGCCGCGGGCAGGCGGGATGCCAGGCGGTGTCCCGGCAGGTAGCCCAGCCAAGGCTTCTGTCTGAAGGGGAGGGGCAAGGCCGCAGAGGCAGCTGGACACCAGGGAAGGCAGCGCTGCTCTGGGGGTGGGGGCGGGGTGCCTGCAGCCTCCACGTGGAGAGGAGTTTGCCACACAGGACACACTCATGCTCAGACCCTGACCTGCGCCATCGCCATCCCGGGGCTGCGGTGTCGGCTCCTCTGGGTCACACCCTGTCGTCTCGCTAGGCCAGCGTGCACATCGGTGTCGTTTGGAACCTAGCTGCGCTGTGCCAGTGGTGGAGGGGCCCACATACCCCCCCACACACAGGTGGAATTAAGTTGGGGCTCTCTGCTGGCAAGTGGCAAAAAGCCCAACTCAAACCAGCTTAGGAAAATAATTTTTAAATGACTTCCTCTTAAAACTAAATGTACACATATAGACTTGACTTCAGGCAGGACTGACTCCAGGTGCTCAGATGACAGTGTGAAGAGGGCCCCCAGCAGGACAAGGCGTGCGCCTCGCCATCCACGCGCACCAGTGAAAGAGGCCGCTGCTGCCGAGCAGCAGTAGGAAAAGCCCTGCCACCGGGGTCTCATGCCCAGCCCTGACCAGGCGGCCAGGCCCGTGCCGTGTGCCCACGCGTTAGGGCCAAGAGTAGCCCCCGCCCACACCGCACCTGGGGTCTGCCCATCTGGAGAGCGGGGTGGGGGGGGCCGTCTTCCTGGGGGCTGTGGGAGCGGGTGGGCGGTCAGCCTCCAACTGCCCCTGCCCCCCAGATCAACGACGAGACCGAGCTGGAGGCCCTGTGCGCCGAGATCGCCTCCCAGCACCTGGCGGCGGAGAGCCCTGACGGCCCCAGCAAGCCTTGCTGCCGGTTCACCTACCTGACCATGACGGGCGAGGAGGTGGAGCTGTGCAGCCGCGGCCGGCACATCCCCGTGGCGTGAGTGTGTGCGCGCAGGGAGGGGACTGGCCGAGCTGGCTGGTGCCTGGGCGTGGGCAACAGCACGAGGTCCTCGGTCAGGGGACCACCAGTGTGAGGGAAATGAGGCAGGACGTTGGGCGCCAAGGAAGGGTGGGTACTGGTCTGCAGCAGGACTTGGATGTTAAGAATGCGTCAGCCCTGGAGTCGGGGATACCCACAGGCAGCCAAGGGACTCACTGAGCTGCCAGGACTGGGGAATCTGGGCAGCTGGGCCCCAGGAGCAGCCCCTCCACTGCCTTGGCCGCCTCCCTCCCTCACCTGGGTCCATCTGGCCCCACAGGTGGGAGAACAAGGACATCTATGCGGCGGCCATCCGGAGCCTGCGGCTGCGGGAGCTGCGGAATGACGAGTGTGTGGCGGCCGTGCGGGCGGGCCTGGGCTCCATCATCCCCCTGCAGCTGCTCACCACGCTCAGCCCTCTGGAGATGGAGCTGCGGACCTGCGGCCTCCCCTACATCAACCTCGAGTTCCTGAAGGTCAGTGGCCGGGGGCTCGGCTGGCAGGCAGTGTCAGCCATGGCCTGGCCCGTTCATCCTGTGTCCCAACACTGTCCTCACGTGTGGGAGGAGCTGGGCTCACCCCCATCTCGCAGCTTGGTAAACTGAAGCTAAGGGAAGGTCATTTGCCCACGGTCACACAGCCAGCAAGTGGCTGTCAGACTTCATACCCAGATCACGTGCTTCCAGAGCCCGCGTCTTACGCCGCCATCAGAGGCAGGCAGCCGTCTCGCCCAGACCCCTCCACGCCACAGCTTGTGCCTGCTTCCCTCAGGCCAGGCCCTGGCACCCTTGGGCCAGTGGCTCCCCCTCTAGTGAAGAGTGACGGGACCTGCCCGGTGGGTCTGAGGGATCACACACGTGTAAGGCCTGCTGCCAGGTCCAGTGCCCAGGCCACAGGCACCCAAACACACCACTGCCACTGTGGCCAGTGTCATTGTGGAAACCTCCATGTCCCACGGCCACCATTTCCCTGCTGCACCTGTCCCAGGGCTGGGCCCAACTGGCAGAGCCCGGACCCACTCACGTCTGGGGGTCTTTCTCTCGCAGGCCCACACCATGTACCAGGTGGGTCTGATGGAAACAGACCAGCACATCGAGTTCTTCTGGGGGGCACTGGAGATGTTCACCCAGGAGGAGCTGTGCAAGTTCATCAAGTTCGCCTGCAACCAGGAGCGCATCCCGTTCACCTGCCCCTGCAAGGACGGGGGCCCCGACACAGCCCATGTGCCCCCGTACCCCATGAAGATCGCCCCTCCAGATGGCACAGCAGGTACTGCCCACCCCTCGTCATGCCCCAGGTGGGGACAGGCAGGCCCTGCTCTCAGTCTGGAGCTGGGCCCTGCGTGAGAGAGAACGATGGACCAGGGGTGAGGGGCGGGGCACCTGAACACTGAAGTCCAAATGTAAATGAGGGAAAGGCCAGGAGTCCTGTGCCTTCCAAACTGGACCGTCACCAAGGGGCAATACAGGCTCAATGTTGATATACCTTCTAATATTTTTAAAAGCTAAAAGCCCAGAAATGTTTTAATCTTTCAACTTTTAAGTGCAGAAAAACAATTTAAAAATCAAAACAAAACCCTTTGCCGGTCAAACAAACCTGTCCTCAACCAGATTCCCTCACAGGTCAGCGAGCTGGTGACTGCTAAGCAGCAGTTGTGTGTCTGCCTTTTTTCCAGAACCTTCTCCTGCCCCACCCCATGTGAGAGGCCAGCTAGGCCTCCCCGGGATCCCAGCCCAGCCGCAAGCCCAGCCCTCTAACACTGGCCCTGTGTTTCTCCGGTAGGGTCCCCAGACTCTCGCTACATCCGCGTGGAGACCTGCATGTTCATGATCAAGCTTCCCCAATACTCCTCTCTGGAAATCATGCTGGAGAAACTTCGCTGTGCCATTCACTACCGCGAAGACCCCCTAAGTGGCTGAAGGGAAGGAGCTCCAGAGTTAGGCTGTCACCAAGGCACCACTCTGCCGGCTCGGAAAGCCCGTCACTGCTGGGCACGTCCCTCCAGGGCCCTGCGTGAGGAGTCGGCGACATTTTGCTTTTCCGAACTTATGTCCACATTCCAGGACCTCCTGGAAGACTTAATCCTTTGTATTTGTACGTTTTGTGATGGGTTGGTTCTTTTGCTACCTGTTCATGGTATGTTTGTAGGGTAGTTTAGTTCCCAGTTTGTGACTCAGTTGATCTTCCTGGACACTGTCTTTCGTGGGCACTGGATTCCGATGCCCTCAGGCCCCAGATGGTTCCACATCACAGAACCACCCAGCAGGAAGCTGGCGATGAAATGCCATCTGTCGGCCCCTCAGTGTCCTCCTCCTTCTGCAGAGCACGCCCACCAACAAGCCTGTGGCCAGGCCTGCCCTTCCTACCTGGACCTGGAGTTCCTCCTGGGCTTGGCTCCTGGAGGCCTTCTCCCGTCTTGCCGTGGTTAGGCCAGTTACCCAAACATGGGAGGTTTATATGTTAACCTTCTGGCTTTAGAGCCTTGTTAATGGTCTGGGTTTTTCTGAGGAAAAGCCCACCGTGATCCTCCCCTCTCCCTCTACTCAGACAACCCTCTCTGCTGTCTTTTCTGGGGCCCTGGTCTGAGTTTCCACGCGTGTTCCTCAGGAGCAGGTGACCAGAGGGTTCGTTCCCGACATTGTTTCAGAGCCTGGCCGGGTGCATCCCAGCTCCAGGAGTCGCTGGACAGCCAGAGTTGGAGGGACAGGCTTGAGACTGACTGGATGGGAAAGCACATGGTTCCAGCCTACCCTGCTCTGCGCGCAGACACGGCCAGTCCTCACGGCAGTGTTCGTGATGGCAGAGGACTGAGAATGGAGAGGAGTCTGAGGTGTTCTGCTTGATTCGAGGTCTACTTCAGTGACTAAGACCTTCAAGTCCAGATGGAGACACAAGGGGGGGGGGTCTCTCTGCTCCCCTGGCTGGGCCCACCCAGCACCCCCCTTGCCGCCCCATGTGTGTGCCAGGGCTGGGCTGCTGCAGCTCACCCACTGCCCCAGTGCATTTTTGCCCCAATAGGTCTTTGTCCAGTGGTACTTTGTTCAAGAGCAGCATATGCCGTCTTGTTGGACACTGTCATTTTGGGCCTTGCCAGTTCTCACAGAATCCCATCACTGTATTTATTGTATAATATTGTGAATATCAGAAGTTCTGAGCAAGTGCTGGCAGGCCGCTTGGGTGAGTGGGTGCTGGTAAGAGGAGGACACTGTGGCCCTGCCTGCTGGAAAGACGTGTGGGGTTTTTGAGCCTTTAGCATCCATCTCCTCCCCTGTTATTCTTAGGAACTGCATTAAGGACCATTGTAGAAAAGCTTCCCCGACCTAAGGAAAAGATAGACCTGGATTAACCTTCGGTGGCATTGCTTACATGTGATGCAGGATCAGTGTCTGGAGGTGAGTGCCTGCAGTTTCCCTGCTGTGAAGGGCTGTGGTGGGCCACTGCCTCTTGGGGCCACCGCCCCTAGCCTGGAGGTCACAGTGGGATGTAGTCCTGACAAGGATCCTCTTATTTAATTTCTGCATAATGAAAGAGCCTTTGGATTTATTAGGAGTGGTTCTTCCTCCTATATTTTTAAATTCTCGGTCCCCTCCAATCCTTCCCATCCACTGAATGGACTCAGAATTCTGTCAGCTACCTCCCCAGGAGGGGTTCGGGAAGCTCTTATTGGCCCATCACTTGATTAGGTGACAGCTGTGAGTAAGGTATCTGCTGCTAGCACGACTGCTTCTCCCAGAGAGCACATCAAGGTCCAGACAGATCTAAACCTTGGCCCTAAAACACGTGTGCTGTAAAGTTACTTGATGTATATTTATTATAATTATTTATGGTTGCATTTAACAAACTTTTCATTCAATTTGATGCTATTTACACCATCGCTGTGTAAAGGAAGCTCACTACAGGAAGTCTCACCAATAAATAATCTTCATCTAATTTTGATTTACCCTAAGAGTTGTGTGATCATCTACTCTTCTAAAAAAAAATTTATTTTTCAATTAGACACTCAGTATTAGTCTTGGGTGCCTAATATAGCTGCTAATATAGCAGTAATTAGGCATTTATATATCTTATGAAGTGATTCCCCCCCAATAACTTTAGCACCCACCTGATGCCATAGTTATTGCAGATTATAGTCTCTAAGCTGTACTTTACATCCCTGTGACCTGTTTTTATAACTGGCAATTTGTATATCCCAGTCCCCTCACCTTTTTCACTAACCCAACTCCCCTCTCATCTGAATCTATGAATTTTTGTTTCATTAGGTCCATTCATGTTGTAACAAGTGGCAATGTTTCATTTTTTATGGTTTAGTATTCTATATTTATAGATATTTATCCATTCATCTGTCAACAATTCAGTTTCTTCCATACCTTGGACATTGTAAATAATGCTGCAATCAAGAATAGGCATGCATTATCTTTTCAAATATGTGTTTTGGATTTCTTTGGATAAATACCCAAGTAGGACTGTAGGATCATTTGGTGGTTCTTATTTTTTGAGGAACCTTCATACTGTTTTCCATGGTAGGCGTACAAATTTGCAATCCCACCAACAGTACACACAGATTTTCTTTTTTCCACATCTTTGCCATTTGTTTGATTTATTGATGGTAGCCATTCTGACAGATGTGAGGTGACATCTTATTGTTTTAATTTGCATTGCTCTGATGATAATGTTGAACATCTTTTCATATGTCTGGCCATTTGTATGCCCTCTTAAATTGTATGAAGTCCTTATTTTGGATATTAACCCCTTACTGGTTGTATCATCAGAGTTCTCTTCTACCATCCAGTGGGTTGTCTTTTGGTTTTTTTGCTGATTTCCTTCATTGTGCAAAACTTTAGTTTGATGTAGTCTTATTTATTTTTCATTTCCCTTGCCTGAGGAGGTATATATGAAAAAAAATACTACAAAGAACAATGTCAGAGAGCTTACTGCCTTCGTTTTCTCCTAGAAATTTTATGGTTTCCGGTCTTACATTTAAGTCTTTAATCCATTTTCAGTTGATTCTTACATGACAGGGTGGGGCAAAAGTAGGTTTATAGTCATGAGTACACAAGAGTTTATTCTTGTACAGAAAGACAATTAATAAATAATACAAACTGTAAGCCTACTTCGGCCCCCACCTGTAGTTAAAGAAAGGAATCTGGTTTCATTTTTTTGCACGTATGCTTCCAGTTTCCTAGTATCATGAGTTTGTATCTATGAATCATGTGGACTTGCTACATCACCCAGTCTTGGCAGAGTGGCCTGGCGGGGGGGGATAGTGGCACAGTCTTCCTGGTTGTCTGAGCTGGGTGCTCCAGGGGTGTCCCTGTGTGGGTTGGGTTCACCGTCCTCTTACAGTTGTGCTTTGGTTGCTGTTGGCACAGCAGTGATGGGACTGGTCCTCCAGGCTGACTGGCTGTGCGGGCTGGTTCCGACCGCAGCGAATGAGCTCTCGTACAGGGGCTGATCCCACAGAGCAGGAGTCACAACAGTACGTTGGGGATTTATAACATACAGAAGTAAATGTACGACAGTAAGCGCAAAGGCTAGGAGGAAAGAAACTGTCTTGTGATACCAAATGTGAAGTGATATAATATCCCTGGAAGGCAGACTGTGATAAGTTAAAGGTGTATACTATAAACCCAAAAGCTACTACTTAAATGATAGTTTTAGCTAATGAGACAACAAAGGAGATAAAATGGAGTCATAAAAGTATTCAAAAGAAAGCAGAAAAAAGGAAACAGCACATGGGACAAAGAAAACACATTTTTGAAACCACCCATTTCAATAACCACATTAAATGTGAATGGCCTACTCACCCCAATTAAAAGACAGATGGGTTCCAGGAAGCACAGAGAAAGCCTAGTTCTGCTTCCCTTCCCCCATACCTCCCTGAGGTCACCAGAGGGCACCGGAGAAGGAACCACAAGACTCAGCTGAACTCCAAGTACAAACTTTATTTCTATTACAAGGATGTTAGTAATTATAATAATAAAATAAAAAGAGGGAGATGGGGGCTCTGAGACTTGGTTTTCAGAGCAAGTCACGGAGCTTAGGCCTCAGCCCCAATCCAATCAGGCCAGGGCCCAGCACGGCCCTGGCAGGACAGGGAGTCCCTCACCTTCTCCATCAGAGGCCCTGAAGACAAAGGAGCCGTGCTCCCCACCAGAAACAGAAGGCAGTGATGCCAAACACCAAAGCAGATTAAATCAAAGCTGCAAGTGCACTCACTTCCCGCTCAACTCATCTCCAAAAGCCTGTTCCTACCATACTGCGCACCTGGCTGAACACTCCCCCAGAGCTCCTCCCCACACAGCAGAGGACCTGCCCACACACCAGAGACCCAAATTCTAGAGCGAGGGAAGCAGTGCACCGGAGGTTATGAAAAATTCCCAAATTTAGGCCCCCACAGGGAGGAAAATCACTTCACTGATGGTACCAGGTTTCCAGAACACTCTCCTCTTTCCACCAGGACCACACAGCACCAAGGAGCAGCAGTGACATTGTGTCAAGAGGGAGTCCTGGTGGGCTTAGAGGTGAGCACAAAAATACGTAACTTGTATTTCTGTGCTGCCAAAAGGCAGCAGCTAAAGCTGAAACATTTCTCAACAGCCTCCCTGCTGACCCTCCCTCAATCCCCTAAATTCCCACATCACAATCTCAAAAGACACAGAAGAGTCATAACCTAGAAAAAGTTAAAATCCGTAAAATCCTCCCCCCTCCACAGGGCCCAAGAGGTGCTGCTGTGCAGAGAAGATGGAACCACTGTCAGGTTCTCTGCAGACAATGTTACTCCTCCTCTTCCTCCTCGGCATCCCCAGCACCCTGCTGCTTGGGGGGTTTTGCCTATTGAAAATAGAGCACAAACGAAGCTTATGTAGAAAGTGAAAAGGCAGTACCCCTTTAAAGCCCTGAAAACGTTCACCTCCTCCATAGAAACCTCCTCCTCAAAAGCCGAATGAACAGTCTTTCAGCCACAGTGGCCTGATGCCCAGCTCCTTCTGACTTCAAGAACCATTCCAGACCCCCCACCCCAACCCTGCTCCTCATGGAACATTTTGGGGCTGGATCCCCAGTTACCTTTGCAGTTCTGTTGCGGTAGCTGGCGGCTGTGGGGGTGACTCGTGAGTTCCTGCCACCTTCACTCCTGCCACTGAAAGAGAAGGGTTGGAAAGTAGTTTCTGAGATGCCCCTGAGCAAAAGTCAGAAAACTCAGAAGACAAACAGCTGGAACCAGACATAAGCAGCTCGCTACGAGCAGACAAAACAAATGAACTAAAAATCCCATAGATGGCAAAAGAAAATTTTGAAATTAGGCCATAATCCACCTGAACTACTCAAAAGCTCCACTCCCGGGCTACTGCTTCTTACCTTGCTCCATATCGCCCTGAAGACCCACGGGAGAAAGAGGACACAAGGTTTTCTGGGTAGAGATTCTGAACAGGGTGAATCACTGGGATGTGCCCAGTGGCCACGGCCCCATTATGGCTGTTTTGATTCCGTCCCCGGATGTCCTGCCTATCTAAGTTGTTGAGTTTCATGACACGAGGAGGGCTGGGCTGGGAACCAGGCTTGGGGCCTGATGTGGATGTGGACAGTCGGCTACAAGTAGCCATATTGTTAATAGGTCTGGTGGGAGGAAGAGGGTAGGTGGGCACATTAGCAGTTTCCTGCTCAATATCATCCATGTAACCAGAAGACAGGTCCCCTGCGAAGAGAAAAAAACACCAGCTTTAGGGAAAAGGTGGCTCTTGCTGTTAGCACTAGATTCAGGGCAGGAACAAAGAGTCTGGGTGGAGCACAGCTGCCTCACCCCTAAACCCAAGTCTCCAGGACAGGCCTGGGAACCCTCTGTCCACACTGTATCGTTATTACCTGAGTCCTCAAATACATCCTCCTAACTATTCAACAATGATGTGCAAGCAAACCTGGAAGAAGTAATTTCTAACTGGCTTTGTGGTGAGTCTCAAAAACAGTTTGTCTAGTCATGGGGCTCTTTAATAATAATAATGATGATGATGATTAATAATGATGATGATGATGATGATGATGACTGAGTACCCTAAACAATTTTCAACCAGAGGTAGGGGCCCAGGGCAGCCACAGTAAGGTCTAAAAATTCTCTCCAAATAATCCACTAAGGAAACTCACAGCTGAATACCACTGACTACTAAGCATGTCTCTCGGCCATCCCCAAAGCCATTACCCTATAAACCTACACTTGAGACTGCTAAGTCTAACATGGGACTGCAACTAGCCCAGTGAGACCCCACTATGCTTGGTGATTTAGGTTTCAAGCAACCCCCATGTTAAAAGTAGCAGATGAGAAACAGTAAACAGGCCCAAGTCAGACCTGCGGCTTTGGCTCAACCCTGGCTAATACCCTGGTGTCTGACACGCCTCTTGGGCAGCTCTGGTGAGATCTCACGAGGCTGGAAATCCTGTCTAGGAATCCCCTCCGTCACACGGTTGTTTGCTGTAGCTGGGCGTTGGTCACACTGGTCCTAGTGAGAAAAACCAAAATTAGTACCTCTGGACTGAGTCACTTCTAGAGAGGGAGCAGTGGGAGGAAAGGAACAGCGGATTGGGTGAACACACCTTATCGGGTAGACTCTAACCACCACTGAGAGGAAGAGCCCGGGACTAGGGAAATACATCTAGAATGGAACGATCATCCCCATTAGCACCCAAGGCACTGAAGAAGCACTGTCTGATTTGTGCAGGGATCAAGGAAAGGCTGGTCTTAAGAGCCCAAAAAAGCACACCTATACCTCAACCACAGAGCATTTGCATCGTTGCTTATTTCAGTGTCCCGAGGAGACAACCAGCAGTTAGTTATTTACTGCTTGATCCAAAAGCAGAAGCATTTAGAAACTAATGGAAATGCGTGGTGTTTGAGCAACAACTAAATGGTATCAACTATAGAAATGACCCTGAACACACATGCAGTGTTAGAGCCTCGTAACAAACAAGATCGGGCAGAAAATGTATTCTCCACTAACAAACTGGAATCCTAGACTGCAGACACTGCAAAAGGACTTCAGATTGTCTAGTCTAACTTCCTTGTTTACAGATACCCCCAGTGAGGGAATAGGACCTATCCAAGGTCAACCTGGGGGTAGATCTAGACCTCCAGGTCTCTTGAAATGCAAGCCTCTCATGCCACCACAACAGGAAGAATCTGCCTGGTCAAAAGCAGAATGTGTCAGTGACCTCAGAGAAGTCTCATCTAAACCACTTTGGCAAGTCCTCCGTGCCTGCTTAAATGGAGTTCTGGTTCCTTGGTCCCCAGCTAGTGACACAATGGCTTCAGTTGCCAGAAGGCAGAGAAAGTCAGGCAGCCCACAAAACAGGGCATATCCAGGAGCCAAGTCAGGTATGCATGCATCTTAAAGGCTAAAGAAGAGTTCTCACCTCGGAAAGCCCCAGGTTCACTCCCCGGATTAGCATGGAGCAAAGGAAGACGGGTCCTTCAGGGACTCTTACCTGGTGATGGAACAGCACCTCCTCTTCCAGCTGCACCCCACAGAATTCACAGGGGATGATGATGCTGTCCTCCACAGGGGGGAAATTTCTCAGGCCCATCAAAGAGTCTAACTGGTTACTTGGAGCCTGCTGCAGAAACTTCTGGAAGATGACATCATTGTCCTCCTCCACCCCTTTGGAGGAGGCACTACCCATATTAAATGAAGGTAAGGCACGGGGAAGGTTACAGCTTGTCTGTCTCAAAAAAAAAAAAAAAAAAGAAAGAAAGAAAGAAAAAGAAATAAAAACACGTTTAAAAAAAAGAAGTTAAAGAAAAAAAATCAATCCCTAAAACATTTTCTACAAGTCACAAAATTTTAGTAATGTTTAATATTGGGGAGAGGAACGAGAAAGGGTCAGGGGAAAGCAGATGGAATACAATATTTATTTTACTTATGTTTTAAACATTTCTGTGTTGTTTTTTTCTTACTGTGTTCATGTAATTATTCTTTTTAAATTAATTTGAAAAGATTCAAGAACTTCCCACAGCCATATAGTAAGAGAGGCCCAAATATTCTTTGTTATCCTGTTAATAGATTTTCTTATGCTGCTTGCAAATGAAAACCTAGGTGTCCTCAAATACTGTATTACTCCAGTTATGGGGGGAATATATGTCCCACCAAGAACAAAGGGATGCTTAATAGTTTTGGAAATGCTAGACTGAACAAACCAAATCAGAGAGAGCAAGAGTGTTGAGGGAAAAAGTAGTTCCCTCCAGGCAGTCCTCAAACAAAGGCTATTCTCTAACCATTCCTAAATGGCTAAGAACTTTCAATCATTCAAAAAATATCTGCCACCTTTCATATACCAGGTACTAAGATTCAGAAACTAGGAAAACCCAGAACCTCTCCTCAAGAAGCTCAGCCTAGTGGTGCAGATGACAGGGAATCAGGAGACCACATCGCAGGGGGACAGACTGAAAGAGAAGTGGGCACAGAATGTTTGGGGAGCACTCAGGTGGGACCTGTGACCTAGCCTTCAGAGCTCACTCGGGATGGTTTCTTGGAAGTCATATCTGAACCAAGTCTACAAGGGGTCAACGTTGTTCGGTGTGAAGCCATACAGCTCCCAAGCAGAAAAAGTAAAGTGTAAGTAGGACCCCTGACCCTTCCGGAGAACTGTAAGGACTTCAATACAGCTCCAATAAACAAAATGTGGCATGAGATAAGATCAGATTACAAGATCGTTGGTACAGATGTAGAGTACTCACTACAGCATGAAGGGAGCAAGCTGGGCCTACTAGAATGAGCAGTACTCTTTCCAAGAGGGACCAGACTAAGTTCTCATACCCATGTGTTAGTCACAGCATGGTACAAAAAACAAAACAAAAAACACCCAGCTGCTACTCCTACAACAGGTGTATTAAAATAGTTTGCTAAAGACCTCACATGGCCTGCAACACCAAGTATGGCACACACAGAGCTCTCAAGTCATTCACAGCACACCTGATGGTCGATCAACAGTTCTTCTGGGTAGAGCTCCTCACAAAATTCACAAGGCAGCATGGTCTCGTCAGCTGCACCTAGGTATCAGAGGCCACACTGTCAGACTCCAAATAAGCAAAAACAAACTTGATTCAATCTGTGACCCCCCCTGGTGGGGGTTTATATAAAATTATGACTCCCTCTGATATTTCAGAGATAGAGCAATTTGTGGGGCTGTAAATCCTCCAAGGAACACTACCTTAAGAGACAAAGCCCAAGCAAAACCTGCCACTATGGAAAAAAGATTTACTTACCATTCCCTGAACAGCATTAAAGTAGTAACTTACCCACTACTCTCATGAATAAAGACATTTAAATGTATGATAACCCTATAGGCACCCATCTAAGAGCCTCCAGTGCATTATTTCAATCCTCAGGAAAGACTGACAAGGTAGGTTCTACATTAGCCTCATTTTACAGATGGAGATACTGAGGCTTACGTATTAGTGGCAGAAAATATCCTTAAAAACCCCTCCCAGTACAAAAAAAAATTTAAAAAGATGCTGAGTAAAAAGTAACTTAAAATAAATCAGATATGTAAGAGCAATTTTAAACCCAGGGTTCCCAAAACAAAACAGCCTCAGAAAGACTGCTCAACAAATGGAGGCTGAACAATGACAGGAGGTATGGAAGCTTGCCTAACTAGATTTTGGCTCTGGGTAGAAGACAAAAGTCTACTAAAGAAAAGTAACTGGAGTTTGGCCTTTACATGAGTTTGAATCCAAAATCTACATTTATGGATTTACCCAAGCCAAAAATTCAGTTTGAAATTGTCCCAGTCAGTAGCATCCATAGGTGCCTCTCAGGGGAACACATCAGAAAACATGCTCGCGCACACAGAGTGGGAGGCAGCAAGCCACCATGACTGAGTTGGCAGAAGTAATAAATAGCAAAAAAAAGAATTAAGATTTTTCAGACAATAGAAAACTAAGTATATTTAACATGTTTAAAAATGTGTTAAGGGAATGGCAATATAACTAAGGTATAAAAGATTATTTTGAAAATGAAGAAACACATTGGAAAAAAAGAAACAGAACTCAATAGAACAAATGAAAGAATATATAATTACTGAAGTGAAAACCTCAATGGACATATTAAACAACAGATTAGAAAGAAGATAGGCAAGAGATTACCCAGGATGCACACCAATGAATGCATTAATGAGTGCAACAAATGGACGTTTCTCTCTAAAATCAATTAAAAAAAGATAAAAGAAAAATAGTAAAAATGGTGAATATAGATGAGGGGGATATAGATATCTGCTATACTATTCTGACAGTTTTCAAAAATAAAACATTGGGAAAAGCAATAAAAAAAGGGAAACTTTATCTCATGAAAAACTTTCAATTTTATTTGAATTGTATACTGTAAGACTTTTTTAAAAGATTGGAGACAAAGGCCAGTGAAGAATAAACTAACCTACCCTTTATATCATTGAGATCAATGCGACCTCCATGGTATTGGTCTGCCTCATACAAAGCGCTCCAGAGGTCCTGCTCTGGCACTTTGGGGGCCTGGCCTTCATTTTGCAGACTTAGGGCCAACATGAAGTCCAAGTTTGCACTGTCTTCACCACCCTCTTTGGGGGACTGCTGTCTTCTATTTCTTTCCTGTCTTTCTTGTTCCTCCACTGGGAAAAGAAAAAGAAAAGCAGTTCTCAAGATACATTAGAAGTGTTGGCATGCTTAGTTCAAATCTGTGCCCATGAAATACTCAAGGTTTATAGGCATCTGTGCAGGAACAAAAGAGGCCCAACCCTGCAGTTCTTACAGAACTCTTAAGTATTAAGTCTGCCATAATAAAAGGCTCCATTACTATTCTAATTGTTTTATTAAATAATATTTTTGAGCTTTCACCAGGAGACAGGCACTGTGCTAAACATTTTACATATATTTTCTCCACTGCAGCAGAATGGTTTAAAGCATGGGGTCAGATTGCCACTGAATTCAAATCCCTGCTCTATCACTTACCTGCCCTTGTGAGACTGCTGCGAGAATTAAATGAGTTAATGCATGTAAAGCACGTTGCAAATGCCTGTGGCACACAGGGCATACTCAGTAAATAGTAGCTGTTAATAGCACTGTAATCATCATCATCATTATCAAACCTAACTATAATCCAATAGTATCCAACAGCAAAAAGGTTCTGTTACTCCCATGTGCAAGAACAATTAGGTGTTCTTCCCAATGCCACCTAGCTACAGCCAGATTTCTATAATTACTATCTATTTGGCCCCAAAGCCCTGTTCCCATTTCCCCGGAGGTGGTGATACCCTTCTGATCCCAAACACAACTCACATAGGTTATTCTGAATTGGAAACTGGGTTGACATGTTCCTTTGGTTGCTAGTCCTACTATGGAGAAGATCTGATTCTAAGGCTCTCAGGGGACTTCGGGGTAGCCTCACAGGTGAATCCAGGGACTGAATTTGTCTGAGGAGTTGGGATGCAATCCAGATTCCATCTTGACCCCAAGTCTCATCGTATGCGTTAGGAGGCATGGCAACCTCATCTCTCTTCTCCTCCCCATCTCTCCCACAAACTTCAGGGTGAGTCTTCAGATCTTTCACCAGGACATTACGCCCACAGCTGCCACATAACTCTGTCCGGGCACCACAGTAATCTTCATGCTCCTTCAGTTTGAGAACAGAAAGTTCCAAATCACAGTGCTGGCACAGGGCAAGACGTAGAGGACACTCAGTCTCCTGCAACACAGAGTAATGAGGCAGTTAGTATGCAAATATGAGAGGCCACGTTTTAGTACGGGACAGGGAAAGCAAAAAGTATTTACTTCAATATTCTCTTCCAACCCTGGCTTTACCTGCCTGCCTTGTTTTCCTATGTATTTATGAGTCAGGGCTTCTCTTTTTGTCCCTGCCACCAGGTTCTACAAAGGGAAGAAAACCCTTAGAAGGAAACTACTCACCCAGCCACCCTGTCTTACGGTAATTTAGTGCACACATTACAAAGTAACCCAAAGTCAGCCAGATAACCCCAGCAGCAAATAGCAAAAGCACAGCAATTTGGGTATGTTTGTCAAAACTCTACCAGCCCTAATTCCCATTACTATCCCAATCTGTCTTTTAAAAAAACTTCATTAGAAATATGTCACTGATTTAAGTTACTGAACAGCAAAACATCAAATAATTACTGGCACTTACTAGATAATATAGTAAGTACTTTAACAACCCTAAAAAGTGCTAGTAACTCACCACATAGCAAATAGAGTAAAAACTTTTTTTAAAGGAAAATTTTTAAAAACTCTTTAATCTCTGGTCTACAACTGTCATAGTTGGAATGTAATACTTTGTATTCAAATCTTTAAAATGACTGGTGTATCACCATGTGAAGCTAGGAAATAGTTGGGAGAGAAGCCAGAAGAAGGTATAGTTGATCAGAGGTTGCTTATGCAGCTGGTAGATGTTACACCCAGAGAAATACTCATTACTATTGTTAATATGACCTCAATCATAACCCCCCCTTGCTGGTGAGGCCTAGTAAAGCACAGGTCAAGTGCTTAGGAAAAATAATGAAGGTAAAAATGCCCAAGTATTTATGAGACATCTATCCCTGAGCTGTGGGGTTATAAGTTATTCTTGTTTTATATTTTTCTAAATTTTTTCATTGAATATCAATTACCTTTTAAAATTATAAGTTGTTAGTATTTTTTAGGGACATAGAATGAAATGCACAAACCTTTTTTTTTTTTAAGATTTTATTTATTTATTTCTAGAGAGAGGGGAAGGGAGGGAGAGACACATCAATGTGTGGTTACATCTCACTTGCCCCCAGCTGGAAACCTGGACTCCAACCTTGGTGCCCTGAGTGGGAATTGAACCAGCAACCTTTTGGTTCACAGGTCAGCACTCAATCCACTGAGCCACACCAGCCAGGACGAAATGCACAAATCTTAAGTTGCATACTTTGATAAATTTTTGCTTATGTATACACACTCCTGTGTGACTACCAACTAAGTAGTTGTTGGTGGAATATTTTTTAACTAGTAAATTAATATGGTCATTCAAAAAAAATAATGTGTGTGTGTGTGTGTACACACACTCATTCAATAATGGAAAATTTTACCTCAACTAGGGACCGAATGATACTATGTTCTCTCTCACCAAATGAGGAGGAATTTCTTTGGGTGAAACAGCATGCTGTCCAAGTGATCAAGAAGTCAAAATTAAATTACAAGATGTAAGGCAGGTTGTGTGGTAAGGAGGCCATACCACATTGGCTACCCCAAGTTTGGCTTAGCACTCAGTGAGTCTGCTAATAGCCAAACCCCAGAATGAGAATGACAGACTCAGTCCCAAAGGGAAAGGCTCTAAGGCCTGAGCATGGGGCACAACAGCCATCAGCCAAATCCGGCAGCAAATAGTCAAAGCCTCAGAAAGGCTTTGAGAGGCAGTGTACATGGAGCTGGTAGAGAACAAAGACAACCACACTGGCTTTCTGTCTGCATGTGGCTCTGTAATCTCACTACTGGCCCCATGGTAACTCACTCCCTTTATTGTGCAGGTAAACTAACCTCATGATTCTTTAACTGCCTCTTCTCCAACTTCTTGTTACATTTGCAGGTTACCTAGGATAAGAAGTGAGAACCAATAAACTGGCTTTGTCGCAACTTGCACAATAGCAAGTATAATACATTAATGAACATTTGAGTCCTTGGTGGTTCACCTGAGTGTGTTCTGTAGCCACGTGAGTCTCCATGTCAGATTTGGGAAATGGTTCCTTGCAGATAGGGCACATACCAATGTTCCTTTGACAGTGGATCTCATGGATGGTAAAGTTACATACAGGAATGTCTTTTTTGCTATAGAAACAGATCAAAGAAAAAGGCAAGTATTACTGACTGATCTATTCACAGTTGTATCATGTGGAAACCTGTCCTGTTCAATATTTATCCCCCATTATTTCCGTTTAGTGAATGTCTAGTCAATAGCTCTTATGATTGTTACTACCCCTTCTTTTCAAGAATTAACATTTGAAGGTTTTGAGTCTTCAGTGCAACACCCTTTGAATTACTAGTGTTATGCACTAACAGGAAAAGCTCAGCCTTACTTTCTAGATGTCAGTCGATCACAACCAACAATATGAAGTCAGATGCCAAAAAGAACTGAGCTAGGCTTTTCCACAACCACCCATGCTCCAAAACACAATGGTACACTCTGGCATTTTTTTTTTTTTAACCCTTCCATTTATTTTCACTCTCAGTCTGAGATAGGTTTAATCTAATTTAGACTTTATTCCACTAAAAGTCAAACCAGGCTGTTGGAGCTACTGTCTCACCCTCTACATTTGATGATTTGCAATGTCAGGCTTTGATAACTAAAACACAGATTTCTATCAGAGAGTTCACAGCATCGATGACCAGTAACAGAAGTCCTATGATTGTGGAAGCCCCAACAATATCCTGGCTATGACTACTCGAAGCAAGGCCCACTTGTCCCTCCAGACACGATGCAGCCACAACAGCCATACACTGGGCAGATCTTCCAGCCAACTCAGGCATATACGCATATAGTCCAACTACACCTCAGCCATTCTACGGAAACAACTCTGAGGATGAGCTACCTTTATTAGAAAAATTAGATATTAATTTTGACTAAATATGGCAAAAAACACTAACAGTGTTACATCCATTAAAAGTAGCAGATGGCAGGACCAGTGTTTTTCTGCCCTCCCTTTGGAGCCACAGTGTTACTGCCTGGAAAAACCCAGTAGGCTCTGCCTGTGCATGGGATCAGTACAATGGGATGTCTAGGAATGTTTTGTTATTAAACTTAATGAGCATGACAGATGTTTCATTTGGTTGTATGGCAAGTATCTTTGGATATCGTCTTCCCATGATTGTACTTTGAAGCTTTGCTGTGATATGTTCTTGGCAGAATGGCATAGGAATCATACTCATTGCTGGAATTATTTGATAGCATAGTTTTCCTGCTTCCAAAGTTTTTATTTCTGTATTAGCCATGGAAGGAAAGCAACTTCTAGTAGCATAATACCCTTCTGCTTTGTTATAAGGAGTCTTTGCCCTACTGTCCATTTTCTGAACTGAATTTATCTGGGATGTGGACATCATTGGGTCAAATATACAAAAAGGACTTTGAACTCTTAAATCAAGCCAGCAAACTGCTACAGTTCAGCTCTCAAGCGGCTCTAGCGTTTTGACTACTGGAGCAATGTAAGTAAACACATATCTTTTGTTCATTTTTACAGAACTTTTGAACACTATATTGGATTTACCTCCAGAATGACTAGTTTTAAGTGTTTGTGCTTATACCAATAAGAAGTGCTATTTCTTTCCCTTTACTGAAGCCTTTGAAAACAACTTCTTTCTTTGCAAGTTATGTTTTTGATAGTTTGGGTTTTTTTTAATCAACTGTGGGAAACTAACCATACAGCTGATAATCTTTCTTAAAAAACAACCCAGCCATAGTAACAACAACACAAGGCTTGCAGAAATATTTTCCCAAGAAATTAGGAAAGAAAAATTGCCTGTGTTCTCAAGTCAGGAGTTCTTGAAACAAAAAAGTGATCCCAATGTAGAGTTTTAAGTGTTTGTACTTCAAAAATTTGACATTCCTTTAAATCATCTCATGGAATTTTTGCTAAAATTCAGTAATAAAAGTTCACAATCTACCATATTTAGATATGATATGTGAACTCCTGGTTAGAGATTAGCATTAATGAAACTATAGTGTTCTAGACAGGCCACATTAACACTCATACTTGGATCTCCATGTTTTCCAGGAAAAAGGAAATCACTAAACTTCTTTGAGAAAAATAGTTAAAATTCCAGTTTCACCCTGGCTAGTGTGCCTCAGTGGATTGGGCACCAGCCTGCTATTTGAAAGAACACTCATTTCCAGTCAGGGCGCATGCCTGGGTTGCAGGCCAGGTCCCCAGTGGGGGCTGTGCGAGAGGTAACTGATGGTTTGTTGTTTCTCTCACACATCTTTCTCCCCCACTCTTTCTCCCTCCCTTCCCCCTCTCTAAAAAAAAACAAAAAAAAAAAAAAAAAAACAGTCCGTTTCAGTACTGCAGTTATCAATGTAAAGTGCATTTGATGGTTTTTAATTAAACTTTTCCCAATTAATTTGTTAAAGATTTTATTTATTTATTTTTAGAGACAGGAGGGGAGAAAAAGAGAAGGAGAAAAACTTCGGGGTGTTGGGGACCTGGCCCTACAACCCAGGCATGTGCCCTGACTGGGAATCAAACCTGCGACCTTCAGGTTCACAGGCTGGTGGCTCAATCCACTGAGCCACATCAGCCAGGGCAATTTCCTTTTTTAAAGTCAAGCCAGAAAGTGCAGATGCCAGCTTTGGGATAGTCAACAGGAATGGGGAAATTGCCTCTTTTATGACCCACATGCTTTCCAAAGCAGGCTAGATGCCAGTCAGGATCACGCCCTCTGGCTGGGTTGGTATAAATGTCACTGCAGAACTAGACAAAAATAAAGTCGCAAGCCCTTTCCTCCAGTCATCTCCTCATTCACTTTTTGCCATTCTTTTTTAGTTTATGGAAGTGATTTTTAACTCTTCATCTCATGGCACACATAAACTAATTACTAAAATTTTGCAGCACACCAAAACATATATAATATTATTTGCCGAGCTGACAAAAAAAAAAAAAAAAGGTATAATTTTGATTCATTCACACTAGACAGCTTCATTGTGTTGGCTTGTCATTTTTTTATTTGGCAAACTAAGGGAAAAGGAGTGAGTGCCCCTAACTAAAAATTCTTGTGGTGCACCATTTGAAAATCGCTGGTTAAAGGGATCCAATTAAAGGTTATATTTAAGTTATAGGGAAAAAAAAGGAGGAAAATGATAATCTTACATGAAAAAGTAAGACCATTTAAACTTCACAAAAATGGAATATAATCATTAATATAATAACTGTATTGTGACAGATGGTTTTTAGACTTACTGTGGTGAACTCTTTTTAAGTTATATAGATATTGAATCATTTATGTTGTATATGTGAAACTAATTTATTTTTAACTATAATTTAAATATAAAAATGAATAAAAGTAAATTTAACAAGAGGATACATACATTCAAACTAGAAGCACATAGTTTCAAAGGCCTAACTTTTTACTCATTTGGATCTGACCATTGGAAAACTCCAATTTCACAGCCTAAAGTCTTCATTTAAAGAATGTACCTATCAGTATGTCGCCTATAATAAAATCTCAGAAAAAAAATACTGAACAGTCTACAGATATTTATACAACAAATCATTAATACCCTAGTTTGCGTCTGAAGCTGAATACTACAGGAACCTTTGTCCCACTCCATGAGAGCAGCTTCTCTTTAAGTTTTAATCTTTATATATAGTCTAAGAAGCATTTCAAACTTGGATGACCTATGTGCCTCCCAATATGAAAGACCAAGACACCAAATAAATTCATTTTCATCCAGTGACAGAACTATCAAGAAGGCTCTCATATCAAAACTAAAAAGTGACATCAAAGAAAAATCAACTGTAAGGGTTGGGAAGAAAACTCAAATGTATCGGGAGAAACTACCATGTCTTGACAGATTTAACTTCCCTATTTCTCCAAAATTCCTAGCTTTCTAAGGAACTATTCATTGTCAATTAACTCCATTTAATTTTTTTTAACTGTAAGATACTTATGTAATGAAAGGAGCTATAAATCAGTTATCATCTAAGCCTATTAATTCAACAAAAACTAAAATTATAAATCCCACTACAGGCGTACCTCACTTTATTGCACTTCGCAGATGTTGCATCATTTACAAACTGAGGGCAAGACCCTACACCAGCCAAAAGACTGTGACTTGCTATATTGCAGTGCTCAAGAGCCAAACCCACAATATCTCTGAGGTATGCCTGTATTAAAGATGTTGTGAAACTAGTACTCTAACACACTACTAGTGGTAACATTAACTGCTTAAAAGTAGCCTGAAAATGCATTTCTAGGACCATGAAATTATATGCTCTTTAACCCAGTAACCTCAATTTTAGGATTATGAAGATTTTCATTAGCCATAAAATGGTATGAAAAATGAAAACCATTAAGAATGTTTAAACAATAAAGTACAGCTAAGTTAAATATGGTACACCAACACAGTGAAAGAAGCAGAGGTATGTCATGATGGTAAATCACAGGTGCACAAATGCCATGAAAAAATTAAAGCCAGTAATTTCTCTGTAGGGTGATGACATTCTGGGTTCGTTTTTCATAATTTTGACAAAAACGTTCTTTTAACAGCAAAAAAATAAAAGAATGTCTACAGTTTTTATTTTACAGGGCTATTCAGGATAACCTATTCAAAAAGATCATTCTATATATACAAGACCACTAAAATTTTAGAATTGAAACAAATTAAGGACCACATAATCATAATATAAGGAAGAACGAATCAAAAGCAGCTATCAGGTATGACTACAGAACATTTACTATTACACATTTTCACCTCTTGGGAAACCCAAGAAAGAAAAGGATAAAAGATATTTGCAACAATTACATGAAACAGCTGCCTGCTGATTTTGTTTTCTTTTTAAATTGAACTGCCAAGATAATTCTACCAAATAGTCCAACCAGACAAAATATGAACATACTGGCTTCCTCCAACCAGACAAAATATGAACATACTGGCTTCCTACCTACAGATGAAATCAAAATGTTTTAATTGAGATAAATGAGAACACATTTCCATATAGAGATAAAACCTGCTAAACGCCCCAGGAAGAACTAGCAAGTTAAAGATAAAATATCATTTTAGGTAGGAATGCCTGAAAGGCAAGCCAAGACTTCCAGAAAAATTCCCAGTAGCCTCCCAAACAATAAACACGACAAGCTAGAAATCAATCCTTTAATTGATAAAGAATAAAACCTAAGTGAAACTTCCGTTCCCCAGAAACCACACTCTCCTCCCAATAAGAGGACACCATAAGAAAGAGATGACATACAAAAAACACCTTCAATCATAACAAAGTATTCTTCTTACTAGACCATTGAGTCTAATTGCAGCTCATATTTTAAAGAGTACCTTAACTTTTCTTAGGGAACCATAGGAATATGTCTCTAAAAATTACATTTTAAAACCTGGAATTTAAACAGGGATACTTAGATGGGGGGGTCTGTGCTGGCTCAGTCAGCCTTCTATGCTAATCTTTTTTCTTTAAATAAATTGCTTTCACTTTGAATAACCTTGTTTTCATTAGCTTTCCATTAACCTACCCTTTTTTTAAAAAAATTCCCTTGGCATAGTTATTTATATATTGTTCTAGACTTGAGACTCCTTGGACTGATAAGAGTATCTTAACTGATGCTAAAGCAATATAGCTGTTTTCTTATAAAATCACAGTGGTACTTGCTTGTGATTATTTGTATCATTTTTATTACTTTGTATCAGTAACAGTATATGTAAGACCTAAAAAAAGCTAAAATAGTGTTTTAAATGGCAGAATATGATAAGAGCACAGTAGAAAAAAATACCCTATAAGGCAAGACATCCTCACAGTAATAATTTTTTTTTTTAAGTGAAATCTTAATTCCATGCAGGGAAAGAATATTATGACCAGCAGTTGCTCTGATTATATCCTAATTCTGCCAAAAGGCCGAGCAGAAAGAAAAAGGATATTTTTAAAAAAATTGTTATTTGGCTTGAACCTTTCATCAATCTGCATCAAACTATTTCCTTTACTCAACATTTCTTTCCTTCTACCACAATTTGGTAAGTTAAACATTAACACAGAAAGTTTCACTTTCTTTAGCTTTAAGTATGTGTATCACTAAAGTAACAAGTTCTTGAGAAATCCCAACCAGGAATCAGATTAGCTGCACTCCAAGTTTCATTTCAGCAGGAAAAGTTGCTCTTTCTTGTCACTCATGTGAGTTAAAAAACACCAAAATATAAAGCTTAACATTCAAGACTATGCCCAGTCTTCACTAACAGTTCTGGAATCATGAAATGATAATGATTAATCTGGATTGCCAGAAGACTTTTCTCTCCCTCTTTTTCCCTCCCTTCCCCTATCTCTAAAAATAAATAAAATCTTTAAAATAATAATAATAATAATAATAAAAACCAGTTCAGCTGCCCTGGTTGAACTGATCTCTCACTACTAGATGCAGAGCCAAGCTCACTAAACCTTGCTCCCAATCAACCCCACGACAACCAGCCACTGTAGCCCCTCAGGGAAGTCCTCACAACATACTTTGAAAAACATTAATCTAATCCAAGCATTATATTACATTTTTAGTATCTTTTAAAAAATGTATGATGATATTTTTCAGGAAGAGAAAAACCAAAAACAAAAAAAACAAAAATCCTCCCTTATTTATCAATTAGAAAACTGAGGCCCAAAGCAGTCAAGTGACTTGCCAAAAGTCATTAACTAATTAAAGGCAGGAACCAGAGCCTTGACTGCCAGCTTCTAACTATCACTCTAGTCACCACACTGTGATACCTACACCAACCATCTTGCCAAATTACCAAAACAGGCAATTTTATCCAAAATTGTTAAAAAGGCTTTAGTCCCATATATTTGAATGACATATTACATGGCTTCAATTTTAACCTACCAATAAATAAACCAACTCTTAACAGACACTAATTTGTCCTAATTCCAGTAACATTTCTTAGATTTAATTTCTTACCAGTTGTCACACAGTCGAGTGTCCTGGTCATCTAGAAATTCAGCCATCTTTAGCTCTTCCTGAAAACTACAAAGTTAGGAGAACTTTCAATTTCATTTCTGCTTTAAGGGTGACAAGCAAAACACAAAAACAAAAAAAAAACTAGTGCAAAGAATATATCACCAAAACTAGTGTATTTAAAGCATTTTATTTAATATCTAACACATGGGTTTTATCTTCCTTTTATTTTTTAATTTTCACTTTAAAATAATGACTTGCCAAAAAAACAGCAGAAAGAACTCCTATATACAACTCACTCAAAACATCATAAATAACAACAGAAAAATTACCAAATGTAGGAAACTAACAATGATACAATACTGGTAATCAATCAATAGATCTTCACAGGTCACAAATCATCCCGCTGATAACCCTCTTCTGGTTCAGGAACAAATCCAGGCTCACATACTGCATTTAGTTATTTCTCCTTATTTGATCCTGGGATATTTCTTCAGTCTTTCTTCACTTTTAATTATCTTGTTAAGTGTATTGGCTAATTCTGTATAATGTCCTTCAGTTTGGGTTTGTGTGGTGTTTCCTCATGATTAATACGTATCTGGCAAGAACACAGGAAGTGGTGTTGCGTTCATCTTGGTGCGTTGTAGCAGAAAGCATATGATGTCAACACACTGATTATTACTGGTGACGTTAACTTTGATCACTTAGGTAAGACGGTGTCTGCCAAGTTTCTCCACTGTAAAGTTTTTCCATATTTTAAAACCAGATATCAATGGAGAAAGCAAAGGGCTGGCAATTTTATTACCAATATTTACTTCAGATTATTCCTTTCCATGTCGCAAAAATGGTCTTATATACTGCCCCCCAAAGGGCACTGACATTTCCAAACAAACTCACTTTTGCAAAACTCGTATTTATTCATTCAACATGTTAATTAAGACCCTGTGTCAGACATTGTCCCCTGAAGTCAAAAATACTGTACAAGTTAAAAAACATAGTGTCTGACCAAACAGGTCAATTTAGTAAAAGAGAAAAATAAGCAAACAAATAGGTACACCTGAAGGCGAGTATTCTGATGGAAAAGCACATAGACAAAGGGAGATGGGAGTTGGGGGAGGTCTAGTTTCGATACCAGGGTGCCGAGGAGCTTTCTGATAACATTTAAACTTTAAACCAAGACCTTAAGTTCGAAGAGCCACCCTATACGAGGAAGTTGCAAGTAGGAGAGGATGGGAGTGGGGGAAAACCCACTAAGGCAACGGGCCTAAAAGGAAATGAAAAAGAAAGTAAACAAAGATCTGGACGAGCATAATGGAAACAGAGTGTGACTCCAGAAGCCCTAACACGAGGGGCCGAAGGGATACCGGTTATCCCGAACCCCGTGGTATCTAAACAATGACTGACGTGACTCAAGATGTCCACTCCGATATGAAACGTAAAGCCGGGACAGGAAGCGCCGACCTGTGGAAACCAATCCCGTCCCCCGAGCGGGAGGCCTGGGCGCAACTCGGGGAAGGCTGATTCCAGGTGCTGCGGCCCCTACGCCCGCCCCCCGCGCCGGGCCGAGCCTCCGCCGAGGGAAGCGCCCGGATTCCCAGGCGCCGGCGGCTCGCCGCCCCTGCGAGGGTCACACTCCGGTTCTGCCGCTGCGTGGCTGACAGACTCGGCCTCTCGGGGCCTCGGCTCCTCACGCAGAAAACTGACAGGATTTCCAAAGGTCGTTGCGGGAGGTGCTTCGGCGCCGCAGGTCCTCCCTGAGGAGACTCGGGGGGCGGGGCGACACGTCGGGGTCCGGACCCGGGAGCCGTCCATTGGCCACTGCCCCCTCCCCGCAGCGCGGCGCGAGGTCGGGATCCCGGGCGGAGACGGCGCCGGCTTCGCCAAAAGCGACAGCTCGCGTTTAGCGTGCGTTTACTGTAAACGCCTTCCGCGGGCGATCTTTGTCGTCCAGAGCACGACCCTCCCAGGTGAAGTCCTTACCCCCGTTTGGGAGACCGCCGAGGTCCAGGGGCACAGTCACCCACCGCAGAGTTGCTCAGAGTGAGGACTCGAACCCGGGGTCGTGGGCCGAGAGCCCGCACTAGGCCACCGGACGCCCCGCGCCCGCAGCTCGAGGCTCGGGCCCAGCTCCGCCCCGGGGCGCGGTGGCCCGGCGGCGCCCCGGACGACGCCCAGCCACTGCGGCCGACGCCGGGAAGGGGCGGCGGCGGCAGTGCCGCCGGGGGCTGTCGAGGCTCCGGTTCCCTGAGGAGAAAGTGCCGCCTCCACCAGCGGCCTGAGGAGATGCCGCGGTGCGGGCATCTTTCTCCTTGCAGCCGCGACCGCCGGCCTACAGCCCCCTCGCCCACAAACCCCGCCCTCGGGGGACCGGCCACCTCCCGAACTAGCGGCCGCGGGGATCAGCCCGGACGCGGGCCGCCGCTATACTCACCTAGGATCAGAAGAAGGACGTCGAGCTGACTCGCCAGTCGCCGATTCGGACCCTACTCAGGCAGCCCACCGCACTGAACAACGGCCCCAGAGCCGCCTCAACCTTTCCGACCGTCGCGGAGGAGTGCATCCATTGGCCAGGGACGGGCCCGGCTCTCGACCCATTGGACAACACCGTTGTCGCTCCCGGGGCCCCGCCTTCTGCTTGCCGATTGGCTACTCGGAGCCCCACGGGGGCGTGGCCCTGGAAGTCCCAGCCCCTGCACATCTGGAATGAGGGACCGAGACCTGAGCTGTTCCCGGCCCAGCGCAGACTAACAATATTTGCATGAATAATACCGTACATACAATAATACGCCTAATATATTAAGGTAATTAATATCATTTGTTCTCTTGTCATAGGCCATTAATACTTATTGGTCATTGTTTTTGCTACTACACTGTCCTCTTGCAAGATACCTGTAAGGCTTTGCTCGTACTTGAGCACCTAGCTTTTTGCGGTGAAGGAGTGAGCGGCTGAGGCACAGGTCTGAGTCCCAGTTTCCCCCCTTGCTGCCCGTGTGGGGTCTCTGAACTCTTCTTCCCTCATGAATTAAAAATAAAAAATTAATTAAATATAAGCAAGAATATCCTATTTACCATACAGCAACTTAAAATCATGATTTTATTGTAGGTATTTGTGAAATGTTCATGCAATAGTGCTAAGAAGGAAGAGCAGGTTGCAAAGCATTATTTACTTGTAACAAGACAGGATGTTTAGTTTAAACAGGCAGCATAGTCTGTGTGATTCTAAAAGTATAAACTTCAAAAACAGGCAACATTAATTTAAGGTGAGAGAAGTCAGAATAATGGTTCCATTTGGAGGCTATGGGCTACAAGGGACTGAGAAAGTTTCCAAGTCCTGGAAATATTCGATAGCCCAATCTACAAAGTGGTAAACAGTGATGTATTAGTAAATAATTACTACACTGTACACTTAAGATTAAACACTTTACAGTGTGTGTTAAAGAGAACATACCATTCAATATTGTTCTGTGCTTGACATTTTTTATACTACATAATCTCTTGGAGATCTAGTTATTATTAGCGTATCTATCTAGAGTATAATAATTCTTTTTCAATAGTACGTCTGCTGTATGGATAGACCATGATTTATTCAACCAGCTCCCTGTTGATAGACATTTTGGCTATAAAGTATTATTTTTGAATAAAATAGGACCAACACATGAAGTCCAGAACTTCTTCAGCGCCAGCCTCACTGATTTGCTCAGCAAGTGTTACATAGAGTGTTCCCTATGCAACGGGTCTCATAGAAGATACTGGAGCCTCAGTGGCAAACAACGGGACAAGCCCCTGCCTTCCCAAGAGTTTACCAGGGAGACAGGCTCAATGGTAATGACCATGAGTGTGATGCATGCTGTAGTATAATAAAGAGTATGCAAGTTTACCCCACTATGCAAAAAGTAGAGCATTCTTGAGAAACCTTTCATAAATTAAAATGACATAAATTGAAGAAGCGATTACCTTAGGACAGGTCTTGCTAACAGGTGCACAAAATAAATTAAGATTAAGACAAAGCACAGATGCTCATGGACACAGTTCTAAGTTATAGCAGCCTGATGCTGAGTGTAGTTCCCTGAGAAGGAGCTTGGTGATGCCATGCTTGTTGCTCCAGGTGTGAGCTACCTCTATAATTGCTGCAAAACAGAAGCTAATGCTATTTTCACGTTTCACCTTTCTTTTTTTTTTTAAACGGAGATCTTTGGATTTCTTTTGGTTAGCAAAAAACAGAATCTCGGTCTTTAAGGGAAGTAGCATAAAGCAAACTTTCGAAAAAATTGGGGAATACCTGTATCTGATTTTTTTTGTCTCTGGTTAAAAACTTTGGAATTTCCTGAGTGACAGGAGTGTCCTTGTTCAGGTGGGCCCCTGGATAACTTCAGAATGATGGGTTGGTCACCAGGAAGACCAAGCACTCAATTACAAGATTGGACATTTTCATCTGCAGGAAGGGAAGAGGTCTGGAGCTGAGCTCAGTCAGGTGATCACGTAACAAGTAAGTGATTTGACCAATCCTGCCTACAGTACTGAAAACTCCAGACATGTAGGTTCCAGGGAGCTCCTGGTTGATGAACACACAGGTGTGCCAGGAGCGTGACGCAGCTTGGCCTGGACAGTGAGAAGGTACAAAAACTCTGCGTTGCCCCTGAGGCTACACCCTATGTGTCTCTTCATTTGGCTCTCCTGATTTATTGTACATTCTTTATGATAAAGCTGTAATGGTAGTACAGTCATACCATGTTTTATTGCATTTTGGTTCATTGCGCTTCACAAGTGTTGCAGTTTTTACAAATCGAAGGCAAGACCCTCCAGCAGCAGAAAATGATGGCTCGTTTTATTGTGATACTTTATTATGACAGTTTAGAACTGAACCCACAATATCTCCAGAGGTATGCCTATATAGTGCTTTCCCGAGTTCTGTGGGTCATTCTAGTAAATTATCAAGGGAATCACGGGAAACTCTGAATTTATAGCCGGTTTGCCAGAAGTATGGTTCACCTGGGAACTCCCAAAGGTGAGACGACTAAGATGTGTTTTTCACTGTCAGCAATTCACTTCTGTCAACAAGTGTGTAGTTTTTCCTCACTCCAGCTCTCTGGACTTTTCAACTGGGTGTCCTACAACTTATTTCAATTCTGGCCCTGAGGAGTTAGCGTCAGAGTCCACAAGTTAAGGACTCAGTCCCACAACCCCGCTCCCTGCCTCCCACTACAGCTTGCCAGTCACAAGTCCAGTTTGTCACCTGTGCTTCTGACCAAACAGCTATAAATCCAAGGTTACCACAATCCCCTCCTCAGGTTGGATCATTCACTGTAATGATTCATAGAACTCAGGGAAACACTTTAGTTATATCTACCAGTTTATTGTAAACAATGTTATTTAGGACACTGTTTACATGCTAAACAGCCAGATGAAAATGTGCATAGGGTGAGGTCTGGGTGGGTCCTGAGCACTGGAGCTTCTGTCCCAGGGGACTTGGCTTGTGCCACCCTCCTGGCAAGTGGGTATGTTCTCTAACCCAGTTTACCAAATGCCATAGGTGAGGGATTTTTATAGAGGTTCCATTACACAGGCATAATTGATTAAGTCATGGGCCATTGGTGGTTATTAACTCAATCTCCAGCCTCTCCTCCCTCCCTAGAGGGGTTGGGGTGCAGTTTGAATCATTAATATGGTTGATTCCCCTGGTAACCAGACCCCATCCTGAAGCTCTCTAGGGACCCACCAAGAGTCGTCTCATTGGGCCCTGACTAGTGTGGCCCAGTTGGTTAGGTGTCCAACAAAGCGATTCCTGGTCAGGCCACATGCCTAGGTTGCGTGTTCAGTCCCAGAGAGGTGCAACCTATTGATTTACATCGATGTTTCTCTCCCTCCTTTTCTCCCTCACTTCCCCTCTCTCTAAAAATAAAGATATAGCTATAGATATAATAGTTTTTAACAAAAGAGTCACCTCATTAGTATAAACTCAGGTATAGTTGAAAAGAGTTTATAATGAATAACAAAAAAACACTATCTCACTATAGCAACTCTAACACCGAGGGAATTCCAAGGGTTTTAGAAGCTCTTGAGCCGTGAGTTGGGACAAAAACCATTATCACGGGGACTGAGCCCTTAAACCTGTAGAGTCAAGTGCTAAGTCCAAGTGTTTGGCATCATAACTGAATAAATACACCCAGCTAAAGGTGAAACAGAACATGTGTTTTTTGGAGAAGGCCCGTGAGAGTATATGACCGCCCAACATGCAGTGATGTTAATTTAAAACGGAAACTGAAACCAGAAAAGAAAAAGTTGGTGTTTGTGCTGCCTGTCACTACAAGAACAAATAAGTAGAGACAAGGACTGAATCTCTATGGGCCCTTTATTCAGATGCCAGTGATCTGAGAAAACAGCAGGTTATATACGCTCAAAAAACCGACTTAACATCTCATCTCAAGCCAACCTTCTTATAGGGAGAAGGAAAGGGTGTGTAAGAGGCTTGTAAAAATGTTAATCAGATAAGAGTTGCAGTCCTAGTATTTCCTTATCTGCTGATCAACAATTCTTTATCTGCTTTCCTGAAACACAGCCGCTCAGATTACATCTCCAAGGCTTGCAGGTCCCCTGTGGCAAAAAAGGTTGAATTGCTCCTTGACCTCCTAGAGCCCTGTAAGTCATGCATTCCAAGTCCTGGAATACCAGCTTTCCACAGCATTAATCACTTAAGCCTCTCAAATATAACTGAAGGCTCTTGAGTTCCCCTGCCACAACTACAAGCACAAAATACCCTCAGTCATGATAAAAGCCCATGAAACCAAACCTAGGCTTTTTCTTAGATTTTATTTATTTATTTTTAGAGAAAGGGGAGAAAGGGAGAAAGAGAGGGAGAAAAACATCATGTGGAAGAGAAACATTAATCAGTGTAGTCACCGCCCCCCCCCAGCTGGGGACTTAGCCCACCCAGGCATGCGCCCTGACTGGGTGTCAAACCAGCAACCTTTCAGTTCACAGGCCAGAACCCAATCCACTGAGCCACACTAGCCAGGGCCCTAGCCTAGACTTAATACCTGAGCTAATTGCAGTTTCACCCCGTCCTGGGAACAGAATCTTATCAACCCCTCTGGAGTTTTCTGGTCAACACCAAGGAGGTAATCTCTCACAAGGGTCTCTCTACGAGGTCATCCCCTAGAAAGAAGAGGCAATTTGCATGATAAAAGCACTTCCAGTTCTCTCCTCCCCAAAAAAGATGCCGTGGTCCCAATACAGTCCTTTCTTTTCTTTTGATTATATCTGCTTTGCCCACCCTTTTTCCTATAAAAACCTTCCATTTTGCACAGCCCCTGGGAGGACTAGTTGCTAGATGGGATGTTGCCCAGTTCATGAATCGCTTAATAGAGCCTATTAGATCTTCAAATTCGCTTAGTTGAATTTTTTTTTTTTTAACACTGTAAGTCTTTGGGTCACAATAATTAGGTGTAGTTTATGCCTGCAGTGAATTTAGGTTATTTGTAAACAGATTTCTGAACTTTGAAACAGATTTTCCCTTAAAAGTTAAGATTTTATTTATTTATTT